AATTATATTAGTTCGAATACACACTAATTGCATAACTTTACACGATTTGGGATTCCAAAACAACGTAAAGCACTATTTATGTTATTCGAGCGGTAATTAGGCAGAAATGCACTCATTTTGGTATGCAAGTTCCAACTGTTTTACAAATAATCAAGAAATATTTTATAGGATTAGAACAGTCGGCGAATTCAAAAAATATTTTTTTTTTGCTTAAAGTTCACTTTAGAGACATAAAGACATTATTCAATAGGTATGTATAATACTGAAAACCGCTGTAGGAGGGAAGCGTTTGGCTCAGTCAGCTTCATCACGTAGAAATTTAAATATGGTTTTCCCAAAACTCCATTTTTCGAATCGGAAACTGTCGCTTATATCCACTTGAAATTTTTAATTTAGCTTCACAGTAATATTATCTAGTAAATCCAAGAATAACACTGGCCTACAAAAAAAAAATATTGGTTTATTGCAGCTCTGTCCATAACTATATTCGATAAGGTAGGTAGTATAAACTTTATTGCTGTTACTAGATGCCAGCTGACAACTCTGGCTTACATACAATTCTTATTTCCAATCGATTAATGACTAATGTGAAAAATTTGACTGATATTTTCTCATAAAATATACCCTAAATCAACTCCAAAATCTGAGACACCAAAAGGTTTTGTAGAGAATTGTTGCAAAAAAAATCTGCAAAACATTGTTGTCCGTCGAGGAACTCCACGTCCAGGAGGAATTGTTCTCTCCCCTCTCAAGTCGAATGAATTTAAGAAATCTTCCTGTATTTAAGGGTTACAATTGCGTTACTTAAGTTTGGTATTTTTGAAATATATATTTTTAATATTTTAAGAAATAGCAATAACTTAAACAAAAGTAAAGTATTTTCATTCAGCATTTGCTTTATTTAAAGACTTTTTTTATATTTATAGAACCCATTTTATCAATTGAACTAAAACTGTCGTAATTTCTGTAAAAATCGAGTTCTGCTTATTTTCGGTAACTTTAACTAGTTTCATTATAAAAATTTGTTATCAAAAAGTTATGATGAATAAGTTTTTTACTGATTCATATGCCTGTGTCACCCAGTCCACCAGCCCACACTTCAATGTAAACACATCATATTTTGTGTTCGTACAATCATGGAGCTATGCGTTCAATCAATCATTTTGGGTTCCTTATTTATATAATAGATAATCATTTTTGCTTGCTTTATGGCTTTGTTAATCATAATATCATATAATACTTATAACTGTGCTTATAATGTTTAATACGCCTTTGAGCAAGTACTTTTTATACGAATTTAAATGAAACCATTAAGGAAGAGCGTTTTGGGCGTAGCAGAGATAATATCGCATTTTTTTAGTTTCAAAGGTGTGTGCGATATTTCCAGTTCGGCAAAAATAATTAAATAAAAATAAAAATTAAATCAAAAGCAATTTTTCTTAACCAAAATTATCAACAAAATTTCCTCGTATTTGGTGCAATTAAAGGTACTATATCTGGCTTTACATACATATATCCAAAACCTAAACAAACCTAAATCATAATTAGCAGAAGCTATTCATCATATTAGAGCTGGGGAAAGTATGGATTGATTTCATTAATTTCTACTTTGGCCACATATTTTAATTAAGACAATTCACATATTGACCGATATATACGCTAAAAAGTCAGTCGGAAGTACAAAAGCCTCATATTTATTATACGAAGGTTGCGGGTTTATTATTCAAGGCATCACTACAATCTCCGAGAAAGTTGTTCAGATCGGACCAATAAAGCATGTACCATATGTAGCTGCCATTCAAACTGACCGATCAAAATCAAGTTAAAGATCTTTTTTTACCCTTTTATGCTATAAAAATGCACCTGTAAAGGTTATTATAGCTTCGGTGCAGCCGAAATTAACGTTTTTTGTTAGCCGTGCGCACGCCTTGAACTTGCGAAGCGATCTACTTTGCTTTAACTGTATACAACACATCGAACATTATTTGAGAGTTACACAAACACATTAATAGTTTTGCGTATTACTCAATTAAAATTTTATTTGTAATTTAACGGCCAGTAAAAAGTACACAATATTGCATTTGAAGTACGGAAAGTTGATCAACCAGTTTCCTGTTGTATTTAAAGTATACTTTTAGGCTTATAGTTTATGTCAAAAATATATTGCCAAAGTGTTGATCTTATATCCGGTCCCTTTGTAATCTTTGCAAATGTCATAGCTTTTGTTATACTCTAATATTTTTTAACTTTATTTGACAAGGATAACTTTTAACGCGCCGTCTATATTTGATTCTATGCTCAAAATTTCTATATTGTAATTATACATATGGTCCCAGAATTAGAGGTTGACGAAAAAAGAGCGTCAACAGTAAAATATGCTGGTATTTTTAGATCTTCCGTCGGCTGAATTTTCATACCTGCCTCCACCGAGAGCAAGCAAAAAAAAGTGAACAATGTGAAAAATTAGTTAAAAGCCATGCCCACCGTGACACGATTATATTATCCAAACATACTTAAAGAGCGACAATGCACTTATGAATAAATGAAAGATGTTTAAAGATTTAATTATTAATATGGCAAAGCTCACTTTTAGAAGAAACTACATATGTAGCTCAAAAATTATACTGCCGATTTCATGCATTATATCCTCAAATGATTGTAAACGTATACCGAACATGAGGTCATTGCGCTTTCCTTAATAGTTCACTTAACACCGCAAATATGGATCAAACTCAACTCAATTAAATTTAAGAGGCTTAAAATACACACTCAATGAGAAATTTTGATTTTTTTCATATTTCGATTGCCGATACCTTTAAAAATACCATACTAAAATTTTAAATGAATATTTCAAATATTATTTCAATTACAGCCTTGTAAAGTGTATTCGCTCAGTTAACTCAGCTCTATTAGTTTATCTTTCAACGCATTTTTCTTGAAACAGCGATTTTCGAAATTGCTGCATTGATTACTTTGAGACAAATGATTCGATCACTTTAAACTTTTTTTTATACTCTCGCAACCTGTTGCTACAGAGTATAATAGTTTTGTTCACCTAACGGTTGTTTGTATCACCTAAAACTAATCGAGTTAGATATAGGGTTATATATATATTAATGATCAGGATGAAGAGACGAGTTGAAATCCGGGTGACTGTCTGTCCGTCCGTCCGTCCGTCCGTGCAAGCTCTAACTTGAGTAAAAATTGAGATATCTTTATGAAACTTGGTAGACATGTTTCTTGGTACCGTGAGACGGTTGGTATTGCAGATGGGCGTAATCGGACCACTGCCACGCCCACAAAACGCCATTAATCAAAAACAAATAACTTGCCATAACTAAGCTTCGCAATAAGATACAAGACTGTTATTTGGTACACAGGATCACATTACGGAGGGGCATCTGCAGTTAAAACTTTTTTTTAAAAGTGGGCGTGGTCCCGCCGCTAATGCTATAATAACAAAATTCACTAGAAGCAAATGTTTTTAGCACTTCTATTGACGGTGTGAAAATAGTTGAAATCGGGTGGCAACTCCGCCCACTCCCCATATAACGGTACTGTTAAAAACTACTAAAAGCGCGATAAATCAAGCATTAAACACGCCAGAGACATTAAATTTTATCTCTGAGATGGTATAAATTGGCTTTATAGGAACCGCGTTCAAAATTAGTCAGTGGGCGTGGCACACCCCACTTTTAGGTGAAAACCCATATCTTGAGATCTGCTCAACCGATTTCAACCAAATTCGGTGCATATCGTTCTTTTCATGTTTCTATGTTATAGTACGAAAATGGGCGAAATCGGACTACAATCACGCTTACTTCCCATGTAACACCATTTTCAATGCCATCTGATTCTTTCACTTTCCACTATGCAAATCAGGTAACAATGACTATATCGGGGTAAAACTTTGCGTGAATAATGCAATTAAAGTATGCCACCCTGCGGCCAAAAATTGTCTAAATCGAACCAAAACTGTTCAAACCCCTAAGTACTAAATATGTGGACCCCAGTGCCTATATTTGACCTTCTACCGAAAATATCAGTCAATCCACAAAGAAATCTCAAACGAGTTTACCATTTGACTTTGCAAGAGTATAAAATGTTCGGTTACATCCGAACTTAGCCCTTCCTTACTTGTTTCTGTATATAGTTTTATATATAAAAGAATCAAAATTCAACTTTTCTGAAAACGTCGCAATTTTTAATATTTTTATTTTCGATTGTAGGTCACTGTACAGACAATATCTTATTGAGAGCTTTTTTTGTTGGGTTTCTTTCAGGGAGAAGTCCGAATCGCTGCAACAGTGACGGAGTATATATACATATACCCTTTAAACTTTTAAAAAATGTATGCGGTATTTTTTTGTTTTTAAATACTAAAAATCTCATATTTTTCGGCTGTCACACTAGGTAAGCCCCTTAATGTTCTGGTCCTTACTATCATCAAATCCTTATATGAAGAACTAAAAGCCTTTTTATTTCCAATAGAAACATTCAAAGTATTTTTTTATTTAAAATAAATTCATTATATACATATCTACATTTGTATGCAGTTTAAAATGAAAACGAAAAATCCAAAAAAAAATATTGATTATTAAATATAATAATTGCCAAAAAATATTAAAAGTAAATTTTTTATAAAATAAGTAATATTATTGATAATTTCGCATAATTTCTGTATTTCCTAAGATATTATATTTTTTTCTTAAAACCCATTATATTTGAATTTATATTTTACAGTGTTTTTTGAAAATTAATATAGGCGATTTTTTGTCTGAAATAAATTTTCCAAAATACATATAAATAAATATTTACATAATATTTATTTATTTTTAGTGTTATTTTTTTATAAAAATACCTTTTTAAATGCTTTAGTTTTTAACAGTGTAAATTAAAATCCGTAAAGTGGTTTTTAAAAATATGTGATTAAAAAATGTAAAATGTTCGAATTCGATTTTTTCTCATATTTTATTTGTTTTTGTTTTAAACACGCTTAATTTTTTCAGTTTTTCATGCAACACTAAAACAATAAGAAAATTGTCGATTTCTAATAAGCCATCTGAAACAAGAACTTGTTTTTAATGTTTTTTTTTCGCGTGACCAAAAACTACTTGGTAAGTTATTTATTTATTATTGTATATATATTTTACAGTTATATACTTATGTATATTTGCAAGTACAATATTAAAAGTGCGCTATAAACTACATAGAACTATATTATTGTGTAAATTGCTACAAAAGCGCCTTCAAAAATGAGCGGGAGGCAAAGTTATCAAATAAATATGCGTCAAGGGTGGGATAATGTATAGGGAATGTCTCAAACCGATTTAATTTTTATTTACTATCAACTAAATAGTTTTCCTATGCACTACCAACAACAACGCCGCATAATTTAGTCTTCCCCTTAAAACATTGGTTTTCTTGAGCGCCTCCAGCAAATTAGCGCCTAATGTGTGAGACCATTCGTGTGACCATTCGCGTTACCGTTGGCATAGTGACCATTAGATGACACTTTGACAGATTTAGCATTCAATTCAGTGGCACAACCATTCGACACGCTCTTCAATTTCTTGGTTGGCGGCTCATTGCTAATCGACGCAAAATCAAAACGTTGCTCCAACATCATGTGTGAATTGGGTGGCAGACCAATGCAGCCGCGTAAGATATTCTCAATAGCCGAACGTTGGCGAAATAGTGAATTCACCACTTGTGTGCCACGTGGCACCAACGGCGCCTTGCATAGGTAGCTGAGCAGCGAGAGGACCGGTTTAAAGGACACCCAAGGTGCGTCCGCACGCTCATTGCTTTTGATGTGTATGCGTGAGCATAATTCGCCGAGGATAACCAAGTCAAGTATGAGCGGTGAGGCAAGTAGTGAATCCTCACAGGTATTGTGTATGACGAGCGTATTATGACCGCCCATCATAATTTCCGAGGTGTACTCATCCATAGCGCGCTTGCTGTCGCCCACATAGGGTACATACTTAATGACCACCACATGATCGGGATGCTCATTGGGTTTGTAGAGCACATCGTTGGATTCGACCATATCGTCGACCACGTTGCTTTTGGAAATCTATAACAGAAAGCACGGAATGTCAACTTATGTAAGTAATAGTAAGTTTAATAAAAAAAGGAAAAACTTTAGCACTACACTCACCTCCTTAGAGCGGAATTGCTGCGGTGCCGACAAGTTTTTGCCATCATTATTACCCAAATGGTTGTAGCTCACAATGGATACTGGCTTAATGCCTGCACCCACCAAAAAGTCCACCAACACCGACTTTAATTTGGTTTGTCCCGATTTGAAATCGTCACCGGCAATGAAGACTCCCTTATGTTCGGCCAATTCAACTAAACCAGGTACAAAAGTGTTTTGCGGCGAGCCATTGATATAAGTACACTGTAAAAGCATAGATATAAGGTTTAATAAATACTCTAGTCAGAAGAAACCTTCTGCCACTTACACCTTCATCAATGCTGGCCATAGCGAAAATTGTCGATGGCGATATCTCTGTCTTATTTGCCTTCAACGATGCCTCCAACTCAGCCATGGTGGAATTCAGCCCCTCTTTTACAGCTGAGAAACGTTCCGTATTCGCAGTCCACAATACGAGTACCGTATCGACACCGGACTTCTGTTTAAAATCGCGTATATCACGACGCAACTGTTCGTATTGTTCAAATTTAGTGCCCTTAATGAGATTATCGGCGCGATCCAACTGATTGGCCGCAATAAAATCGGGATCGTAAATTGATGGACGCGGCTGGAGCGTCGACAAATGCTTGTGCAGTTGATCTTGCAGCTCCACATCTAATACTTGCGCACGTTGCATAGCATCGCCAATATTTGCCGAACTAATGTCCCAACCATCAACGACAATATCATCGGGATTAACCATGGGTACGAGATCCTTCATTGGCAAATGCACATCCTTGCCATCTTCATCGGAGCCAATTAGTACAGTCGATGCTTGTGTAATGGAACCAAACCAATTGGCCTTTTGTACGCCAGTACGTTTACGCCATTGCAATTGACGACGATTAGCCTCCAAGGCGGCTGTTAGTGTGGAACCATTATTTCCACCCCAGCCAACGAGCATTAAACCCAATTTCGGCACACGACGATCGGTGCGGATCTTAAGCGCGGCTGTCTCAGGGTGTACCTGCAATGTGATGAAGAGAGAATTTTGATAACTTAAATTAGAAAAAAAGCTAGCTAATATGTTGGTATATTTGTGATATAATTTCATTACTTTAGCAGTACAAGATTGAACATAAACTATAAAAAAACCACAAGTCTTAAAGTAAAACTTTCTGCCTTATAAAAGTAGTCCAGTAAATATTCCAAATAGATCTATTAAAATTTTTTCTTTCTTTGTACACACATAAATATATATGGTATGTATGTCAATAACAGAAATCACAGTCCAGAAATTTGTATACAAATCACATTTCTCCTATGCAAATACTTAAATATATCGCCGAGCGCTCTTTCTGTGACTCTTTACACCCAACGCATGATTGTGTTTCAACTTAGTAATTTATAAAACTTAACTGTGATTATTGAACCATTTTTTTGTAGAGGTGAATAAGCTTATTTTGTGAATAAGTCATGAAAAAGCAAAGTTTCTCGACCATTCGCTAAGGTAACGTTAGAAATTCTCTTCAAAATCTCGAGAATTTAATTTATAATGTTAACATTTGTGGGAATATGATTTCTCTTTGCTCTCACAAATTTTAACAGTTGAATAATTTTTAAGCTTTTGAAAAACAACTAAAAAAAATTTTGAAAAATTTAAAAATGTTAGAATGCACATTAATAGACTTTTTTAATATAATGGTATTATGAAAGTTCGATACATTAAATTTTGGCAACTTCGACTGTTTTAAGTATTTGTAGAAACCACTATATCCAAAGGAAACTACAATACAAAATCACCATACAGATCACGAAACTTGGTTGGTATATCTACTGTGCTTTAATCGTACAAACCTGATTAATAACCCGGCCCGAATAGTACTTCAGCTCACTTAAAACACTCAAGCGTTTAAAAAGTTGCATATTATTATTATTTTCATGCGTTCTTTTAACAACATATACATATGAATTTTAGAAGATATTATCTACTGTTGTCTGTATTAAACAAAAGTATATATTTACCCAAATGTAGGTATATACATATATAGGCACTTTGCAAATTAAAATAAATAGAAAATAACGCCACAAAGGTATCGCCTGATTGCTAATGAGGAAGCTTGAAAGCCGGCCGGCATTTTTCATACAATTTTCAACAACTAACATCTGTTCTGTTGCCTGTTGAATATGTATTATATACATACATCACTACGTAAATCATATGTATACATATGTATGTAGATATATGTATATAAGCATTTTTTTAAATGTTTGTGGATATATGTACATAAGTCGATAAGTCGAATTTTTCTCTTCCATAAAAGATATAACAAACTACAAATGTGGAAAATTAACAATTCTTTCCCAGCCGTGTCATTTGTATTATGGAAATATGTTTTTTGTGATAAAAGTTGCCGCACTTCAGGCATTGTCAAGCCCCTGGTGTATTTCTAAAATTCTTATAGATTTAACGGAATTCATTTTGTCAGATTCATTTATATGAATTATGATGAATTCAATGCAAGTGATATAATTGATTTGCCAGTCTATTGTAATTATAGCAGTTGTTTGATCTTTTCACCATCCTTCAAAGGTTTTGCTATATACTGGCTATATATGGTATACGCTATATTTCATTACATGTAAATTTATACTTTCCCATAGAACCTAGATGGAACATAAAGCCTTATTAGTTTATATTCATTGTTATTAAACATCAACTGTTCTAACTAACTCCCTTTAAAAATTGATCTCATAAATCCAAAATTACGACAACTTATCGTCAAAGCAATTAATTTCATGTCAACAAACAGACTAACAATATTTTTGTTAACTTTCATGCAAAAGTATATACTTGTATATTATATAAATATCATAATTATTCATAAATAAATTTGTAAAATGGCATTAAACTTTACTCTCTATACATTACAGTTATCAAATCACGGCATATTTAAGCCTTAGGAAGCAAGAAAAATTACTGTTTTTAACACATTGAAATTAATATTTAAGTATTTGCATTAATATATTAACTGGGGCGATATTTTAAATAGTAGTAGTAGTAGTAACAGTAATGATACTTTTTATGTCCAAATCTTAATCAGACAGACGGATATGGCTACATCGATTCAGCTGGTCATGCTGATCATTTGTATATATATTTTATAAGGTCTCCGACGTTTCCTTCAAATGCCAATTTTTCAGGAATACTTTTTGAATTGTAGATATTTTCGAAGTTGTTAGAAATATTATATTCAACACCTTATTGAAACTGCCCACCCTAATCATTTTAAAATTAGACTCCCGTGACTGTCATGGATTTCGCGGCTGTGTATATGGTTTTTTCCAGCAAATTTGATGTTTTCAGCATGATTTTATAATAACTTACCATATATTTATTTATTTTTTACAATTTGCAACGCACACACAACTTCATAGTCGTAAGTATTTGATCGGAACGAACCCAGATTTATTTCAGGTCAAGTGCAGACACAGCAGCATACATCAAAACTATTTGTACAATGTCTTATGCCGTTACAACAACAAAAACCCTAACATCTCATAGGTATCTACAAAAACTGTCAAACAACTGTCAGCTGTCAAAAGATTAGCATTAAAATAAAACTATTTATATGCAACTATAGCTTCAAAATACGATAGATCTAACAAATTTAATTTAGCCGTTAATATTTTTTGAAGAAAACAATCGAATTTTTATAATATACTACTTTAACTAGACTTGAAAAAAGTCTAATTTAGCTACTAAGCTTTTACGCTACTTATAATTTTCCTACACTTGGTTTCATTCACACAATTGACACAATTTTTTAGCAGGAAAAATAAACCAATAAAACATAAACGCCCATTGATGCGTAGGAGAGTTAACAGGTGCATTATTGACTTTTTGCTCTCACCCAACATGAACGCTTACCGACCTTGAACGTGAACTCGCCAACACTGTTTGGCTGGAAAGAGAAACAACAACGATGGCATGCAACAAAGCAACAGCTGATCAAAACAAAATGCCACGCTAACGCAGCGACGAAAAGCTCTCCCGCAACATGCACAAACCGCCACTAATATACATACATGCAGACTATACATGGTTTTAATACAACTATTACAACTACACAAACGAGAGCTCTTCCAGTTACACTTTTCACTTTTACTCAAACGCATGCGCGGTAAGTTGTGGGTTGTTTAAGTGGCGTTAGGGCGCTCATAATATTATTTACATATAGATAGTTTACTTATATAGTAGAGCAATAAGATTGTATGTACATATATATATTAAATTTATACCACAATTATATTTGTTATATGAACATGCAGTCACGGCATTTCCTTATGTATCAGCTGAGCTGAGCTGAGCACAGTGTGTACTGGAAGTTGTGACGGCAAGGTAAGAGATAGCAGGCACGCCTCGGTTTGCTCATATTACTGTGGGCTATTTACATCTATGCCTACACAGTGCATCTCCAAAAAATTGTTGTTTGTGAGTTTTTCTGTACATATACATATGTACATACATATGGGTGTGAGAAACTCTTATATGGCTGCAAACCTATTTATGTATGTGTATGTAATTTATATAATAATACTAAGCGATTCATATTTGGCATGAAAAAGTCGTAAATTTGTATTTGTTTATTTAATTATTATTTTAATAAATTATGTTTTGGGTTTATTGTTATTATGTTTTTATATATGTACATATATTTAATTTATTTATATTCCATATATATGTGTATTAGACTGTCAGACATTTTTAGACAACTTTTACTTTTTAACTAATAAAACCAGTTAAAAACTTTCAAAAAAGTCAAAGAGAAACTTTTTAAAATTTTCTTATGTTAATATAATATTAATATTTAGAGGTGCCTGTTTGTAAATATCATATTTCCATACAAATGACATGGAAAAAATACAATTCTTTTATTTGCCAAAATAAATAGACATATTTTCATACGATGAACAGTTATAAAGATATTTAAACTAAACATACAAACGTGAAAAATTATGATTTCATATTTAAACATTTTTTTTTTTAATTTTTGGTTGTAGAGCGTTTAATTTCCAGCCAGTATAATGTTTTAGCTAAGTTTTACAATGCTTGAAAGTATTTAGCCTATTTTTTAGATGAAAAATAAAGGTTGCCTAAAAATTACACAGTATATACGTATGTACTATATATATATTTCTGATATATGTAAGTACATACATATGTATGGATGTGTTTACTTATATATGGATAAGCTCCTCATTATATATGCATATGCATGCATGTATATACGATTATTACTAAGTATATAAATAGCGTATACAATTGCTGTGTATTTACATATACTTGTATGAAATTTCTGGAAGCGCGGAGAAAACTCATGTGGAAATTAAATTTTAATAAATGACAAAAAATAAAAGCGAGAATCTACAGCTAATTATACAAATATGTTATTTACGCGAAATATTTAAGTGTTATTTATGTAAATACATTGAAAACATCATAATCGAATTTCTTCAAATCGCCTTAAGAGCTTTGCTCGCTGTAATAGACACTAATTTTGAGTCAATAATAATTTTATTAAACATTTACATGTGTAAGTACTATTACATACATACATATGTATATCTCGCCAAATATGAAAAATATACAAAATCATACTTGTATAAAAAACAAGAGAAAACGTTAACTTCAATGCACGGAAACTATAATACACTTCACATTCATACAATAACTTGATTTTGATCAGTCAGTTTGTATTGCAGCTATATGCTAAAGTAGTCCGTTCTGAACAATATGTTGGGAGATTCTAGCGATACCTTACATAAAAATGGGTGTTAAATTTCGGGAAGATACCATGTTAAATAAAAAATTTTTACAAACAAGAACTTGATTTTGATCCGTCAGTTTGTGAGGCAGCTTTATGCTATAGTTTTATAGTTTTACGGGCGTGTGCAAAATTTTTAATTGATATCTCACAAACTGAGAAAGCAATTCACGTATATATATAGGCAGAAAGAAGGACAGGCAGATGGACTTGACGAAATCGACTCACTCTTCACGTTGGTCAATTATATATCTAAATATACTTTATAGGGTCTCTCTCGAAGTCTCCTTCTGGGTACTGCAAACTGCACAGCACTCTTAATATACCCTGCTGAGCGTATAAAAATATCAAAAAATTTTAAATTTATTCAACAATTTCTTTGTAAAGTTCATCGAAATTAAAATATTAAAATTTTAAATTAAACTCCCCTCGATATATTATTATTATTCAATAATATTGTAAGAAAAGAGTACGATTTCTTTCTGGTCTCTTAAAAGTTCTAGAAGCCAAATATTATTGATATGTAACAATTTCACTAACGCGTAATAAATATTTTTGTATACCTTAACAAATGTACGCATACGAAATTATAGAAAAATCAATAATCGGCCTGTAAATGATACACATGCAGACACAAAGTTAATACTATATTCTTTATTTTTTATATACGATATAGAGCAGTGAATTTATAAACAAATGTGACTAATCCGCAATATGCATAAACACAAGCGCGTCATTTTATCGTTATATGCAATATTCCATTTACTGATAATGGCAATATTTTTCATATTTTAATACATACATATACTATATATGTATGTATTTGTATATTTCATTCAATTTCCTTCAATTCCATTATTTTTCGCACAAGCCTTTTTTTCATGTGTCACTTACCTGAATTTTGCCATTGGCACTACGTTTTACATGCGACGTCTGGTACTCGTAATCGGTCTCGATGTAGTTCTCACTGATTTGCACTTTTGGCGAAATGACTTCCAAGGTAGCAGTGTCCGATTTCATATTGTATTGTGTTATTGATTTTTATTGAATTATTGCAGTTAATGAAATTCGCTTCTTTAGTCTATATTACTTGTATTTTTATATATTCTGTGTTTTTGTGTTTTTTAAATTGCGGTGGTTTTACAGTCTTTAAAAATTTTAAATATGTAAATTGTATTGAATATTTTCACAAATTGCTTAAAGAGTTTACGTCTTCACTTGTCTTCTTTTATGCAATAGTATTATTATGCATATAAGTATGTAGTATGTGTGTATCTTTACTTTGAAAAATGTTTAGTTTTTATTGTTGCGGTAGCGTTGAAATTTACTTTTCACTCACAGCTCAGCTCAGTTTGGCAGTTTTTCAACCAATGAACTCTCACGACACCATGCGCTCCTATTTATGTTGAATACCAGCCGGCGTTTGCTTGTTCTCCAAAGTCGACGTATAGCCACCACCATATAGCAGTTGCATGTGTGGTAGTGTGTGTCGATAGAATTACGAAGAAAGCAATGCTCCAACGCTGTTGGTGGGGCCAAGTGAGCACCCCCGTCAATAAATTGGGATAGCGCGTGGCTTGCAAGTTTCTACACATTCGTACACATACAAGCGCTAATTCATGCAGCCAGCATACCTATAAGTAGGTATATAAATATGAAAGTAGAGTAGTCTATATGTGCACTATGAATTGAGTTCTGGTATACCTGCATCCATACATATGTATGTATGTATGTGATTATGCATGTTGGTTTTTATGTTCATATTGGACCAAACGCTAACAACATTTGGTACCGGCATCGATATCGGCCACGCAACTGGCTCGTGGCTGCGGGTTTACCGGCTTGGCATTTGCGCGTCATTCTTGCAAAACAATTTTTTGTTTTCATACACACTTTTGTATGTAACTATATACAGGTTTTGTACCAGACCAAACAATTCAAAAAGGCATGGTAAAATTGTAATTCCATCAGAGTAATATATACATTTCTTAAACTATTAAAGAGATATTTTTTGTTGATAAAATTCGACCTCAAGATAATACTGTTGCGTGTAGTTAATCTGTGCAAGTCATCTAATTTCACCTGTGTATCTAAATGCTCCTTAGAAAAGGTTGTTTGGAGAATATCATTGTGGTAGTGATAAGGGCCTAAAATACAGATTGGGTGAAAGGTTTCTGCGCTCGAAATGAAAAAATACTATTTTTGGTCCTGTAACTTCAATACACTTACTCCAGTGATACTCCAATAGTTTTATGCTCTTCCTATAATGACTTGCCGCAAGCTCTGCAAAATACCCGTCTACGGCTGTAATAGCTTCTTCTTTTGAAGAAAAACGCTTTCCGCGAAGGAATTGTTTCAGGTTTCTGAAGAGGTAGTAGTCGCTGGAAGCCAAATATGGTGAATAGGTTGAATGCTCACGCAATTCGTTTTTTAATTCGTTGAATTTCGTCTTTGTTAGACCAACTTTGTGAGCAGGTGCATTGTCTTGATGCAAAATTATTTTTTAATGCCTCAAACCAGGTCTTTTCTCATGAATTTTTTCATCCAGCTGTTCCAAAAGGCTGCAATAATATTCAGAGTTGATTGTTTTAGCTTTCTGTATATAATTAATCAACAAAATTTCTTTTGCATCCCATAAAACGGATGCCATAACCTTCTTTGCTGATCGTTGTGACTTCGCCTGCTTTGGAGCTGAACAACCAGCTTCAGTCCACTGTAAACGTTCTTGTTTCAATTTAGGATCATTGTGGTGGATCCAAGTCTCATCCATAGTTATAACGGTTTTTGGTCGTCCTTCGCGTGGATCGTCTTCAAGCCTAGTACGACAACGTTTAAATTCACCAGCCTAAAATTCAACGGTGGGTTTTGAAGGTGAGGACTCCTTATACACTTCCAACAATTGTTCATAAATTTCCTTTGCTTTTAAACCTTTCAAAACAAAGAATCTAATCACTGCACGATATTGAATTTTTTCTATATTAAAAAATTACTCTGACACGTCGACTTCAAATGGCTTGTAAACAAAGAATTAATTGACAGAATGACTTGTTACTTTGCATGTGTTCTCACGACAGATGTACTAACTTGAGAAAAAAAAATTGGAACTAGCAGTGCTATTTGTTGGTGAGACCAACCAACCTGTAGCAATCAATGAACTGTTGATTACTACCTCTGGAAATCCTTCAGTTTTACTGTAAGCACATACTCCTCACAGATCTTTTATATCTAATCCATGGTATTGTCTGTAGATGATCTACTTATTTATTTTTTTAACATAACCACTATCTATTTGTTGTAGAGAAGTAACTTACAGATTTACAAAGCAGTATTTACAACAGTTAACGCTGTTTAGGGCATGTTTATCCGCCAGAAGATGTCACTACTCGCATAAGGAACCATGAAACCATGAAATCTTCTGTTGAAAACGTTCAGAAAACCATACGGTCTCTTACGACTCTCGATTTTACGTATTCGCAACATAACTGCATCCTTGATTTTTATTCAGCCAAAGACAACGCGACACCTTTTTTCAAAACTATTAGGAGTATTTTTTATGCATCCACAACATTAACCGGGTACAGTCTTAAACGCCAAAAATGTAAATGAAAAGTTAAGTTTTACTATGACATTCATTTCATTTATAACATTTCGTGCCGCAATATTCTCGCTTTTATTCTTGATAGTGATTAGTGAATAGAATTATCCACGCAATATCTCATGCCCAACTAACTCGAAGCCTTACTACGCTGAGTGTATGTTCGAATTGGGTCTTTGACCAGTCACCACTTTCACCTTATACAAAAATTGATATAAGCTTTTATTTCATTTTACAAAACATAACAACTTGTCTCTCTCTCCTTTCTCTCATAAACGCTCACTGTCGGTTTTCATAAAAAAGAATCACAAAAATCTCTTCCTGCTGAGGGGTGCTGAAAGCTTTATAAAAACGTTGTTTATAAGCTTGTATTTCATGGTTCTCCAGTTTTATCGTGGCATTTTCAAGGACATTGAGCATTCTTAACGGTAATCCAGAGCTTTCGTGACATCTTCAAGGGCACTGAGCATTCTAAACGGTTCTCTAGAGCTTTCGAGTCATTTTCAATGCTACTGAATATTACCAAAGTCGAATGCGGAAGGTGAAAAGGTAGAATGTCAAATACAAGTATATTCACAAATACATACAGACAGAATTCTGAAACTTTATACTCAAAACTCACGAATGAATAGAGAAATATATGCATATATGGGAGTATGTTTTTATGCACTCTCAAGCCAACGTGTACTTCTTGTAACTTCTTCTTTGGTACATATGTACATACGAGTATGTACCATGCGTGGTACACTGTTCAAATTTCTGCATGCCCATCTTCTCTTCCGCATACTGCTCCATTAGTAATTTATGTGTGTTCGCTTCTTTCGTGCACTTTGTTTTGCTCTCAGTTTTTCGACAACAAAAGTTTGGTTGTATGATTTATTTTATCGTTTCTATTGTTTCTTTAGTGGATTTGACATTCATGCTTGTAGATTCTCGTCCGGTTGCCCCACTATTAAGGATTCTTCTAGAAGTGCGTTTCGCAACCGGCTGGAATTGACAATGACCGGGTGGCTAGACAGCGCCAGCTGATACGGTTTGCCTTCATTGTGCCGTTCCAGTAGATGTACACAGAGAAAGAAGCTTGTATGGTATATATGGACATATTAAGATGCTCGAACACTTATGGAACGGGGCACGAATGCACATGTGAACATACGTAAGTACATATTTATTCATACATTGTATATGTATGTATGTGAGTGCATGCCCAACATGTGGGTAAAAGACGGTCTGTTTCAATAATTTCTAGCTGCGCCTGGTGGCCGGTAAAATTCCACAAAGCCCAGCTCAATTGATCCACAGTGCGAGTGCATATGGAAATTTACAACGAATAATATTATTTAATTTTTTGCTATTTAATATTTTGTGTGTAAGCAAACAAACTACTTGGTGAAGTGTGCAAAAACTGAAAGAAAAATGTAATAAACCAAACACGCATTTACATTGATTGTATGTATGCGAGAGTATGCAGCATGAATGAGCAGTCAACTTTGCGCTTAGGTACAATAAAGCGGTGGCAGTATGCAACAGAGAGATGCTCTTCGAAGCGCCGTGAAGTTGCGACAACCGCTCCGTCGGCTTTAGCCAGTTTCAAATATAAAGCTATTGTTTCTTTCTGTCTTTTCCGAGAGTAGGCTAGTTAGTTCTGGATATTTCTTCCGCTTTCACATAACTCACATGAAATTAGTATGGAGGCAATTTGACACTAATGGTATTTCATTAATTAAATACAAGGCGATCTTTTAAAACCAATGAACTGATTGATCGTAATGTCAATTGCTTTTGTAAACACCATCTAATGCTTATACAGTGGTAGACATTCGTTAATACGCACACCTTTTTCTGCCTAAATTTATATAATTTTTTTTTTTTTTTTTTGAAAATGAGCATCATATATTTATTCATTTTTTTTACTTAAAACGGTAGAAAAATTTATTAAAACAATAAAAAACGTTAACTTAGGTTCGGTTTACATATACAAAGGATCCTTACAAGAACTTAATTCCGATCGTTCAATATGTATGGCAGCTATATACTATAGTGATCTGATCTAAACAATTTTTCGGCGATTACATCGTTGCCTTAGACAATAACTCATGCCTAAGTTTTCCAAGCTAGCACTTTAGTCCGACAGAGCAGTTAATATGGCCGCTATATGCTATAGTCATCCGATCTATAAAATTTCTTCGGATATTGCATTATTGACTTAAATAATAATACATGCCAAATTTCGTGAAGATACGTCGTCAAATGAAAGAGTTTTCCATACAAGCACTTCAAACTTCACTCATTGTAGTAAAGCAAATTGGCCATGCTCCAAAATACGAAAAGGCTGTCCAAACCATTACAGTTCCTACTCTGAAATTCCGCTTTGAACAAACTATCTTCGGGCAAATTCCAATCGCTTTGTCTTGTGAACATCAGTCAATCGCGGTTTGACTTAAGTTTTGTCCACTTTATTGTGTGTGTTTAGCTCAAAACTCGTGGGACATGTCTAGGAGTGACGGGAAGATCTAACTTGCCTTTGATTTGTCAAGAAGATTACATATTCTGATTGGCTTCGTAACGAATTTTTCACCTGTGGCGCAATGTAACCATCGCGTTTCCTCTGGTTGGAGCCTTAGAGCCATATTTTTTTCCGTATTTTCATTACGCCCTGTTTTCTACAGATTTTAATCGCAATTTGTCAGTTGTAATAACTTTCGCTTTTCAAAATTCTAATTATGACTTGTTCAGAATAAGTAAGCCTTGCTGCTTTACCCTTGGCTATAAACACAATCAGTAATGTAAAAATAATTTAACTACATTGAAAAATTTGCCACACCTAAAAACATAAAATATTAGAATTTCACACAAAAATCCTCAAATTGTTAAAAATCATGCAGCTGCGCATAAACGAATGTCGCGACAAAAATAGTATGTGTATGGTCAACTTATTGCTTACCACAACAAGACGAGTCCCGCTGTCACAAAAACTTTTTGTGTTTCACATTCTTCAAACTATAGAAAATGTAGGCTATTTTGAAAACATTTCAAATTTTGAAAATTATGATGGCATAGTTACTAATACAAGTAAAACACATGTATGTACATAAATATATGGAATTATAACGGGTAATCCAAGTAGAGGTACTTTTTTTGACAGATCACGCGTGAGTCGTGTCAAGCTGTCATGTTATTTTTGTTCAGTATTGTTTAGCATTTCATCATGGAAAGACTCACGATCGGCCACCAAGATCGTGTGATATCATACCGTTAGACTTTTTCCTGTGGCGATATGTAAAGTCTAAAGTCTATGCTGACAATCCCGCTTCGATTCAGGCCTGGGAGCAAAACATCACGCGTGTCATTCGCCAGTCACCAGTCGAAATGCTCGAACGAGTCAACGAAAATTGGACTCAACGGATGGACCATGTGAGACGTAGTCGTGCCCAACATTTGAAAGAGATAATTTTCAAACAATAAATGTCAAAGAATGTTCTTTCGAATGATGATATGCATTCCCATTAAATTTGAATTTGTGTTTTTTTCTTTAAAAAAGTAGAAATCTTTGAAATAGATCACCCTTTATATTTATGTAAGTACATATCTGGCACAGAAAACAAAAAAAAAACATAGGTCCAGCGCTAGCACTCAAGAGGCCATCGGAAAACCGACTCGCTTCCAATCGGATGAAGTTGGAGTAAGGGTGACCGCCCCAGCAAGCTCATCGGCTTTGCAATTTCTGGCGATTCCGCTGGGACTAGGCACCTATTCAAGTCTAATATGCAAAAGTTTGAAGCTATTGCTAATGAGGTCATGCACTCGTTGACTGGTTTTGAGCGCAGTATAACCGCTCGGCTATCGGAGTCAATGCACACCTCTCTAAAGGAGGCTATACTTTGGAGCAGTATGGTATATCTACTGCTACCTTGATAGCAGCTATCTGAGCTTGAAAGACGCTACAGTGGTCTATTAGCCTGAAACTAAGTGACATTGTTTGTGTTGGCTTTAGTGCACTACAAATGCCAATGAAGGCCGCTCTTGAGAGGAGAACTTTGATGAAGGGAAGAAGATTAGGTTAGGATATATGGCTGATCACTAAAACGAGTAACACAACTATTCAATACAAGTACTTTATGGCCCCAGAAAACTCCTAAAGTGGACCTCATGTAAAGGCGCCTAGAATCTGCATAAACATTTTATTTTCATTCCCACAGTAAAAAAGGAAGTGTTGATCTGAGTCTTACAATATAACCGATTGGAAAAGAAGAAAGTTGGAGAATATTAGATGTCTAACCTTCCTTGCATAAAATTTATCAAAGATCGAGATTTGGTATCCAATACATGTAATGTTGCAAGGAACCTTACAAACTCAGTTTTTGCTAGGACTGGCGCTTGTTTAAATTTTTTTTGGTCTAAGCAACTTCTTCCGTTGAAAATGCATTTCTTTACTAAAACGATTTCAGAATAAAAACGATAAAGAATACATCCCATACAGGGATGTGTGTATGTATGAATGCGCTTACTCGTAAGTAGCCTAGAAAAACTAGACGTTTTATATCTAAGGCCATTGTCGCTATTCGAAGCAAATTGTGCCTATGCAATTTTTCCATGCAATTATTGAACAATTTTAATGGAATACTCTTTCATAAAAATATATGTATATAAATTTGTATATATATATATATATATACATATATATTGCAGATACATGTGCCTTATGTATATATCTAATAATTAAAGTAGTAAAAGAAAATGAAAACCAAAAGGAGCAGTTTAGTAAAATTTTCCACCAACTGCGTTGAGTATAATTCAGTTGCTTGCCTAGCGGAGCCACCCTACAGTCGGCATAACACCCTTATGTAGATGTAAAGTTAAAAGCGATATTAGATGCGTATGCTTACACTACTCTTTCAATTGGTATTATTAATAATGATTAATAGTTGAATCTTGGTACTTTAAAATTTTTACGTTGACTTCAAAAGGTTTTCGAATCCAATCATTAATATTACACTTTTTTTATTTATTGAATTTTATAGGGTGTTTGTATGTGTCGATATGTTAAATGTAGAAAGTGAACGTTTGAATCAAAAAATATATTATTACGATCAAGCTCAATGACTTGAACTGCACACATAGAACAGCTGACCAATTGGCTTGAGAATTTTCCGCTAAAGCAAAATTTTCCATTATTTATTGAATAGTATTTCTCGCCTACTTTTCAAATATCATATAAAAAATATATTATTCTGGGCTTAAACGGTACAACTCCAAATGTATAACACATGTTTGGTGAATATATGTACAGCTTAGTTGTAAAGTTTCAGCTCTCACCAAGTAATAGCACTACTGAATTTTGGGCTAAACCAGTTATCATTGAGCAAGTTCAAAATATTGTTAGTGAAGAACCAAGTTTGACTAAGCGTGAAATTGCTAATGCCATAGCTTCATATTTTACTTGGTGAATTACATGCCCACAAAGTTGTTCTAACAAAGACGAAATTCAACGAATTAAAAAACGAATTGCGTGAGCATCCACCGTATTCCCCATATTTGGCTGCCAGCGACTACTACCTCTTCAGAAACCTGAAACAATTCTTTCTTGGAAAGCTTTTTTCGTCGAGTGAAGAAGCTATTACAGCCGTAGACGAGTATTTTGCATAGCATCCGGAAAGCCATTATAGGGATGGCATAAAATTATTGGTGGATCATAAGTGTATTCAACTTAAGGGAGATTATATTGAATAAAAAAATATATTTCGTACCAAAAACAGTATTTTTTCATTTCGAGCGCCAAAACTTTTCAACCAACCTGTATATACTTCCGTTATATTGTACATATATAATGATATATGAGGTTTGACACCTGCTTAGTTTATATATATGACTGATGAAATAAATGTTCAATATCTCTGCGCCAATTATAAAGTTGTTTTCATGTAAGTATGTACTCCTCTGTAGTTAAAGACGGAATGAAATTAAAGAACTTTTTTTTCTAATTTGATATACTTGTATTATTATTATTATTTTTTTTTTATATTTATTATTTTTAATCTTTATAGTTGTGCGATTTATCGAAATCAACGATTCTCATATAAAAAAAATATATTTATATAGATTGCCGTTATATTGATTTCAAAAGTAAATACATATTTTTACAAAGTGATAAGTGAGTATAGGATATAAATATGTAAGCTTGCAATATGTACAATGAAATTGGAGGCTTCAAAGCGATTATTCTGGGATCACGTGCATATTTGTTCATTTATATTTTGTTATTTATATTTATACATCTACACTAAGTGTCAAAAAATAATAACGTTGTGGGTTTTCTAAAGACGGGGTAGAGCTTACTGCATTTAAATCGCAAAAGATCTATTTTATGTTCAATGAAAGTGCCTAAGAACTGATTACAATTCGATTGAACAACCTTTCAAAGTGAAATTACAAGTATTACCACACAGTAACACTTTTGGTGTTGAGATGTTTTAATTTCATTCATTGCCAGTTTCATGCATTGTAGTGCTTCAACAAGTACTAATAGGGAAGATATACATATCTGTTTAGTTACAAAAAAGTTTTCGCAACTTCTGACAACGCTCGATTTATTGGCATCTCAAACTTTGGTTTCTTACATAAAAAGATCTTTAGTGCAACTTGATTCTTACCAGTAAAAGAATCACTAAACGATCGATCGATCAAACGATTCTTTCTTAACGTTAGATCTGCGTATTATTTGAAACCCCAAGAATATTAATTAATATATTGTTATTGTTAGAATAAGAAAATAATGTTGGTAACAGACAATAATAATAGAAATAGAGATGATGACAGTTTTGTCTGTCTGTCTGTCAATCTTGAATGGAAACTTTTTATTTGTGAAATATATTATAACTTCGGGGCAGCCGAGGTTAGCGTTTATTCGAAATGTCTTCGGACTACTGAAACAAATTTAATTTAATTCAAACACCTAGTGTGACGGCCGAAAAAATTTCGATTTTTTGGAATTAAAAACAAAACTATTGTATCGATAGTTTTGAAATTCAGGGTATTTGAAAAAATATTAAATACTTTTTGAGTTATACGAGATCTCCGACGGCGCTAAAAAAACGGCCACCACAGCCGACCTTCTCCACGGATTAAACCTAAAAATAAAAAAATTCTCGTTAAACTAGAAGTTCTTCTCCGTACAAATCGAAGGAGATCAAAAATTGTCAAAAGGCGGCGTTTGAAAAAAAAGTTGAAGTTTACCACAAATGTTGGTCGGTTTTGGCCTGCCGAAATTTAATTTTGTGTCGGGTGAAAAACCGATAGTATGTAGAATTATATGGTATAAAGAACAAGCAGAAAAAATTTGCTGATGGAGCTGATTGAACTGGGCGTCTACTCTTCAAATGGCTGTAACTGCGAAATTATTTGAGATATCGATTTGAAATTTTAGTATGTTATTTTGAAGGTATAAACTATCGCAATATGATCGCTTACTTCAAAATTTCACACTAGGTGTGCCCCTTAAGAAATAAATTTCATAGCAAGTTAGCAAAGGGCTTTCCATTGATCTCTGGTTATAAGAAATTTTTAATGCTTAACACCGCAGTCGCTATATTTACAATATTGTAGTACCTATTTCCTTTGTACACAGCGTAATTTTCTACACACGTGCATATGTATACGTCGACGTAAGAGAATTTGTGTAGGGATTTTTGATAAGAATTGTTATTATAACACATAAATGCTGATATAGAAATCTTAAAATTGCAGACTTATATAAATGCACTTCCGTTTATTGAAGTTCAAGGCCGATAAGTGGCGACGCTTAATCTGCTGCGGATATATATGAGCTCCGAGTAATTCATGCAACGTCAATATGTGTATTTTTATTTATTTATATGAACGCACTAAGAAATACATAATAATTCTGCAATGCGATAAAAAATCGTTTTTTTTTTTTGTATATAGTAGTAATTATACAAAAATACATATTTAATGAAGCATATACATATAGAAATTTTATTTGGTATAGATTTTTACATACGTACATATGCAAATTGCAAATAAATGCATAATTGAGTTGCTTTTCTAACATACAGATTCATAAAACATAAACGATGTTGCTTAGGCTAAAAATTTGCAAACAAAAATAATTGTTATAATATGCTAAAATATTGAACAAAACAGTAATAGCAGAAAAAATGTTTAGATAATACAATATACCATAATATAATACATACGTTGGTTATTTAAAATTGAGATTTTATAAGCCAATGTGCAAAAGCGCCAATATCTTTTACATAACATTAATATTGATAATTATAATATGTCTAAATTCAGCAGCAATTTTAGAGAGCGGACTGCTTTAGAACTTTCATATGTGATGTGTAATGGTTAAAAATCTCTAATTCACGGAATGATATTTAAGAGCACATGTTATCAATTCAATTATCCAAAAACTCCCATTCACTGGAACTTCCATTAGACTCGGCAGACACTGGCGGAGTTTTTTGCTCTACCGTAGGCGGCATTGTGCACGGATCACATGCGCGTCGAAAGTCTGGTAGGAAACTCTTAATCTCCTCATTCGCCGGCTGTGTACGCACGAATTGTAAGTGTACTGGCGAGACTGGGCGCACTGGCTGCACAGCAGCATTGGTACCCTCGCCTTCATGTTCATATTCCTTCACTAGAGTTGCGGCACGCATAGCTGCATGACACAGTTCATCGATTGGTTGGCCAGCGCTGTAATCTGAGTAAATATTATCGTCGTCTTCCTCCATATAGTAAAGCTTTTTGCGTGGCGTTGTCTGTACGCCAGCATCTTCGACTTTAGTTTGTTTGGGATATGCTTGGGTGAGCTCTTTCAGTGGCAAAGGCGTGGGAGTGGAAGCTGGTGCAGCGGGCGGAGAGTGTATCGGAGATGGTGTTGCACATTCTAAACTAGATTGTTTCGGATCAAAAGCAATGCCAGCTAAATTTAGTTCTTCAGCGAGACTTTTGGGTTTTATGGGTAACTTTTGTTTGGCCGCTTCGGGTGAGGCAGGCGACAATGGTGACGAGATGGAACCACATTTTGGTTTGATTTTCAATGTTGCATTTGATGCGCTGTGGTATATTGGGACATATTTAGTTACATGGGTTAATAAAAGATAATAATACGCTTATTTGTAGACTTTCAACGGAAATTGTAGGCCACATGATAGTGACATTTTGTTATGTTAATTTGACAGGTACATTACTTCTTATAATACTTAAACTATATTTATTTAACATTTTTAAAGATTTAACAAGAAACTAATACATAAAAGTATGCAAATAAAACCAATTTACAGTTAACTTTATTAAAAAAAACTTCGCGGCAAACTAAATATACCCTGTTCAGGGTATAAACAATTTTTCAAATTTCAAATAAGCAACATACATACACTCACCTCAGTTTATCACTATCTATTTTTGCGGTTGCGCAAAAACTGCTATTCATTAATGTTGGCTTAGTTGTTGTTGTATGCTTTACGTTGGATTTTGTCTCCATAACTTCGATAGCTGTCAAGGTTTCAATTGACGTCTCCAAATCTGCTTCTGGCTCTGCAACACGACCAATTTCTACAATGCCCTGTGACTTTGTTGGTGCCGCAGCTTCGCTGCTGCTGCTCTTAACGGTATTCTCTCGATCTCGGCTGCGTCGTGTACGTTTTTTGCGACCGCCAACACTTTGCGATATGCCGCTATGATGCAATATAGATTGATCGAAATCCATTTCAGAAATCTGATTAAAAATCTCCAAGCGACGGTTTTGTTCGGCGCGTGGCGATTCTACAGCCAATTCTATTGGCACATTTAAATTGAGTAGCTCAACGGGCGGTAACTCAAAACATTCTTCCGCTTTACCCACTGGCTGCTCGGGTGGTTCAAACGATTCAGCGGGTGAATCAAGAGCACTGGCGATGGAAGCACCTAGCAAAGGAACTGGAGGCGGCATTGACGGATTGAAAATTATTTTGGCTACATAAAATATTTTATTAAAATTGTAATTAGTTTCAGTGTAGACATTTAACTACCAGTTTTACTCGGCTTCTCTGGCATAGGTGCCAGCCGCAGCAAAGAACGTGAACCTTCCAAAACTAAAATCTCCTTATCGCAAACACAAAAATCAAGTATTTTTCGAAAACCTCGTGCCACAGCTTCGACGCGCAGTCGATCTAAATTTAGCAAATACAATGTGGACTCGTCGTGTGTAACGACCAGCATATCGTCGCCCTTATACAATTGGATTGCTCCAAAACTTCTGTTAATTTCATCGCTATCGGCTACATTAGCATACGCAGTTGTACTAGCCATTGATTTTGGATTAAGTATTGGTATTTCCCAGGTAGGACTACGCGCTACAGCTTCACGAAAAAGTAATGTTTTTTTCACATTACCTTCGGCATCAGCGATCCAAAATCGTAAACCTGGACGGCCACATATCAAAACTGGACTACAATTTTGTTGTTTGAGGAATATTCCACCACAATCCGACAAAATTTTTCGATCTTTCTTTCCAACTTGCGTAACTTGCCATTGACCAGTGACCACGCTGAACTGACATACAATGGTACGATAAAGTGTGGACACCAGTAAATAACTCTGAAAAACACTAAGCTGTACAATTTCATACGCCTCGCTGAGTATTTCGGACGATTTGCTGATGTGCTGCAAATTATAACAAATACAATATATTTCCTAGCTTTAACATTATACTAAAGAAACTTACTGCTTGAAAATCAAATTCGGTTAACACTACAACGCCTTGTCGATCGCCTGAATAAAGTTTCATACCATTCTTAGACCATTCTACACAGCTTATGGCGGAGCTGTGCAAGTCACGTATGTTGTATCTTTCAATGGGCTTGGCTCGAGCACACGGAGCAACTAAATTTAAATCCGGTGGCAATTGTTTTTGTATTTGAAAAACACTCACTTGACCATTACCATTACCCGCGGCTACCATATACTCCACCGAATTTACAATTTTGACACAAGTGATGCGAGCCGGAAACTATATTAGCGGTACACATGGAGTTAGAATTGATTAGTTAGTAAGTAAATACACTTTAGACACGCAATATATACATCATCTAACATCAAACATGGGTGTATCCTTGCAGCGGATGAGTCATTTATGACCGTAGGTGGGGTATATGAAAGCATATGAAGTATATTTTCAAATAGAAAGAATTAACCTTACCTCTGTGCGCAGCTTCTGCAATTCGCCGCTGTACCGGTCATACCAAAAAACAATCCCAGCATCACTACCTAATACTATAAACTCGGAAATTGCATCGACACAAGTGATATTTAAATCTGCTGGAAATATGCCAAGTGATCGTATCATACGAACGGGAATCTTCTCCATTATATCTGTTAAAGGCGCCCATTCTCGTATCGAATAAAGTTCCTTAGAGTTCATCGAATGATGAGTAGTTACGTATTTACTTTCACAATTTTTATTATAATTACTTTTTGTAAAATTTTCTATTTGTTTATTTACTTTATTCCGTTTTCGCCTTGTAATGATATGTCAACATAAAAGCAAAAACAACAAGTAAGCGGTAAACAAATCAGCTGAACTGCTACGCTACCATATTTCAGGTAAAAAAATAATGGATTGGAATTAAATGAAACGTATAAGATTGAATATAGCTACTTAAGGTTAAATTTATTTTTAAATTTTCCAAATCAAATATCCGAAACTATTTATCGTTTTCGTATACATTAATTACAAGAAATGTTAATTTAAGTTTAAAGTATCTGCTATTTAACTTATCATACTATTTCGGAGTATTGATTGAAAGGGACAAAAGTAAGGGTTGTAACCACTTCCTAATTTTCGCCTTTACAAAAACAGCTGTTCACTAAAGCTGCCCAACTCCAGTCGAATTCTATAGATAATTAATTCAGTTTTTATTACGTTCCCTTAATGTATTAGAAACAGTAAGGTGTATATTAATATTATAATTTTTCTTTACCAATATATAATACTGTTTTTTAAGTTTAATGATAACTCAAGAAGTAGAAAGTTTAGTTGTTGTGTAGCAGAGAAAATTAGTGGCAACCATAAACAAAAAATGTAAACAAACCAAAAGGCGCGAAAAAGAAGCAAGCAACAAGGCCAAACGAAATAATCGTAAGTACTACCATATAACAAAGTGCATTTTGAAACAAAGTTATGGATTCTGTTGGAGAGGAACCACCCAAGAAAATTATCAAGACAGAACCAAATGAAGATGTGTTAAAACCAGAAATTGGAGAAATCAAAGAAGAAACTGAACTGAAAGAAGTTGACGTTAAAGAAGAAATACCAGCCACCAAGGACATAAAGACTGAATGTGACGATTCTACCGCAGACTCGGATGTCGTTGTGGATAAAATTGATTCACTCAAAACTTTGGGGCCTTTTATTGCGACACGAGACAATTCGCAAAATACTGTTTATTTCCAGGACGTGCCCGATATTTGCAAGACTGAACCATGTATGCTGGGGGTGGACGAAGCTGGACGTGGTCCAGTTCTCGGTCCAATGGTTTATGGCATAGCTTTCTGCCCGTTAAGTAGGAAGCAAGTATTGATTGATTTAGGGTGTGCTGACTCCAAACAGTTAACCGAAGAAAAGCGTGAGTTTATATTTAATGAAATGAATACTTCTGAGACACCACGGGATTGTGTTGGTTGGGCTGTAGAATTGATTTCACCTAACGTTATTAGCACTAGTATGCTACGACGCACGAAATGTTCACTCAATGAAGTGTCTATGACATCAGCTATTGAACTTATTAAACGTGCTATCGAGGAAGGCGTTAATATAGCAGAGGTATATGTAGATACAGTTGGACCACCAGAAAAATATCAAGAAAAGTTGAAAGGAATATTTCCACAATTTAAAATTACTGTCGCTAAAAAGGCGGATTCTACTTATCCAATTGTCTCGGCCGCTAGTATTTGCGCGAAGGTCACACGTGACACCGCTTTAAAGGTATGGAAATTTCCCGAGGATATCAAGTTGAGTTCTGTTAAATTTGGTAGTGGTTATCCGGGCGATCCAGTTACTAAACGTTTTCTCAGTGAGAATTTGGACATGGTGTTCGGTTTCCCACGGCTTGTACGTTTCAGCTGGTCAACGGCGGAGAATGCTTTGGCTAATAAAGTATTTGAAATGGAATTCGATGAACCAGACGATCAAAAACCGAGATATGCTGGGCCTAAGTTAACTCAGTTTTTCAAAGGGGCAACAAAAACTGGTGATGTGCAACGTAAACCCTGTCGATTTTTTAAGGAACGCTTTCTAGATAGCGTTACCGACTTCTAATAAGGCAAAAATTATAAAATACTATTTAGTGAAAGATAATATGCGAATTATATAATCTTGTTTTAATACATTTTTAGTTATAATAAAAATTCAATGAATAAAATTTCTTATATTGTTGGCATATCTGCAGTACTGCCCATAAGAATATAACGACGATCAGAATTAGTATAAAATCATCATTGGTTTATTTACCTACAGTGATAAACTTGAGGTAACATTAACGTTTATGAGTTATACTTATAATTTTAATTTCGTAATTTTTTATTTAGTGGTTACCTAAGTACGATCTCATGTTTGGGAACAGACTCGTCGTATCTAAAAAACTTTTAATTATACAATATTTATTTACGTTCTTCGTTAATTAATAGCAAATATCCCTTTAATATGCTAAAAGAAACAACATTGCCAGGTGCGTGATTTGGTCGCTTTGGCGCGCTATAATCAGCTGAGCGCTTTCCGCCTCTATCATGCCCATTTGCTTACTCTTTCTGCAGCACGTCGAAAGTATCGCAAGTCGCGTTTTCCACACACGAATTTTTTAAGGCAAAATTTGTGCAAAGATTTCATTAAGTTAGCGTTAAGTGATTAGTTTAAAAATATTGATTTTGTAAAATTTAGAATTTTGTGAATTTTTTACAAGTAAGCTGATAAAAATCGGGGCCGGGTAAGTGGGTTAAAATTGGCTGGAAAAAATCGTATTTTTCGGTGTGTGGTGTGTGTGCGGGTAGAAAAAAAAAACGCGCTGCTGTGGTGGGGAATTCGAATTGCCGCTGCTGCTGCTCTCGCCATTTTGAGTCGAAGAATAAAATTTTTCTGCCTCCAATACGACAAAAAGGCATAGACCGAAAAGGAGATTCGTTTCTGAAAATAGCAGCCTACATATTGCGGTCTTCCAATAGTTGGATACATTTGAATAAGTGGAAAGCGCCAAAAAGGTGTGAAATTTCGCCTTACAGGCATCTGCACTTATACTCTTTTTCCGCGGATTATCGTGAGATAATCTACTGCATTTGCTTGTAGGTGAGTTTGAGGCGGGAATATATCGATAATAAACAATAAGCGTTCAAAAGAATTTAAAGCCAGTAAAGAAACTCAGACTAACAGTCAGTAAACGATTGGAGACGGCAATAATATCCTTTGAGCATTGGGGCGTGATTACACGCAATTCTTATAGTCTGTAGTCTTGGCTTTTTACGGTGCGTAGGTGTCTGGACGGTGGAGTAGAAATTGAACTGATAAAAAAGCAAAAGACGAAGGAAAGACAACGATAAAACGAAACGAAAATGGCGCATTCAACAGCGACTATAGTCACAGCAACAACTTCAGCCGCTGCCGCATCGGCGACAAGTGAAATCAACTGCATAATCCAGGATGTAAATGGTGAGTTAGAGGATTACTTTACTACTTTTGATAATCCTTTACGGATGGGGATACAATTGAGTGTTGTAGAAACTACAGTAGTTGGTTGTCGGCGATGCAACGAAGTTAAGTAGTTACCTTGGCTTCACTGCTCGTGTTGGCAGTTGAGGTCGCATTGCTGTTGTTATTTGTTCATGTCTGTGGTGGTTTTCGATATTATTGTGTAGATCGCGCTGGGCTGCACATATATGAATAAAATGTGAATGGGAAATGAAGTGCGGCCAAGAAGAGGGTGAGAAGCGCGTAAATCAGAAAAGACGTGCATGTCGCACAAGGTAAAAGAAAAATGAGTAATAATGTGGGATAGGGGAGAAGCAATGAAAACACAAAGCGGAAAAGGAAATGTAGCAAATCGGTGACAACAAATAGGTGAAGTATTCAAATGCCAAAAGAGCATATAGAGTGGATCTAATAGTTAAAATTTAGTTAACTTTAAAAGTAATGCATATATGGGTTTCATTGCAAGTGCATAATATTCGGTATGTTTTGAATAAAAACGGATGAAACATCTAATACCTATGAGAATGTCTCTCCATCTATGCTAAGTTTCTGCTGGCCAGATAAGTTTTCTACAAAAGATGTTTGCAATTTAAAAAAAAGTCAAACATATATAACATTAATGCAAATTATCACAAATATTCGACCGAGACCTTTATCTGAATAGCTAATCATTCACGTAATGGAAATTAGAAGTGCAATCATCCTAAGAATCTCTGTCATTGACCATTTGGAGAGTTATCTTTGTAATCGTTTGAAAGTTTATTTATTAATGGTATATAAGACTTTTAAGTTGGTCAGATATCAATAAAAATATCAAGATTTTTTCTAAATATATTTCACAGCCATAAACACATTTTAAGACGTAAAAATGGTTCTGGCAACAGCAAACTTTTTTTAATCGCATAGTTCTTGTTAAGAGAGCCCTATATTTGGCTAAATTGGATATTATTTGTGATATTCATAATCAAGTTGAAACAAGCAGTTTACTTAGGTATGATATGCAATATGCTGACTTAAAATTTCTTACACTGCCACCCTAATTAAGCTAGTTGCTTAAAAACGTAGGCATCAAAATTTATGTTTGCCAGTTCGCCGCATTTATTACTCGTGTGTTTTGTTTGCCTTCTGTTGTTGACTAGCTCCAATCATTGACGCTGCGTTATAAAGGCGCGCTTGACATACCACATCTACCGCTTTTCGACAAATACAACCTACATACTATATTGACGTATAGTATAAATTTTAACCTTTTAAAGCTAAAGACTATAGACTTGTAAATTCACAAAATAATTATTATATAGTATATCAGAAATAATTTATATACAACTTGGAGCAGTGCACAATGAACGCAAAACGTCATCTTCTGGATGCAAACGTGTGCTGCGTAAGTATTTTTTTATACGAGAGTAGGGGGTTGTTAACTGCTAGTGAAATGAACATTCGCCGCGCCACATAATATTCTTTTGAAATAGTAAATAATTTAATGTGAAATAAAATAAACTTTTCACAGTGGAATGGAGAATCATAATCTGCTATCGTTATTCAATTTTCTTCAGCTGTGTTGTTATTGCGTTAGTTTGTCACGTTAATTCTTACCTTACCATACATAAATCTATTGCCACTACATATTTTGTTTTCGCTACCGCATTCGTCAGTTGTATTGCACATACATTCATACACTTACATAGCATACATGTATTTGTGTACCTATGTGTACGTATGATCACATAAATGTTTGTTATTCTGTTTACAGGCAAACTTGTGAAGATACTGAGTCCAAAGGATATAAAGCAGGAAACACTCGGTAACGCAAGTAGCAGTTCCCGTAACTCTAGTGCGGGCTCATACACACAGTTGGTAAGTGATAAATGAAGAGAGAAAAAATGCTAAATGCGTGAGAATTGACGGGCTAAAGCCAATAGCACGTTTGAGCTTTGGTATATTTATATATGTATGTATGAGTACGTAATCAGTTTTGTGCGTGCGACTGTTTACGAAATTGGCGCACTGCCTTCTAAAGTAATTGTGCTAGGCTGCCTAATATAAGCATGCGCAATGCTGTTACGCTATGCTAAACGTCAAGTTTATTATTTTGTATATAATCAGCTGGTAAAATATATCTAATAATTTTTTTTGTTGTTTCCAAATGTGCCTGTGTGAAGATATGTATACATGTATACATACACATGTTTATATACTTTTAGATAGCTATTTACAAATTTTATAAATTATGATTTGACAAATGGTGTGAAAATATTTCCCTAGAATATCTCTTAATGGTATTTTAGTGGATCTCATAAAGGAGTTTGTGAACATTTTTACATTTTACATATGATTGTATGTGCACTTGTACTTGTATATAAATGTTATATATATTATATAATATAAACTTATAGCTTAGGTAACCGTTTCTGTCGCGTTAGCATATCAATATTTTATTTTATTTAGTAGGCAGCTACTTAAAAATTATTAAATTATTTCCTTAGTAATACATTTAATCATACTGATTTCATTTTTGCTTCACTTTAGGCTACTTCAAGTCAACAACAGTATTTGAGCCGATATAATTTACAAAGTGGCGATAGTACGTTTGAATATTATTAATTGTTTATTAATATACAATTCTAATAAATTATTTTTGATCGTTAGGCAACAACACATATACCGTTATATCAACTCAAAGCAGTGCCGGCAAACACCAACCGACATTCACAGCGATTAAATACGAAACTCCTGACACGGTAAGCGCCATAAATGTAAAACAAAAACAAAAAAAAAAACGTTAACTACGGTTGCACCGAGCTATAATACCCTTCAGTCAAATCCGTTCCCACAACAGTCGGGTCTACGCAACCGGAACGGACACGGATTTATTCCGGCCAAGGACTGTCAACTCGGCAGAATTCTGCCGCTACAACAATAACAACAACAACCCTTCACAAATATAAAAGATTCCACACAAGAAAATGATTTTGATCGGTCAGTTTGTATAGCAGTTATTTGCTATAGTGGTACGATTTGAACAATTTCATCGTAGATGAATAACAATAATCCATCTCAAATTTCGTGAAGATATCTTGGCAAATAAAAATGTTTTCCATACAAGGATATGATTATATCGTTCAGTGTATATGACATCTACATACATACATATATGCTTTAGTAGTGCGATATCGGCGGTTCCAAAAAATGAGCAGCTTCTTGGGGAGAAAAGGACACAAAACCTGAGTGACTAGTTTACATATATACAAACAAATATAATGGTTAAATCGACTCAGCTCGTCACACTGATCATTTATTGTATATATGTATATACCTATATTATAAGGGGTCTGACGTTTCCTTCGCGGTGTTACAAACTTCGGCGCAAAATTAATATACCCTGTTTAGAATATAATAACTCTTACGTGAATTAATTTCTATACAATTTTAGGTCACCATCAAAACCGAGGAGCGTTATACAAAATACACACCAAATACTAATATAAAAATGAAATCAAAACTGTAAGCCAACTTTATCACTTAATTTCAATGTCAAATAATAATTTTACATATATCGCTAATAGCCACAGCACTAGCAGCCCACATTCGAATACGGCACGAAGGCAACGCAAGCCTGAAAAGGCAGGTAAAGGGTTGCGACATTTTGCTCTTAAGGTTTGTGAAAAGGTCAAGGAGAAGGGTGTCACCACATATAATGAAGTGGCCGATGAATTGGTTGCCGAGGAACTACATATGAATTCCATAGATTCAGCAAACTGTGATCAAAAGAATATACGTCGGCGTGTTTATGATGCGCTCAACGTTCTTATGGCCATGGAAATAATATCAAAAGACAAAAAGGAGATACGTTGGATAGGCTTGCCATCAAACTCAGCTGAGGTAAGCTGATACTATCTTTATTTTCATGTTTGTATTAATAATAAATATTATTATAGCAATGCTCTGAGCTGGAAAGACAAAACGAAGAGTGTCGCCAACGCATACAACAGAAACATCAACAATTAAATGAGCTGTTGCTGCACCAAGTCGCTTTCAAAAGTTTAATCGAACGCAATAAGGAGGCGGAACGACAAGGCAACGTACCAACACCCAATTCATCCATACAGCTACCCTTTATTATAGTTAATACGCACAAATCAACAAAAATCAATTGCAGCGTTACGAATGACAAGTGAGTGCAATTTGTAAAGGTGTCTCATTTGCAAATAGTTAAACATAAATCTAAAAATTCCGTTAGATCCGAGTATATTTTCAAATTTGATGATCAATTTGAGATGCACGATGACGCCCAGGTACTGAAACGTATGGGTTTACTTGGTGGTAAGTTTCAAACTTCATTTGAGAAAAGGCGAGGCGGTCTATTCAGCATAATATGCTATTAATGCCCACATTTTTTATTATAAAGGTTTAGACAAGGGCGAGTGCTCACACGAGGACATCGAACGAGCAAAGACTTTGGTGCCACCGAATTTCGAGAAATACATAGAAGGTATGAGTAAATGTTAAATTCGTTTAATTTGATTATTTAATTAATAGGCGCTTTCTGTTTCAGCCTATGGCAATGGCAAAGGTTTGGCATGTGATTCGGATGACGACACCATGACCGGCTATGCTGAACTTACGAATGATTCATCATCGCATGGCTATGCTCGCGGCAATGGTCGTGGTTGTGCTAAAGCTGGTGATGATGATGATGACGATGAAGATTTTAATAGCGATATTGATTGAGGCGAATTCATGGTTGCGTACAATAACAGCAACAATACATGCAACTACAAAATAAACAGCTGCAACAGCAACAATAACAATAATCTATGTTTATATAACAAAACCACAACAAATGAAGGATTTTCTGTCGGCGGTGCAGGTGCCACAATTTCCGAAATGGACCAACAAACATTACCACCACCCAGCCGCTTAACTACTACATCCAATGGTGTAAGCACAACGATCACCGATGCCAGCAGTAATACAACAGAAGATTCCTTCAGTTTCTCTTTTATTTCGGCCTTATTAGGTTTGCATTAGAACGGGCGCAATTTGTCGAAAGTGTAATCAGATTCTATACACCAAAATTTATTTAGCTGTTAATTTGTTAATTAATGCGCGCGCGCACTTATGTCGTGGTGAGCGGGTCGCTGCACTTTGAGCGATGGCGCAGTGGCTGTATATTACGACTAACGTAGCTTGAATGTATTTGTATGTTGCCGTACTCTGCAAAGGAAAGTAAGGCTAGGCTGGCTCTGGAGCTAGACTTTTGCTTTACATTTTTACTATTAAATTTTCTCCTCTGTCGAGAATTTGTTAGGCTTAATTTAGTTTTTTTGTTTTTGCATTTCGATTTGCAAATTTGTATTGAATTTTTAATGTGCATAAGACTTTTTCAGAAAAGGGGTGTGATTTAAAATGTGATGATTTGTGAAAGTTATGCATGAATTCGATTATATAAATATAAAAAATTATATTCAAAATGTTTAGTAAAATAGCAAATTAAATATTTTAGCGCTGATACAACAAAAAAATTTTTTTTTTTCATTTAGTTCTTTTTCAACAGCTTGAGTTTTTATTTTATGCTATCTTTTCTGATTTAGCGCGAGGGTTTTTGAAATACTTGCCAAATTTTTGAAGTATCATCAAACAATAAAAATGTTCTGTAAGATCGGTACAGACACCGTTTTATATACGCTCAAACGTTGTCAACAGCATTCACCAAAATGATTTTTGTTGACAATACAAAATACTAAAATTTCTAAAATAATTAAACTATAATTAATGTTCTTTTTCAATTATGTAGAATTAAAATATTTTTTAATGTTTACTATATGTTGAAGCATAATTTTAGGGGCATAAATAAAAGATACATTTTTTGTTTTTGTTTTTTTGCAGTAATTGTTAAATTTGGTATAATAAATTAAATTGTTTGCTACATTTGCTAGAATGCTGCTGAAATCCAATACTAGGTGGTACAGAAGTCAAATACTAAAATAATATTAAATGATGTCGGCAATTCTTTAAAATTATATTTTAACTATTATAATTTTAAAACTTAATTAATACATTGTTATTTTGTCGGATAGTGATTTGCTTATTTCTTCATAACATATTTATTATTGGGCAGAAATTTCTTCTAACAATTTAAACAAATTTATAATAATTTTATATTTTATCACACCCCGAAAACTGCAAGGCAATATCTTTTGTATAAGTAGACTTTTTTTTCTAAATTTACTGTATATTTTCAACATATAAAATATGTTAGTAAAAAGATTTTCAACCTAGTTTTATAAAATTTTACGCTAAATTATTAAAAAATTAAATATTAAAAAAAAAAAATAATAATAAATGAATAAAATAAGGAAATAGGAAATTAAAAAGTCTACATTTTTTTAATTAAAAATTGATTGAGAAGCACTCTATTATTTATATATGTATATGTATTGTAGTTTTGCTTAATTTACAATTTAGAAGCAGAAGTGTGAAAATGAAGCATAGGAGCTAATAAAAACTATAAATAATAAAAGCGTATTTGATAACAAAAAAAATTACATGGTTTACAAAAAATTAAAAAGGAAGCCTGAATAAACACAGAAACCTTTTGTAGTTGGAAATGTATATTTTTTAAAGCAAAAGTACATTTGTTTGAAAAGTATGTAGTCTCAATATTGCGTACACGTTTTACGCGTAAGGTTTTTGAATGATAACGTCCAATACTTCCAAACAAAAGTCTTGACCAAATCGTCAAAATTTGAAATCATGTAATTTCACCTTTTTTATGGTTAGAAAAGCAATGAAAGTGAACAGAATTTTGCTTTCTTTTTATTTATTCATTTGGCAAGTGCGCAAAAAGTGTAGCAGCTTTTCCATGCATACACCACAAATACAAAATGTATTTAAAATTTAATATATAAAATAATAATAAATTGGTATGAATACAAATAATGTGTAAGACGATCAATTGATCAAATTGCTGGAATTTGTGTGCATATATCTTAAAAAAAAAAACATTTTTAACTCAAACTCACATTTAATGCGTGAAGTATGAAAAGCGAGTATTTAGTAGCTGTGTATTGCATAAGAAACGCAAATAAGTAGATATAATTCAATATTTATTATTGAGAATAATATTAAATGTTTAAACTAACAGAATGCTGTAAACACTATGTAATGTGCTGACATTATGAAAATCACAATTGCAGACTTTGTACGCGACAATGATACTGAACTGAAGCGAAGTAGAATGAGATGGTCAAATAAAGTATACTACTTATACTGAATTAAATTTATAAAAAGTGAAAAATATCTTGTTTTTATTTATACATATGTATATGAAGGTAAACGATTGCTATTAAACACAGTTTTGTAAATAAGTGAGATATTATTTGGCAGCTTTGTTAAGTGAAACAACACATACGTTCAATTATTTATGTTGGGTATTTATTAAACAAGCTTAAAATTTTTAAGCATAGATTAAAAAAAAAAAACTAAAAAGCAAATCTCAAAAATTAAACTTAAAATCTAAAGTTAGCATATTTTGAATTTTGATTTGACAAAAATTTTAAGTTATAAATAAAATACTATTTCTCTAGACTATATAATCTTGTGGTAAAGACCAAATTAAATTTGGCGGCATTGGTTGTTTCGAAATATTGTTTTGCACTGATTTAATTTTTTAAATGTAGCGTAATATACAAGTACATCTACCTAGCTATTTTTTGTTTTAATAAATTCACAAAGTAAAAATATAAAAATGAAATAAAAATTTACTAAACTCTTCGAATTTGTATGGTTCATTTATTGGTATGTCGTCTAGCACATAATATATATTTTTTTTATTTGAATACCACATGCCATAAATAACATTAATTTTAATAAAGTGATTTTATCTGACAAATAATATACTTATTTTTATTTTAGTCTGAAGCTTAAAAACAAGTTCGTGCACAAGAATTATTATACATATTTATGTATAAAGCTACAACTTTATTCCTACGTGCATATACATATGTATTTATTTATTTTTTTCAAGTTTACTATACACCTATTTAAATTTAAAAAAATATGAAGTTAAAAAAATGCAGCAAAAGTTACAACAAAATTTCATGATCAAAGTACACCGTACATAACGTTTTAACTAATGCTCAACTTTTTAAAGTGAGCAACAGGAATTCTCAACGTATTACGTTTAAATAACAAAATATTTGTAATAAATATAATGTAATGTTTAAGCGGTGCAAACCCATACTACTACATTATTCGCAATGCATCTCATTATATTTCATCGCTGCCACTGGGAGCTAATATCGAGACAGTATTGGTTTTGCCAAGTGGTTGTGGTGCAATGTCGAAATCAGGCAGAGCGTCAGTACCGTCATTTTGTTGAATGGTGGGCGGCGCAGGAAAAGACGAGGCTGATAAGTCCATTAACGCTGGCTGCGGTTGCTTGTTTATGTTCGGTTCGGTCAACTGCGACATCGGTTGCTGTTGATTTAGACATTTTGGCTGTTGTTGCTCTTCACGCAATTGTTGCGGACTTTTCACATAATTTATCGGTATAATGCCAACATTCTGTTGGTTTACAGTGCAGGCTATAGCCCAGCCGGTGTTCAACATTCCAAGCGTATTTTGTATTTCTCTCGGCGCAATGAGCAAAGGTTGGTTGCTATGCATACTCAATTCAGTAGGATTTCTAGCTTGAAAATCATACATTGCAACAGTTTCGATGGGATTAATCCACTTTGTTGGATTACGCGCTGCAATAGATCCAATATCATTAAACAACCGTTTATATAATTATCTAATCTTATATGTATGTATGTATGTATTTGTATATAGAATTGAAGTACTTGTACTGTGTACTGATTTGTAATAAAAAAAAAAACAGAGATGACGATAAGATATAAGCAGATCATATCTTGTTATAGTAGATATAAGAATAACATATGTACTTGGTCATTAAAATGTATTTATAGAATCATACAAGTGTACATACCTTCCTCCTGCGCTGTATTTGTTACTGTACCCAAGAGTTTCATTATAAGGTATGGTGCTGTAAATATAAAACTTATAAAAGCCAATACCGGCCATGGGGATTGACCTTTGTGGGGTAACTTAGGTGCGCCCGATTGTTGTGAAGAATCATTGACGGCTTCAGCGAAAGCTTGTTTGAACGTCTCGCTTGACGGATCAATATTTGATAAACGAAGCCAGTATATTATTCTATAAATTTGTTTATACAAACGTCAATGTAAACTATAACAATAAATATTAAAATAAATAATATAAATTTACTTTTTATATATCCATGTTAGTCCACGAAATATCGCGAATGTTTGCCAAAACTGTGCAAATACACCTCGTAATCGTCCAAAATTCGATGCTACACCCAATATAGCACGAAACGAACTAGTCAGTGCAAAAAATGTAGAATCAAGCATTGCAGCTATATTTCCAAAAGCCGATACAAGCGATTCAATACTTTGAAACGCAGGTCTTGCGCTCGCTTCCGCCATTTGTACGAAACGCATTTCAGGATCCATAGGATTATTGCCGCCCAAGCCAAAGCGATTGTAAGCCCCACCAAAACCATTCCCATAGCCCCCAAACGAGCCGTAACTGCCATAACTGTTACCATATCCACCGTATGAGCCAAAACTGTTGCCAAAATTATTGTAACCTGTATAACCACCGTACGCACCGAAAGTGTTGTTGGTACTATATCCGGTGTTGGTATTATATGGAGCTTGTGGTAGTGGTGGAGGTAACGCACGTACATTGCCAGCGAAAGGTGTGCTTAGTTGTGTGTCACTGCTATTTCCCACAGTTCGTACTCCTCCGCCGGTTGCGATACTTGCTGGTGGCATTAAATTTGATTCCATCAATATAGGACTTCTGAAATTATTTGTAGCTACGCCGTTATCCACCATGATGTTTTCCATGTTTTCGAAACTTTGTGTTTCTTCGCTTTCACTAACGAAGTGCTTGAACTTTGTTCCAAAACTTAATTGTAATGGTGGAAGTTAATTTTATCGATTGACTTTAACCTGCTATCGTGAGTTATTTAATAACATTCAACACAATTAATTTAATTATGTTACACTCCGACCTTAGTCGGACTAATCTGTCTTTTAACGGATAATATCCTTTTCAGACTTTATTCTCCAAACAAAAAACACGATAAACAATAAACCTATCCACGAGTATGTGAATCAGATCGAATGATAATCTATATATTTTGACAGTTTGCAAAAACATAACATTGTAATGTATTAGTGCTGCCAACCTTAAGAAAAACATTGCTTTATGAAACCCAGTTTTATTTTATTGCAGCACACAATCCAGTTTTTACTGAAATTTCGACTTTACGAACTACCCGTTTAGCCAAGACACAAAAATTGACGTCATTGTGTAAAACTGAAACGAATTAGATTTGAAGAGAAACGTCAAAAAAGCGTTGTAATTTTAGTTTTGTTAAAGATTTGTAAAAAATTATTGCTATGCAAATAAATGAAAGAAGCTCTTTAATAATAATATAACTAATACTTTATAAAAGTATGAAATGTAACGAAAATGCATAAACAACATAAAACTAATAAAAGAAGATAAGTTTGTTTGAAAGTGTGAAGGATGCCAAACTAGGTACTGCAATTCTAATTACTGCTAAAAATTGCTTCGTGATACTTAACAATAGTAGCCAATATAGTCAAGGAGTGTATACCTAGCTTCTTATTTTACACATTATTTGCGGCTATTTGCAACCGGTGTAGACTAGAAGAGAGTGATTAATTTGCTGTATTTAGATATCGACATACTCAAACCTCAAAATGGTTGATCCATTTCTTGCGACGAATTACAATGTTTTAGAGGTAATCTTCTCTTATTTGGATTTACGTGATTTGAGAAATTGCGCATTGGTTTGCTGGAATTGGTACCATTTTCTGAATGATGAAAGCTCAGAAGTATGGCGAATGCATTGTTTGAGAAAGTTACCACAAGAAGCTCTAAAATCAGATTTATTGTCTTCAGTTACTACATATAAAAAAAGATTACGCGCTTATTATCATGCCTGGAACCCAAATGATTGTTCACGTAATGTTTATATAAAGCCAAATGGTTTTACCTTGCATCGGTAAGTATAAGTAAATTACAAAACAAATGTAAAAACTTGAATGACAATTTTTTATAGCAATCCTGTTGCACAAAGCACAGACGCAGCACGTGGAAAAATTGGTTTCCGGCAAGGACGTCACTCATGGGAGGTCATATGGGAGGGGCCACTTGGCACGGTTGCCGTAATTGGTATATCCACAAAAGAAGCAGCTTTACAATGTCACGGTTATGTGGCCTTATTAGGTTCAGACGATCAGAGTTGGGGATGGAATTTGGTGGAAAATATGTTGCTGCACAATGGTGATGCGCAAGGAAATTACCCCTTGTTAAATAATCCACCAAAGTATCAGGTAACGCACATCGATAGCATAATAAATTGTATATATTCTTCTGTATATATTCTTCTGATATTTGTTATTTCAATTTAGGTCGGCGAACGGATACGCGTCATACTCGATTGTGACGATAATACGTTATCTTTCGAAAAGAACAGTGAATTTTTAGGTGTAGCGTTTAAGGGTAACTTCTCTTTACACTTAAAATAACTGATTAAATATACCTATATATATTTAAATTTCAATGCAATATACATATCTATATATTACAGGTTTGCCAGATAAGAAGCTGTATCCAACGGTGTCCGCGGTATATGGTAATACGGAAGTCTCAATGGTGTATTTAGGACCGCCGTTAGATGGTTGAAATTTTTATTTGCATTTTTTCTACAGACAGTATGGTAAATAATTAGACATACATAAACACTATATATATAAAAGAAACACGTTTTCACACAAGAGGCAATGATTTTAAAATCATAACTTTTAAAACTATTTTTTCTAACTTTACAAATCAAAAAGTTTCGTCAGCACCTAAACGCCTAAACACTGAAAAATTAAATTTAGCTTCAAATTATGACCAAACAACTTTCTCGAGCAGATGATAGCTTTCCAAAAATGTAAAATTTAAGTTAATACACAAAAATTAAAATTGTAAGTTTACTCTTAATAACACTAGAACTTCAAATGCACCAGGCAGTAAAACGTAGAAAACGTATAGGAGGTTTAATTACTCTGTATTTTAGGTAATGTGGGAATCAAATCTAAACATCGTTAACAAACTGCTTGTTGAAAGTAAATTTGAACTGTGGTAACCCGAGTGCAATATTTGTACCGTGAGATTCTTTAAGTTATTATATTCATACTTTGGGGTATAGTGCACGATTATTTTAATACGGAGCAAATTTTTGTTTTTGTGTAATTCTAACTATTCTTGTTAAGAAAATTACACTCACGTAAAACGCAATGAAAACACTCTTTGTAAGCTATATGTCACCGAATTCCTTATTCTCAGCGTAATTATTAAAACATTTCTTCAAAGTGATTCTGTTAGTTAATTTCGTAAGGTCCACTGCTAGTCCAGCTTTTCTGTTTAGCTATTAGTTTAAAAATGTAAATATAACTTTAATTTATTTTAAGTTTACTTTAAGATTAAATGCATATTTTACAAATATTGTAAGTAGTGAATCTATTCGGTCCTTTCATGTTATTTTACTCAAAAATAATCATAAGTTAAATGAAAGTGTATATGTAAATATAAGAAAATATAAAACCATATTGAAAATTTAAATGAATGTAGTTTTATTAATTAAAAGTATTTACTTATAGGTATTTAACATAATTTCCAAAATGCATGTTTTGATATCGAGTTAACCACTAGTGTTCACTGGCACATCATCATCATCATCAAATAAATCCTCGAAATCATTGTAGAAGTCGGCATGCACCTGCTTCTCATTAGTTGGCAAATCGATGAGTAGACCTGAGGAGCTACCCGACTGCAATGTAGATACATATATATATATATATATATATAAATATAATACTTTATTTATCATAACAAAATAGCCATACGGTTATGAATTGTGTATTAATATAATTCTGTCGAAATTGTTTATTATGTTATGCTCTGCTTCATCTTAAATAATAAACTTACCTCTTCCATATCCGTGCTGAACATTTCATCGGCAGCCGGTGTTGGCTTCATCTCGCGTAATACAGGATCCGTTGTACTAGTAAATATTTAACTTGCTACTTGCAGAATGTTTGTCAACTTAACGTTTTGCAAATAAAGTGATGTCCGATAAATTTATTAAACAATGAATTTATTCGAGATAAGGAAATGTCAAAAAGTTTTACTCAGCTGTTTCGTTTATTGGGATCAGTGTTACCAAGTAATTCTAATAAGAAGTATATTTTTTATACACCAGTTTCCTCTGGTTAATGAATTCATTAACATTCTAAGTATAGATAACATTCTCTGCATAGATAATATTCTCTGCTTACGGAGCATAAAGAAATAAAAAGTAGTTGCTTAGTGCAAATACTAAATACTAGACTAAACTCTACTATACATTTTGTCGGTTTGTTTTCCTATGAAAAAGGGTTATGCCAATTGGCAGCCGGCAATCTGACAATTTGTTAACAGCTGTTTGTGTATCGAATTCTGGGAAGCTTCGGCAAAAACTGTTTGTTTTCTAAAATTTCGTTAAAAGCCCAGCAATAAATATAAAATGGTTCGCATTGGTTTACAAATTTCAGCTACTTTAGAGAATATCGATAGTCTGGAAACAAATCACCCGGATTATCCGTTTTTTGTGAAAATAAAATGCTCTAATTGTGGTGAACCGTCAGACAAATGGCACGATATAACGGAATCGGAGCGTATGCAAGCAAGCGCTGACGCACGAAATCCTGAAGGTTTCAACTTTTACATGAAATGTAAAATGTGTGGTCGGGAGAACAGCATTGATATAGTGGAGAAAACGAATGGTAATAAGATGTTATCACTACTTTGAAAATATTTAAATGAGTAATTTACTTTCAGTGCCTTACACCCATGACGATGCGGGCAAGTTCAAAACAATTGTCGTCTTCGATTGCCGTGGAGTGGAGCCAATAGACTTTTCACCGCGTAATGGTTGGATAGTGCGCTCTGCAGAAAATGGTCAAACGTTCGAAGATGTAGATCTATCCGAAGATGATTGGGTTGAATATGATCAGAAGAATAAAGAATCTATTGGTGTATATGAATTCGCGTCACAATTCGTGAAATTGAAGAAATAATATGTATATTCTACAATATATAAGACAACATAAAGTGTTTATTCGCTGCCATATGATATTCTTGTAAAACGCATAGCAATTCTTTGTAGAGAAGCAACAATAGATTTAGAAAACCAACTTAGAAAAGTTTAAGAAATAATTTTGCAATGCATTTGTTAATAATATCAAACAAACCAGCGAAGAAAGAAAAAATTCTGAAGTTGATATTAATAATTGTATAAATTATCGCAACCGCTTTAAATGGCTGAGTGATCGTTCCTTATAAAAAAAAAATGGAAAAATTATTTTTAATTACTAATTATTGTTTTTTGGAGTCAATTTATTTCAAATAAAAGAACTATAACTATTAAAAATATACAAATGTGTCATATGTGTTTCCTTGTTGCAATATCCAAATTAAACCTAAAGCTAAATATAAAAATTATAAATAAAAAGCTAAAACGCCTATTTGTGGGCTAAAAATATATGCACATACATACATATGTATGTATTATATATATATATTATATAATATCTTAAACGTAATTTTGGTAAGAGATAAAATGAACTGGTTGAGAGTTTAATGGAACTTATAATGAAACATGAAAGTCAGTTCAGTTTACAAAAGGCACAATAACGAATTCAAAATTAAAGGTGTTCTATAAAAGGCATGCAATAGTTAAAGTATATATTTGAGGGTAACCCTAAAATATCGGCACGTTTGGAAGGAAGAGTTTAAAACTCAAATAAAATATAGCGCTTAACTTTGTTACGCAATGAACGCACAGTTGCAAACTAAAATATGTGTATAGATATTAGAAATAAAAGAAAGAGTATAAAATATGAATGCTAATGCAAATTAAAAACTTTTTTTTTTTAATTATGCAAATTTTTTTCAGCTATGACGAGTTTGACTACTGAGCTATTTGTATAAATATTTGTATTTATTTTATATAGGACACTGTAGTTTACTGCAAACTTTTGCGATGCTAATTAGTATGCGAAGGTACACAAACGTACTACCTTCTCTGAGAAGGATTTAAATTTATTAAATAAAGTTTTAACGAATAATTATGCATAATCTTTGTTTTCAATGCCAACAACTTCTGAAATAAACGCCACAAGGCTTTAGCCACAGCCTCTAGGGTGTCAGGCAATCTGGTGATTTGTGTGAGTTATGGACGTACATAGTAGTTGAGATAGACAATATTTTTTAAATCTGCTATCAAAACTGTGTGTGGACGCACTTTTGATTATTGTTAATTAGTTATTATTAGTTTCGACTAGTGCGTAGCTCGTTCAACTGTATTTATCTGAAACTATAGGAAAACGCACCACACGCAACTCATTCCCGTAGTCGCATACAACAGCATCACCGGTGAGCATTAAAGTTTTCGGACAGAGTAGTGAATTCGCGCGGTCAAGCTTAACTTCACGCGCTGGTTCACCAGTACGCACATCCCAAACGATGAGGGAACCTGAAAGAGGGTATTTGGAAGAAATATTAAAATTGAGAAATATTCGTTAAAGTAAAGAACTTGTAACTAAAAGTTAAAACAGAATATTTATTCAAAAGCTCTGACAGAAACAGAAACAGAACAAAAAACGGGCTTTTCGCTCTCCGACGTTTTCTTCTTTGTATTACAAATTTCGTGGTAAACTTAATATACCCTATGCAGGGTATAAAAAATACTCACCCATTTTGCAAGTGACAAGCAACGATGGCGTCAACATCAACAAACGCGAATATGCATTCAATATATTGATGGTAGTCAATAGGTTGCCTTGAAAACGTTCCCACACACAAATACGTTCATCAACACCCAGCGAAATAACATATGTGGGTGCGCATACCAACGCCGTGACAGCGCCATCATGCGCTTGTATATTGTACATGCAAGCGCCAGTGAATAAATCCCATACGCATAACATACCATCCTGGGAACCCGAGCCACCTGTGCCCGGTTGCCAGTGGTCGACGAAAAGGCACGTTATTGGCCCACAATGACCGTGTAGTGTGTATTCGATGTTGGCATTTGTCAGGCTGTACACCTGGTGCGCGAATATAATGAAGAAAAATAATTAAAATTCAAAAAAATAATTTCAATATTTCATTTGATTACGCTTACTTTAAGCGTGTGATCCTGACTGCCGGTGAAGACCATACCATTAGATACCTCCATGCAGGTAATGGGCTGCTGATGTGCGAAACGCACTGCTTCTAACGTGATTTTCATTTCCTCCTTGTTAGAGGGTGGCGGCGATTGACCAGCAAAATAGCCGCGTTGTTGTTGCGTATTGTGCATTAGACCAATACTGCCGGCGGAACTGGTGCGTGTGTGTGCTGAAAGGAATGAAAGAAGATTGATTAAATAAAAAAAATAATATTAATATCGGCTGTATCGAAGCTATAACACTCTTCACAAACAAAAAAAAGGTTTCTTTACAAGAACTTGATTATGATAGTTCAGTTCGTATGGCGGCTATATGCTATAGTGGTCCGATTATAACAATATATTTGAAGATTGTCGCATTTTCTTGGCCAAGAATCCATGCCAAATTTCATGAAGATATCTTGACAAATAAAAAACCATGGTTTAGACAAATGTCCACCTTCTTGGAAAGAAAAGAATGTGTAAAAAGTTTCAGATCGATATCATAACGGACAAACGGACATGACTAAATCAATTGAGCTCGTCACGCTGATCATACATACATATATACTTTAAAAGGCCACCCACGTTTCCTGTAGAAAACAGATTGTGAGTATCTCATAAATCACTGGGGATATTTTAGTAAAACATCATGGGTACATTTTAGTAAATATAAAAATAAACAAAAATATTGGAACAATGCTTGAATTGCGAAGCTTTCGGAAATATGCGCTTAATGAGACATAACTTCTTTTAGCCCATATAAGACAAATATAATAATTTTCGACCGATCTGTTAATTGTATAAAAAAAATTTCTCAGACTATAAGTGAATTTAGGTTTTACTACATATGCATATTTAATACTCTTTATATTGCATACGATTTCGTTTTGTTCTTTATCAAAACTTAATATGTAATTCCAAAGAGATTCTGCAAGCAATTTCTATTTATAATTACTTCTTCGATATGCTGACGTGAAATTCCAATCGATTTGTTGACCTTTGCAATAGGTTTCAAGTCGGAAGAACTCTAAGCGCCCACACAAACGCGCCACAATGACCCGATCACCATTTATATAAATGTGCGTTATGCCTTGGTTGGACTTCACTTCACCAGGTGAAATGCACTACAAGCATAAAAAATAACAGAAATAAATAGATAAATATAAGCATTTCGTTACAAATTTACAAAAATTATTAGAACATGACAAGTTATTTCTGCACCCACCTTTAAGATGCCGTCTGGCATTTCCCACAACTCGATCCGGCCATTTGCGCAGCCCACCGCCACAAGATTATCGAACGCGTTCATACACCAAATCGGCGAGTAAGGCAAACGCTCGACCGCCACCTGCGTGTCTTCACGCTTTGTTGCTATCTGCATATGTTCACGATGAATTGTCGTCAAATTCTCACCGCTGCGTGAATCCCACACCTTTATTTGGCCACGCAGACAACAGCTGATGATATGCGAACCATCGGTTATTAAACATTCGATCGTATGCTTATGGCCGACAATTTTTGTGGGAACACCCTCGAGTATGTGCTCAGTTTTTTGTTGTATTTCTGACGACTCATACCAACTGGAACGCCACTCGGCATAGTTGCGTGTGCAAATGCAACGATAGAAAACGACCATTGTGTAGCTGAGCACAAAAATGCTGATTAAGCACATGGAAATGACAAAAAAGAATTCCATCGGACTTTTGGGGTAGAGTGGTGTGCCACCTGGAAATACCATGGGCGATTCACGGCGTTCATCGTCGTTAAAATCAATGGGGTCAAGGGCAGCGGCTAGCGCTTTCCATTGGAAACTTTGCGCCACTTTCTCTTTGGGATTGCGTATGAGTACCGCCGCTTCGGCGCTAATAGGATGCGTTAGCTTGATGGTGGGTAGCAAAGTTACATAACGACCACTTAGCGAAATATTATATTGTTTCATAATGGTGCACCAATGGAAATTTGAGAGAAAATAATTCATTTCATAGTCTGGATAGAGCAGACGACGCAGCTCGGCATTCGTGTCATTAAAGGATCCACCGTCGGCTGAGCCTAGGGAAGGCACAATTGTGTGAACATATAAAAATAAATAATTATTAGACTTTACCTTTCTGTCTGCCATGCAACGACTTCTTGCCTTTTGGTATACGGCCGTCGCGCTGTCCCTTCACTGCTGCCTCCTCCCCATTACTGTTCTGTTCAGCTGTTGCCGCGCCATTTATTGCATGCTGCATATTTGTAAAGAAGCTCGAAACTGCGCTTTGTTCGTGCGTCTTGACAAATCGTTGCGCTTCGTCTTTGCCGTACGCTGTGCGATTGCCTTCCATTGCGAAAAGATTCTCCAAACAGCCTGAATTGTAAACGATCGTGCATATCCAAACGCTCATCCAAATCATGAAGGCACGCTGAAAGAAGCGCGTACGCGCCCAGAAATTAACTATGCGCAGCCGCTTCGGTATGCGTCCATCTTTATTCGGTTGTATGCCAGTCTTTGCGGTTAAGTCGGCTGGATGAGCATTGAGATCGGCGAATGTTAGTTTTGGATGCGATTGTGAACGATGGAACATGCCGAAGCCACCGTTGTTCATTGGCTGGTGTGGTGTGGCGGACACATCTCCCGCTAAGGACATATACGACTGACTCTTATCGTAGAAACGATAATCGTTACGTCCATTCGGCAGCATGCCAAAGCCACCAGGCGGTGGCGTTGCCGTGCTGTTCGTCATCGTGCATCTTAACATCATTTTGGGCAAATGTTTCGCTTCGGTCGTGTATTCAGGCAGTTTGATATTCATTGCGAGTATGGTGGGGAAGAGCAACATCTGCAGCATGAAATCTGAGAGCAAACCGATAATGGCGAATATGCTGAACTTTTGTATGACCGGCACCATTGTGATGCAACCAATGGTGAGTATGGTGATTTCGGTTAGCAACGTTTTGGAAATGTGCCAACCCTCCTTGCTGAGCGCTTTGGCGACACGTATCTTTACATCGAACGTCTCTTGCGTATAAACGACGCTCTTCGTTATGACTAGACAATTCTCCAGACCTACAAGTATAACCAAATACGGAAACACATCCTTCGATTGCAAACTGATAGTGAGGCCGAAGAATGAGCAAACTCCCAGTGACATGGTCAGACTGCCTAACACTGTTATAACAGCACAAATTGCGAGCAATAGACGTGAGCGTATTATTTCGATTTTACGCACCGAAAAATACATATAAATGAACAACAACACAAAAGCAATGGCCAGCGGCATAAATTCCCACAGTTTAAACTCATCGGGATAGAAAATGTAAGTGATGGTTGATTTCTCATCACCGACTTTTGTTGTTGGCTGATCAGCAGTTGTTGTTGGATTGAGCTGTAGCGGTGGATAGTACTGGAAGAGTTTATGCTTCAGCGTGCTCAAGTACTCCTGATCATTTTGCTTCAGTATCAATGTGATGGCATATTGTATTATACGCGAACGCGAACGAAGTGGATAACGTTTGAAACCGGTATCTTGCATTGGCACACCGAAGAGCATTTCGGCGATGGAGACTTTGGTTTTTTGGAGATTCTGAAAATATAAAAGTAACACACATTTGATGTCAGCATCTATTGTAAAATTCCAGTTAAGTTGTTCTATCAATTATTTAACTCAATTTAGGAGGGAGAAATATTTAAAATTGTTTATAACAATTTATAATACACCTTATTTCATTAAGGGGTTAGGGGTAGTCAGAGGCACGAAAAAATTAAAATTTTCAGTAATTTTTTATGCTATTAAATCATATATATATTTGACTTGAAGTCAAAATTACAAAAATTACAAAAATAAAATTTTAATTTCTAAAGTTATAGCTGTCTGTGTTGACCCAGTTTCAAAAAAAGATCCTTGCGGTGATAACCATAAGTCCTTGGAGATTTATCTAAAATCAATCGGATAAAAAAAATTTGTTTTATAAATAGATAATCCTGGGCCTGAGCGAAGCTTTTTTTTTAAATTAACAAAATGACAGCCTCAGGAAATTTTTTTCTAGATTTTTGGGAAAAAATCAACAGTTAATTGGTCTTAAAAATCGAAATTTAAAAAAAAAAATCTTTCGATCAGGCCCGAGTTTATTATGTATTCTAAAAGCTGTATAAATTTCATTAGTTGATGAGTTACCAAAGAAATATCAAATAAAATAGTTTTCTATACGGGAACGTGATTTCGTTTGGTCAGCTTGCATGATAGATATATTTTATAGTGATCCGATATCGGCAGTTCCAACAAATTAGCAGCTTCTTGGGGAGAAAGGTCGTCATGCTGATAACTCCGGTAGTATTACAAGAAAGTTGTTGAAGAAAGCTGACATTCTAGAGTAATCAACAAAATACTTTGGACATATCCTACATAATGATAATAAAAATATGAGGTATGTTCTGTACAAAGTACACAGGTGCCATGTGAACTCGAAATCGATTGCACAATGCCAAAAATCAATGTATTCACCTAAAATTGCTTCCAGAAACTTTCTTTCATACTAAGATCTATAATAAGAGAATGACCGATGAATATAAATCGCTGCCTAACCAGATTAATTACATTTATTTTTATCGCGAAAAAACTTAAGTGGATGCGGTAGTGCTGTTCTTTTAACAAATAATCGTAAACAAATGCAATAAAAAACAATTAGGCTTACTCGCACTTTAGTACACAAGTATGCAAACAAATTTGTGCAAGCGGCCGAGCCTATGTGAGTTGTAAATATAAAGTATAATTAGTAATAGGTAGTTTAAATTTAAGGCAAGTGATAAAGCGGTAAATATTGTATTTGCAAACAACAGGGCGTGTCATCTTTCATGTCGATATATAGGCATTGGTAAGCGATTTGCGATTTTAATAGCTTTGGCATTAAGTAAGTGATTAAATTGGTAAGACATGTGTTAAAAGCTTTTGCCATCCATTCACGATCTATGAAACGCCTTTGGGTGACCAAAAAGTGACTGTTTGGTGCGGCGTTGCACCAAATAACAATATATTACGTATCAAAATAAAGAGTCGGTGAATGTTGTTGAATGGAAGGTTCTATCACATTGGAAATTATACTAAATTTTTTCGACTACAAAAATTCCATGGACATCGCATGCCTAAACGAATGTCACCTTTTTATATAGGTATTTATTTTAAAAGCAAAGTGTAGCCTGGCAATACTCTTCTTATTAACTAGTTCTATGCAAACATTCGTGCTGGGTGTCAAAATCTTCATCACTTTACCAATAAAGGAATTTATAATAACTTTTATCTATTACCAAAAACTGGTGATACCGATAAAAATAAAACGGAGACGATTAACTCTTGTCGCACAGGACTTAAGAATTATATGGAAATGTTGTTATATTTGCAGAACATTTTAGAACATTTTACGAAATGTTAAAAATTTATACATATTTATTAAAATATTTATTTTGGCTTCTTTTACTATGAAAGTAAAAATAATTAGATTTATAATTTAATTAAGAAAAAAACTTTTTTATATAAATTACAATGATACTAACTTTCAAAATTTTTTAAAATTTATCATTTCTATATTCATGAAATTTTGAGCAAAAGAGTAGACTCCCAATAGTTCAATGAAAATGGCTAATGGATCTGCTAGAGCTGGAGTTGAATTGTATAACTGAACTAGTGAAGACTATACAATTTAAAAAGTTCGAAAGCAATTTATCGAGAAACTTGTAAATTCAACGAAACATCAGTTGTCAACAAAAGCAACCACAACAAACATATTCAAGTTAATTTGTGAATTAGGTAAATTGAGTAAGCAAATATCGTATATTGTTTAATGCAATAAATATTTGCTCATAAAAGTAAACAGAAGGCACTAAAGATGCGGACAGCTAAACGTCAGCGAAATAGGCAATTAATTGCCAACGTAGACTCACCTTGTTAATTGTGTGTCAAATATTTTTACCAGCTTTTTGCGACGACAAAGTTAAAGTAGATAACGAATATACAATTTACACACATTTTTAACGAAAATCGAATATAAGTATATGTACATACATATAATATTATATATAGCATATAGTTCCGGTATTATTATCAATGATGAGTCAACTAGGCAAGCATGTAGTTAGTGAGAATTCTCCTATCTCGAAAACAAAAAAAGTGATATATTCTTGAGAAAAGTAAGAACAAAAAAGAAACAAGTAAGAAAATGTTAAATTCGGGTGCAGTACTTAAAGCAGTACTCCTGTTATCTAGACATAGTTTTTTTTTTAACAGAAATGAGCAAAAGTTTAATAAATTTTTTTTATAAATAGAATTGGCATAGGATCAAAAAAAAGTTGATATAAAAATTTTGTGGTTTAGGTTACTGCGATACGATTCCTTATCGAACTTAATCGGGTACGGGTATTCTGGACAGAAGTATTCAGTTTCACTAATTTTTTAACTTTTTCGAATTTGTTAAAAATATTACAAGTTTTCAGTTCATTCACACAACAGAGAGAATTTACTGTCAAATTTCAGCAAATAGACAACTGAAAATCGTGACGAACGCTTCGAAAAAAAAATAGTTTCGAAAATAAACACGTTTAAAGTTTTAGGATAAGACTAAGCCGGTCGAGTAGCAGCGACACTAAAACGACTGTTACTTTGAAAATAACTGAAATTTTGAAAAATTCTTTCAGTAAGATATCTTTGAATAACTAAACTATCGAAATTTGAAAGAAGAAAAAATCGATTATAGACTAGAATATCACCTTAAATAGTATATTATCAGCAACTGCATAATTCACTCATAAAAATAATCTATTTACCCTCTTCGACTAAACGTTCTCATATTCTTTGTATAATGTGCTAAATTTACTTGTCCTTATTTCACTATAACCTCAAAATTACGAGTATATATAGCAAATGCAAAAATAATTTAATTATATTATTATTATTACACTGCACAGCACTGGGCTGAGTATTTGACCACACAATTTTTTTCGAATGATTCGTGTCATAAGTAAAAATATAATTTCTTCGCTTTTCGAAGTTAACTTTCAAAATCGCAATATTTGCTTTCGAAGTTAGAAATTAAGCTTGTTTCAAACATTATTAATATTTATAGGAGGTAAATTATTAACAATTTAATAATATAGGTACAATATAATCTAGCCATTCCTCATATTGCAATGGGGTTTCATATTTTTCTGGCAGGCTTATATGACAGATGCTATAAGCGGTGAAAGTTGAATATTCAAAAAAAAAAGATTACATTCTAACTCAATTTCAAAATCCAGATTTTCTTCTATTATTTTTAAAACAAATTATTAATACAAATTTTTTGCAAATAAAACTTTTACAACACAGCTGTCATTCATAAGCAGATATTTACTTACATGATATTGAAAGATGGTGTTCAATAAATTTGAGTCATTCGTGAAATTTTGCACATCTTGAGACCATAAATTCGCCGGCGACAATAACAAGCAATTATATTCGGGGAATAATACTTTTTCATCGCGCGCGCGCTTTACATTATCCACATGCCAGCAAGATTGATCCATTGTGCGTTTACTAAGGGAGCAGTGAACAAATAAATATTTTTAATTTCAATCAAATTAGCTTATCAATGTGAATGAGACATGCAAATAACAATCTAAATGCATTCACTATGCACATATAGATGTATGTAAATAAGTTTATTCGTGCGTGTATATGCATATGTACGTATATGCGTAAGTTACTCACTTGTCGGCGCTTTCATGATTGCGCACAATTTCCAGCAATTTAAAAACTTCGTACAATGGCGCACGATAGGCATCCATTAGCTGCATATCTTCGGTCCAAGGCAGCACACTAGTGCGTAACATTATCTGTTGTACGTAGAATACAGGTGAACTTTTTGCCCATGGAAATGGTGGATCATAGCTGAAATTACTGCTGGTGGGGGGACTGAAGAAATTCCTAACCAATGAGACATTCTGTTGTGGTTGTTCTGCGAAAAGTGAGTAACGGCCGTCGAAGGGCAACATTATTTTGGTGGGAATGGTGCCGGGTAGCGGAATATTTATGAGTGGGTAACTGCGGTAGAGAAAAAAAAAACAATAAATTGCGTAACTTTTTTTTATATAAAATCACTATTTTAGACGTACATATGGTTTTTAAGTAGAAACAAAATGCATATAATTTAATGTTATGGCAAAGAATTTAGTTTTATTATAAAGATAAGAGTTTGGCATTTAATATTTTAAAAATGATTTCGAGCAAGTGGCCGTCGCTGTTGGCTCGAATACATTTTATAGTTTATTTAGGTTGTTACAGACATCTTGGCAAACTTAATATATTCTGTTCAGGGTCGATTGGCACAACCTTTTTTGATATTCGTGTGAAGTTTGATCTTCAAATGTCAATTAGTATCTGTTTGGCAGCTGTGTGTTTACGACATATAAAACAATCACCAATAAAGTTGCCACAATCAAAATTTGCAAAAATAGTGCTTTCAAGGTATGTCACTTCTCATGTAAAAATAGTCGAAATGTGTTCATAATTTTTTGAATTCCCATATACTGAATATGAGACTACGTACCCACATATGTGCTGATTATGAAATAAATGGATCTAATAATAATAATAATAATAACCCAACGATTACCCTCCTCCCGCCCAACCGACGCGAGGGGCGCAATCCGCATACGTGCGGAATCAGCCGAGTCAGAAAAGTCGGAATAGTTTTTTAAGTGTTGAGATCTAAAACTGCCCAGCTACAGAAACAAAAATTTCAACAGCTAAGTTACAATATAATAAATTGTTACATTTTCATTCATTAAGAGAAAACAATAAAGTCTTTTTAATTTTGAAAAGTGAGTCAGATAAGTCAAATGTGCTGGAATGAGAATTAAAATCATGACATATACGGCGGAATGGCGTTTAGTTCAAAATTTGATCTACAGGATTTCAACAGTAAAGGTCTAAACTGCCTCGAAAAGCGAACCGGGATATTAAATTTAATTTCAGACAGGAGAAGGGAAATGCAAACTGTTTCATTCAACTAAGAATATTATGCCAAGTATTTCCCTACAACTAGAAAGTGTAGGTAGATTAATCAGTTTTAAACGACTAGTGTATGGAGGTAGACTTACCCTAGAATCCCATCGGAAATGCGCTAAGGCGAAAAGTAAAAATTGTTTTTGAACAGACTCTAACTTGTCAGAATGGATTTGGTAGTTAGGGTTCCATACAACAGAGCCATATTCCAATATAGGGCTAACCAAAGTTGTATAAAGTGTTTTAGTAATATACGGATCTCTAAATTCTTTAGACCAACGTTTAACAAAACTGAGAACAGCTTTTGCTTTCAAGATCATGGTGTCAATATGAAGACAAAAATTAAGCTTAGGGTTCATATTAACTCCCAAATCAACATAGTTAAAAACTTGCTTCAGAATATGGTGTTTTATTACATAAGAAGAGGGGTGCACAGATCTACGGGAAAAGCACATCGTCTTACATTTATAAAGATTCAATGGCAAATCATTTCTATCACACCATGCAACCATATTGTTTAAGTCTGTTTGCAACAGACACTTTTCCTCAGTTGAAGTGTATGATTTAAAAAGCTTTACGTTGTCAGCATATAATAAAATTTTTGAGAATTCAATTACTGAAGAGATATCGTTAATAAACAACAAGAACAGAATCGGGCCAAGATGACTACCTTGAGGAACACCTGAAGAAATATTAATTGTATCTGAAGGTGTATCCTCAAATATCACTCGTTGTGTTCTATTAGGATAGGAAGCTACCCATTGAAGAAATCTTGACTGAAAGCCCAGTAGATCAAGTTTATGTATGAGAATCGAGAGGTTTACTTTATAGGTTGAGATCTAGTCTCCAAATTCCCAATGTAATAATTTCCGCACCTGTGCTTGACATTTTCATCATATATCCATTATATTAAAGGGATCCGCCAACTTTTTTATAAATAACCAAACTTCAAAATCGGTACAGTGTCTTCGGCTTATAAGAATCATTCTTGCATAAAAACATACATTACTATATTGCAGTATTTATATATGTTACATATATGTAAATATTTATGTAAATGCAGCTGTACTAAGAGTTTCATAACCTTAAATACAAAAACTAAACAAAATGATTGAACCGTAAGTAAACTCTTATGAAGTGCCATATCTGTTTCTTCCTCCAAAAATATTTAAAACAATATAATCTTTGTTTTCTACAATTTATAGTATTTTCTCTTTTTTTGGATTAATGAAGGTCACTTTGAGATGAAGAAAAAGTAATATTGAAACTGCGTCAAATCAATAAAGTTTATAACGATAAGACCTCAGCGGCATTTATATTTAGTAGATCGCAGAACTACTATGAAATATTTAGCATTGTGCGAATATTATTTGCAAATACTTACAATGCATGTATGCACATATGTACATACATACATCTAATGTGAGTAAATAATATTTTGCAACAGGCAAATATTGAAATCCTATTATCAATGCTGATTATTTGCGACATTTAAAGTATTCGAAATTCATGGCAAGGCCCTAATACTAAAAAGAACAATGCTTCATAGATTAACAAAAAACGAAAGTGAGTGAAGTAAAAAAAAAAAAATAACACAGAAATAAACAATAAACATATTATGTATGGAATACGAAAACATTTAAAAATTTTTGACCACCTTGGAGATTCGCGCGACTATTTTTGATGTTTCTATGCTTGATAAGAACTAAAATTATGACTCCATGAACACATTGATAATAGGTACATATATACATCTTTTCATAGCGCGTGGCCCAGCAGACGTGAGTGATAAGTTTCAGACTTAAACGCAGTGGAGTGCTAATAGTTTTTCTTTGAAAATATCGAGTGGAATTTTTCCATGACGTTTTAAAAGTAAATATGTACCTTAAAATGTGTGTGTTTGCAACTGAACAGGGTATATTAAGTTTGCCACGAAGTTTGTAACCCCCAGAAGGGAACGTCGAAGACTCTATAAAGTACTTGTATATGTACATTAGGGTGGAGCGAAATATTTATTTTTTATTTTTTTGCTTAGCCTGGTGGTAAAATCTGTAGATTATAATAAATAAAATTTTTGGACAAAAAAAATTTTTTTTAACATCTACTCGCGCATTCAGTTTTAAAGTAAATTTCGAGTAAACTTTTTTTTGGATAAGAAAAAATTATTTTTGGTTTAAACTCTTTACATTTATATAAAAATTACCGAATGTGACGGGTTTTGACTCAAAATTTATTTTAACGCTTAAGGAAAGCATGTTGTCGTTTAAGACTTTTTTAAAATTCCAATAATGACCACAAAAAAATTTTTTAAGTTGATAAATTTTAATTGGCCAGGAAGAGGTCCACAGCTCTAGAACACTTATCAAAAATTTTTTACAAAATAAAAATTTTAACTCGAAAATTTACTTTAAAAATGAGTATGTCGCCTCTAGATGTTAAAAAATTTTTTTTTGTCCAAAAATGATATATATCTTTTTTTATAATCTACAGATTTTATCCCCAGGCTAAGCAAAAGAAACAATTTTTTTTCGCTCTACCCTAATGTACATATATATATGTATAATTGATCAGCGTAACGAGCTGAATTGGTTTAGCCATTTCCGTCTGTCTGTCTGTGTATACGCAAACTAGTCCCAAATTTCTTGAGATATCGTTTTTCCACACGTCCTTTCTCATTTGTCGGAACAGTCGATATCGGCCAAATATAGCATATAGCTGTCATACAAACTGAACGATCAAAACCAAGTTCATTTATGCAAAATTTTTTTATTTGACAAAAGTTGGCCGACTATGTTTTCAAATTCAGCCTAAGTTAACGTTTTTTCTAAATTATTATTGTGATCTCATGGATTATCTGATTATTAGCTTATACACTAAATTTAAAAGTAAACCAAATGAGATAAAATATATAAGCAAGAAAATAGATTTTTAGAAGAAAGATTTGACAGAGAATTTTAAACCGTTTTAAGCGAGCACAGAGAATTAATTAAAAATTTGTTGTGCCCTGTATGTACATACTTACATATGCATACTATACATTGTAACAAAGTAGTTTTTGTTGGTTTTTACAATAAGCGTATGACTTATGATTCTGATTGGAAATTTTCTGATTTTTTACAAATAGTGATTTTCCACACCAAATGAGTGTTAGGAAATAATTGAATTTGTTAGCATAGCCAGACAAATATTTCTTACAAAAGCTAGCAGTTGATTTGTATGCTTGTAAGCTCCTAAAGCAAATCAAAATCATCGGTACACAGTAAATTCAATGGAACAATTAGTACTGTGCTATATTTTTAATGATTTTGAGTGTTAATCTATTAAAACAAATAAATAGTTTTTGCTGAACTCTAACTTCTAATCACTTATCTCAGGTGTGTTCTAAAAACGTCTTAAGCGTATTTACTACTTTGGGGTATTCCAGTTATTATATTTTAAATTTTTTTAAGAATATGTCGTTAACAGGATGAGTCAAAATTTTTATTATTTTCGGAGACATAGCTACAATATTATAGTGACAAAACAACTTTTTTCAAAAAGTTTCTCGTGATTTCTCAAGTTTACTTGATAAATTTGCTGGATATTTGGTGTAAGTCTTCACTATATATATATCTCCATCATGCTAATCTTATCTATAACAAAATCAAAATTTTTAAAATTTTGGAAAGCTTAGAAAATTAAAAAAAAAAAAACAGTTAAAATTTACTCCGATATTCGCAATTTGGCGAAAAATTTAGTACGATAGCAGCATTTATCTACATAATAATATTTTTTCGTGTTTATACGCTTAACAATGTTTATTAAGTTTGTCACGAAGTTTGTACCATCCATAAGGATACTGTTTTTAAGATATCGACCTGAAATTTTGTATAGATAATTGCTCAAAGCAGCGCTATAATCTTCGCACAAATTGATTGATCAGAATAAAACAAAGAATTTTTATACCCTTTTAAGCAGGTATTATAGCTTGAGTGCATACGAAGTTAACTTTTTTCTTGTTTTTGTTTCAGATCATTTGGAGCGTTGCAATCGTGACAGATTTGGCGCGCCAACTCCAACTACCACATACACATATCATTTTGAGTTTTCACTTTTTCAAATTTTTTATGTATTGTTAAAACATGAATAAATATTTTTTTCAAAAATTCATTATAAAAATATTTTTGTTTTTTATTAATAGTAGCCAAAAATCACTTCAAATGCATGCCTCTGCAGTAAAATAGGCCTTAAAAGTTACAACGCAACTTTGCCAATTCTTTGTTTACTTATTTCAAACATACCTATACATACATACATACTATTTATATATTATACATACCATATATATATTTATATATTTTCTACTTGTAACTCATTTAAATCAAGCATTCGCTAGCTGTCATCTTAAAGTTACATCAGCTTGCTGAGAACTTTCCAATACAAAAACAATTTTTTTTACACAATGGCAACCAACGAGCGAACTGTGTTTTATGCGTGCTATTAGGCTTACAAAAAAATATTCAAGAAAACAACAACAACCATGACAATGCACAAAATCAGGGCAAAGTTTACGTACGTAATCGCAAATAGACAGGGAAACGCATAAAAATGCGAAACGAACGCTAAGTAGATTCACATTTCCCAATGCGCGCGTGAATGCTACTCATTTTATCTATGGGAACGTGAGTGTTTATACCCTGCAGGGAAGCCCGGAACTTGTGAAATAAAACTTCAGCTCGTAACTAATTAAATTGCATCTATACTTTTTAGTAATGCTGCTTTCTAGATTTGTTAGAAAATTTTCATTTAAAAACAGCAAGACAGTTATTGATTTCATATACAAAGAGAGTTTATGGATTATGTATAACCACTTGCTATGCTATCTCTAATTGGTTATTGAAGACCATTGCCATACTCATATTGTTTTTAACTTCCCGCTAAGAAAATGGAAAATTTTCTAAAAATCGGGAAGATATTGGTTTCACCCCATTTTGCAAAAATCGAGTTCTCAACAGATCTCGACGTTCTGAGGGTCGAGGAAGCTTCCCCGAACATTTCTACGATGATGTCCGTATGTCTGTATATATGTGTGGATGTATGTGTGTGTGTGCGGATGTATGTGACCCTCTTATAACTATTAAACTGCTCAACCGATTTGAATAAACTAAACGGCATTCCAAAGGGTTTCATTGCACTTGAATTTCGTGTAAGTTTGGACCCAATCGGACCAGTAGATTTCGAGAAATCTCAAAAATAACGACCAAACGACTTGACCGATCGACACCAAAAACTAATCAGTTCTAAACCTTGAAGAAACACATCGTTTGCCGCAAACCGGGTCGAAATCGGTTGATTTACTTGCTAGATATCGAAAACGAAAAATTTAGAAGAGCTCAAAAGCAGTGAAAAAAGCGAAATTTGAACGTTAGCGTATGAAATTAGAGGGAAGTTGCAGGGATGGCCCTTGAGGCCAACCGTTTTCCACATTTTTTTTTATATAATTAAAACCCTCTGGAAGTTCTTACAGGAGCTTTTCATTTCCAACAGTGATAACTGTAAAGATTTGTATATGAAAATTATTTATAGACGCTTGGCAAGTGCTGGTTGTTTCTATGAAAAGATCAAATGAGCAATAATACTAAGTGCACTAGAACTATAACTACAGGGTGGCTCACGAATCGTGCTACAAAAACAAAACGTAATTACTGTTTTTAATCAATGCGTTACAACTTTTTTTTTTTGTAATTGAATAGCAAATTTTATTTTGTCTTATTGAATTATTTTTAAAAATTATTGGTTTGAGCTCCGCAATAACCGGTCTGGTACCAAACACTATTGAAAGCGATGTCTTCGGCGCAGTTCTGGGTACAAAAAAAACTCACTCAAAATTCCAGGCATAGACAAATCTAGCGGGTTTAACCGGCTTGATATTTGAACTTTGTAGGGAAACAGGTTTAAGTCATCATAAACCGTCTACTAACTCTAAGTTGCGCAGGATTACGGATCTCGATGGTACGGTCTTCGGTATCGTTGCAAAATTCAAATTCTCTTTTTGATATATCAAGCATTAATTTAAAAAAAATTTAAATAATAACCTTCCAAATAAAAAAAGTAAGTCAGTTACTAACACAGAAAAAAAAGTATTACTGTTTGCCTTTGTAGCACGATTCGTGAGCCACTCTGTATGTACGTATACAACATATAATACTAAGTGCTTAGGCGCTTGCTTTAAGTTGAGCCGCTTTTAATATTCATACCCGACTGTAACTTGACGTACAGGCATTTGGATCATTGAATTTAGCATTTTAAGTCGGCTTTCTTATAGAAAAAATAGGATATAATATAAATTGATAATTAGTTTCATATTGGTAGTATTGCAAATAAATATATATACCTTTAATGCACTGCGTTACAGTTATTACACCCTGAGCAGGATATATTAAGTTTACCGCGAAGTTTGTAACACCCAAAAAGAAAGGTCGGAGGCTCTAAAAAATATATGTACATATATATTTAATGATCAGCGTGACGAGCTGAGCTGATATAGCCATGTCCGTCTATCTATCTGTCTATCTGTCTGTATGTATACACGCGAACTAGTCTCTTAATTTTTGAGACATCTTTCTGAAATTTTGCACACGTCCTTGAAACTGCTCATTTGTCGAAACCGGAATGAATATCGGACCACTATAAGATATATCTGCCATACAAACTGACAGATCAAAATCAAGTTCCCGTATGGAATTTTTTTTTATTTGTGAAGGCTTTTCTAACTTCGGTGCAATCGAAGTTAACATTTTTGCTTGTATTGGAAATAATTTTATTTATCAGAAAGGGGAGAGTTAAGTGTAGAGAATTGCGCGCGACATTTATTTTTAAGTGTTTATAATATTATGTGTATTCAAATTTAAATTTTTTATATATTGTACTTATAGATTCTAACTTTGTACGTACATACAGGGTCTATCAACAAGAACGACGTGATTTTAAAATAATATAAACACTCAAATTTGATCAAAATGAGTTCCGTTTTTTCTTTTATAGACATTTATGATTTGAGGCCCTGTGTTAGAACTAGGAACTCTGAGAATATATATATATATATATGATTTGAACGAAATGTCTGCCAAATGGCCACAACGGCTACGTTTGCATATCTCCATCCATATACGCCAATTTTCCATGACCCGGCACTGAACACACCTACAAAATTTCAGACAAATCCGTAAACAAACATGGCCGCCATGAGCTGTCAAAATCACGCCGTCCTTATTGGAAGACGTTGTTTATGTACTCTACTATTTAAAGTTTTTTCTAATAGTACTCATAACAACATTTGACGTCACATTTCGCAAGTGCACTTTATGAGTTGGCTTTGCACGGTATTGATAGGTCAATAGTTATGTTGTTTACGAAAAAACAAACGCAAATCGAGCAAAGTTCTTGCACATAAAAAAGGCTAACTGATAGCGAAATTATTTTCACCATACATATAGACACTGCATCAGTGGTATATGGGTAAGAGTACACAGTTATAAGTTATAAATTACTTTACAGCTAGTACGGACCGCAGTCCAACTGGTCAACCCTTCGTCTTTTTTCGATATAAGAAAAGAAAGCATTATCAAAAATATGCAAAAAAAAATCTAGTCTGTAATTGTTTTTGGTAATTGCTGTCTAGTTGGGTTCCAGACAGGATTTTCTTGTTGTGAACTGTTAAATTTGCCCACCAATACTGTGAGATATTGTGCAACATACTTACATATGTATATGTATTCATTAAAATTTGATTCGAAATTCAATGCATGCGCTTTTATTGGACATAAGTGACAATAGTAAATGATAATGTTTAAATTAAAGCGCCTTGAGTTTATATTTAAATATCACTGCGCAACATTTAAATAGTAATTACATATGTATAACGGATGTAACGGTGGGGAGGGCGATTGTTGGCCGTGTGAGGCGCACCTTTTTAGTTGATTCATATACTATATACAGGTTGGTTGGAAAGTGAGTAGTGCTCATCAAGAAATAACACTACTAGCTCCAAATTTTTTTTCTCAAGTTAGTACATCTGTCGTGAGAACACATGCAAAGTTACAAGTCATTCTGTCAATTATTTCTTTGTTTACAAGCCATTTGAAGTCGACGTGTGAAAGTATTTTTTTAATATTGGAAAAAATTTAATATCGCGCAGTGATTAGATTCTTTGTTTTAAAAGCTTTACAAGCAAAGGAAATTTATGAACAATTGTTAGCAGTTTACAAGGAGCCCTCAACTTCACCGTTGAATTTTGGGCTGGTGAATTTAAACGTTGTCGTACTAGGCTTGAAGATGATCCACGCGAAGGACGACCAAAAACCGCAACCACACTAGTTATCATTGAGCAAGTTAATAATATTGTTAGTGAAGATCCAAGGCTGACTAAGCCTTTTGAAACAGCTGGATAAAAAATTCGTGAGAAAAGACCTGGTTTGCAGCACAAGAAAATCATTTTTCATCAAGAAAATGCACCTGCTAACAAAGTTTTTTTAACAATGACAAAATTCAATAATAACAAATTAAATAAAATAAGTGTATTGAAGTTAAGGGAGTTTATATTGAATAAAAAAATATATTTCGTACTAAAAGCATTTGAACACAACAGAAACAAATTTTTTCAGTTCAAGCGCAGAAACTTTTCAACCAACCTGTACATACATATATCTATATATACTCGCCATTTTCTCTGAAATTTCAGTTTTCATTTGTTGTTTCTTTTATATATAGTCCAAAATATTAAAGAAACAACTTTAAACTAAATTAAAATATTTAAATTGTCGTCTTCGATACGTCTGCTCGTTAATTTTGATCACTGCTCTCTTATCAGAACGTAAATAACACATATTTTTACCAATTTAATTTATTTTATATTTTTGAAAGCTGTTTTTTGAATAATTTGTTCGGAGATTGCAGCGCTGCGTAGGACAGCAACCTATGCTAAATTTAGAGAATAAAACTTGTCAAATAAAAAAGTTTTCCATACAAGGGATTGAGTTCGTTCTATCAGTTTGTATGTCAGCTATATGCTGTAGAGGTCCGACAAATGAGCAGCTTCTTTAGGAGAAAAGCACGTCCGCAAAATTTCAGATGGATATCTTAAAAAATGAGGGGACTAGTGCGCGTGTATATAGACAGACAAACGGACATGGCTAAAACAACAGATCATCTACATACATATATATTTATTTTAATAGCAGATCGCTTTATTTGCCAACCCACTTGGGGGCAGCAGATCTCATATAGACGATGAGATGTGAACATCGAACTTGTAACATTATTTATATTCAAAAAAAAAAACAGTGGCGAAATTTTATTTTATTTTTTTTTAATAAAAGAACACTTATTGTAACGTAACTATAACAGTTAGACATATGGTGTCGCGATAATTATATATTCTGCAAAGTCATAGTATATTATTTTGTGCTATAATCAATAGTATACGCAGCGCAGGCTATGTAAGGAATGTTTTAGGTTATTTTTTACACTTTGGGTTACATTATTGACGTTTTAGTAGGGATCCCTAACTTATTTGAATATATAATATAACCTATGTTCACCGGAAAGAGTGTAGCTTCCCAGTGGTAAGAGCATTTTTCAAATTCATTAAGTAATTTTGGAGTCTATCCATATAAACAAACAAATAATCATTTTTTTTTTTTTTAATATTAGTATAGATAAAGTTTCCGATGCTTCTTTTTGAGTGTTACAAACTTCACGGCAAACTTAATATACGCTGTTTTAATGCACTCTCTGTTACAAGTATATTTTCATAGCACAAATAACTTTTTGTTTATATATTATGTGTTAATTCAAAGTCTAACTTTGCTCGCTTACGTGTTTAATTTCTGGAGAAAAATATATGTGCATACATTTAATACGATTATAAACGGAAGTGCATAAGTTAATTTATTTAATAACCGCACCAATATTTTTAGCTATTAACATAATAAAATTGTTCATTTTAAAAAGTAAGGTTGGATTAATGGTTAACGGAATCGGACATTAAGTACTTGCGCCCGTATGCGTATTTCAATATTTTTGCATAAAATGTATTATTGTTAGTGTCAAATGTGAATACATTCGCAAGTCCATTTTTAATTACCTAGCTTTAGGGTTACCAGGTGTAATTTTCGGGGTAAATTTGTTTGCTTAGAATACAAGTATATTTTATTAGTCGAGGTTTTTGCGAACTATATAATTCAGGAAATTTTAATTATTAAATATTTTAAATTTTTTGTATTATAATATTGTGATATATTATAACAAACTAAAATCCTTGTACTGAAAACTTTTTTATTTGACAAGATATCTTAACAAAATTTTTAACAAATTATTGTTCAAGGCAGCGCTACAACCTTTTTAATGAATTTTTCAGATCGATCTACTATAGCAGGACAATTAATTACATTTTCTTTGATAATTGCACTAACTATTCGCTTTTCCACTTTCAATAATTATTTTATTGTACACGGCTATAAGAATACTATAGAATAGTTAAATTACAGACACATTTAACTACAACACGGCGTGAATCATGAACTTTGCTTTGCATGATTTTAACAACTCACTATCAGCCATATTACAGGTAGAAAGGGTATTAAAGGGTTTTTATGTGCACACAAACATAATTTTTTTTCTTTATCTTTTTAGATTATAGTGTGTATTCAAAAATAGCGTATAACGTGCTAAAAAAGTGCAAAATGTAGTAACCAATTATCTTTTCAAACGTAATACCAGAGAATGTAGATTATATATTTTACATTCTCTGGTAATACTACTTGTATAAAGTAGTAAAAGCAATTACAGTACAAAAAAAAAAGATAAAAAATTATAAAAAAAGTCTCTTACTTTTTGAAATAAAAATTAGAACTAACAAAAAAATATTGGCCAAATGGCAAAGCATACTATGTATGTTATAGAGCTACAGCTTCACGTATAAGCATATAATAATTTTGTAGTTTATTATTTTACTTTAATTTTTTTGGCACGAACTGAGTAATGATGCAGTTTTTAAGTTTTAAGGTTCATCAACAACAACGGCGTATATTTAATTTTTTTAATATTGTGTTTTTCCCCATGAAGACATCGAAATTTTTACCAATGTATTTAAAATGTCTGTTTGTACACATACAATATAATGTGCTGACGAAGTGAATAATCTTACTCATTGGCCTGCTACTATACATATGTATATGATAGCAACTGTTTTGCAATTTCATTCATTAATTTCAAAATTGGCCCCAGCACGTCTACGAATAGTTTTTAAACTACTTGTTGCATGATAGGTAGGCACATGTTCATGAAACTAAATACTTGTATACGCATTTACATACATATGTACAACCGTATACATTACATACGAATATACAGACATCACACTTCTTATTTTACTGCGTATTAATTAACTATTTCACAAGAATTATTTATAATAACTATAATTCACAGGTATAGTGCAAACAAATTAAATAAAACTATCGTTAAAACACATATCGATATGTAAACATACATACATATATGGTACATATTAATATGCACGTTTATTCATTGAGTACGAAAGTTGTCTAAGGAAAAAAAGAAAATGTGGACGGAAAAATGTGATCAAAAATAATAAAACTTCGTACTATGTACAAACTTTTACACGTTTTTCGTAATACTAAGAACTTTTAATAGTACATACATTGTATACATATGTAAATGTACGTTTAACTTAAGTCTTTTTCTATACAATACAAGGATCAATTGTATATTGATTAATAAATATACTTAGATAAAGCATTGATGCATATTTAGGTAGAATTGCCGATACAAAAACATTTGCATGTGAATTATTAAATTATATTACGAAGGAAATACATACTTGTACAAGTACATAAGCATACATTACACTTTTTTATATTTTGTTATATTTGTATTTAGTATATATTGTTTTGTATTACACTTCATTTAATGTATAGGTAAAACAAATATTTATTGTATGAGAAAGCTTACTTAACACTCTTGTATTGCTTTACTTTAGTAATTGCTTTATTCTTTTCAGCTTTAAAAATAAAAACATATTACTGTGCTAATGAATAATTTATGTATAAATACTAATGCTTACGTACATATGTATGTGTGCACACTGGTATTTACTCACCACGATAGTAATATTGCCATTATAGCAATGCTAGCGGCACATGTTGGATAGCTGGAGAGGAAGAGACCATGTTTATAGTAAAAATGCGAAACAGCATCGGGAAGACCTGATGTATTAGAGGTAGAAGAGCGCTTTTGGGCAATGTTCCCGCCAATATTGCCTAAACTAGCAGCTCCACCGGATGTAGTGGTCATTGCTGTTGTTGTTGTTGTTTTATTGTATTCGTATGAACTCGAATTACCAAATGCTTTGGAAGAATCAACAGCTGGCATATTTGTGTGTTCTCTGGGTGTGCTCGTCTACCGGCACTGTATCAGCATTCGTATTCACATTGCAAGCGCTATCGCTTGCATGTGAATAGCTTTGCAAAGCGTGAAGGCAGACGAATTTTTGTATAAACAACTGCGAACGAACTTTGATGGTTTATCGCCTAGATCTTTATATTAATTTTGTTCAAAGAAGAATGTACTCTTCAACATGCGGTTGACACTCACGCAACGCAGTCGGGTTTTAACCGAAGTGGTGTTTTTTTTTCTTATAGAAGTAATGATTTATCTTATTTTGCACTTCTTATGCCTTTTTTCAATGCGTTTCCATTATTTTTTTTTATTTAACTTTTTTGTATTAACAGATCTGTGGTCACCATATTATTTTCTTTTCATACATAATTACGCAATTTTTTTTTAAAGTTTTATGCAAACGAAATTTAAACCTGTAAATATTTGTTTAGTAACGAAAACTTTTTCATAATTTGTAAACACTACATATACTTGTTTTAAACAGAACTAGTGCTAGTGAGAGTATGTACATACTTATTTACATTTGCGTTTAAATTGATATGTGTTAATTAATTCCCCAATTAGAATTTTACACTTATTCGATATAAATTAACAAATTACTTCATTTTGTTAATTTCTTCTTGGCTTTCAATTTCATTTACATGCAACTCATTTACAATCACATTTCGTGCTATTGTTATCACATTGTCACAAAAAAGCATTTCAGCAAAACCAAATTCCCTCCGCGATTATATTGTTAAATTATCAATTCATATCACTTTGCCGGCCGCCGTAATCAGTGCCAGCTGAAAGATTCTGTAGTATGTTGTTATTGTATAAGTTGTTTGAAAGCGTTGTTAAATATGTGCTTTTGTTCCGTTCCCTTTTATTGATAGAGTCACTCCCATATCTACCGTCTGCCCCACCTGCTTGATCAACATTTCCTGATGCCTCTCAAGAATGCGTTCTTCATTACACAGATGTCATAATATATTCGTATCCATAGGGGGGAGATGGTATAGTCAAAAATGTAAAGACGAATGCAGAAAATCGTTTAGGAGATAATGGAAAAACGAAGACAAAGATGTGGTATTAAATGACGATTTTCCTCTATCTTATTTTATTTTATTATTGTTTATTTTAGCAAAATAACTATTTTTACAAAATGCACAACAGTTAGCCGGTTTATTGTTTAACTCTTATTAACATTGATTAGTAATTATGTTAAACCGAAATTAAATTTATTTTATATTATTAAACATTGCTTGCAGCGGAGTATGCATAAATTCACTTTATTTCGTTCTTTCACATTTTTGGTGATCCTTTTTGCTTTTGGGTATTCATTCCCATAGAACTGACACTCGATGACAACCAATTAATCACCATCTGCTTTGCAAATTTTTTATCAAATTCATAAGCAACACAGTAGTAAACAATTTTTGGATTTTAACTTACACCCTCATTATGAATAAAAGTGTTTAGATATAAATCACCACGAAACGAAATCATCTAAATAATAAAAAAATTCAGTTTTTCATGCGTGTTAGATAGAAAACATTCTAACAAGAACAAGTTCCGTGCAAAATTGAAAAGAACATAAACTACGCTTGCCAGATGTACATACTGCGTAAAAATCATAAAAACATAAAGAAATATTACTGAGCGCATTATATACTTAAAAATTATAACTTTAAAATTTCTTGAATAAAAATCACTATGTTTTTTATTACTAGAGTCTTAAAGAAAGCAGTATCCTTAATTAGGAAGCTTTGTTAACTATAGATGGTAGCACTATTCTAACTAGAATTCACAACAATGCACTTTGCTGTGCTTTGAATCAGCTGTGCAAATGTCAAATATGTTACAGCGTGGCCAGCAGTTAAGAAATATTTATTTCACCACAACAACATTTATAACAGCACGGAGGCATTTTTGAGCAGATAATTAATTTAATTCGAAATTTTTCTAGAAGTGTGTAACCAATTCAATAGAACTAATGTAACTGAGTACGATTTGAACAAGGATACAATATATTGGCACGAATTAGATTTAACTGATTCAGAATCCACTTTAAATAACATTTCACCCAATACTAGTACTTACTACTTACCGATTCAAACACGGTTAGATCCGTAACTCCGGTAACGTAGTTGAACACAACGAATTAGTATTGAAACGACGTGTGATATGTTTTTAAAATATGTTTTTATTGTTTTATTTTTGTTTAAAGTAATAATAGTATTATATAATCATATATATAATATGTCTTTGGAAACAGATTACAGTCATTTTGAGTATTAGTTTAGTTTAACTAAATTTTGTAGGCAATACATTTATTTTGTTTTATTTAATCATGTAATTTACGATAAGTTAATCTTATCTATGGTATATTATGGCTACAATAGACCATAGGTCGCGGTGCATACCTCTACTAAAAAAAATGGTATATTATATCTGGCATATATTAATAATGCGTATTTTCCGTTTATATTTTAAAATTATAATCATCATTTGAGAAATCACAAGTGGCAAATATTTATTTGAAATATTTTCTGTTGCCTTATTTAATTTTGGTTTGAAAATTAAGCAAAATTCCACATATTCACCATATCTTTCGGTTTGTTCGGACATTATTCGAATACCACATACATAGTTAACATGTTCATTAATTGGCAAGAAAAATTGATAAAAGTTTTCTTAACACTATTCATATATGTATGTACATATGTATGTGTTTGTTGTAGTTATTAAGTTGTAATGCTTAACAACATCGTGACTAATATTGAGAATAATTTTTGATGAGCATTTGAAGTTTAAGACAATTGGTTGTTTTGATTACCGATTATCCGGAACTGTTTTGCAATAACTTTTCTAACAATCCTAATTGTATATAAAAAGTTTTGAATTTTTTCTTATGCAATCTCTTAGGTTGCATGAAAAAAATCATTTATTCAAAGTTATTATAGGTTTCGAGTAGTAATTATTAATGTGTGTAAGTTACTTATATACATTTAAAATTAAAAGTAAAATTATCATATGTTTGCATGCATATGTATGTATGTATACATCTACAATAATTTGAGAGCGTATGCTAATTTACGAAGTTACAATGTTCTATTTATGTATTTACATTCCTACAACTGCTCACATTCGTTATATTTATATAACTTACAGCCGCTTATGTAAAAAAATTTAAGATTTATTGCCACCATAATTTTGAATTTTAATTTCCTTTCTGAATTTATTAACATTTTCAGCTTCCGGATTACTCAGGTACATTAAAGCATGACCGCTTGATTTTCTAGCCCTTTAGTCTCAAATACAATTGACCTGCCAAATTAATCGCACTTTTTTATTGCTTTTCCAATATCACTATACCAGTACTATGAGCATGAAATGGAATTAGTGTGTATCCACCAGGATCTGGCAAAAATCAACGTTAAATACTAGTCAATTTTTGTGGCTGGCTTTGTAGATTTACCGTCAACATCTACAACTTCTGACGTCACTAAATTTATGGAATTTCGTTTCATTCGTCGCATCATGGTGACAGGTCCACTGCCAGCAGCCACAGCGGCCGCCATTTCGGCAACCAATGAAATTTCACTTATTGGTGAACTGTTTGTGGTTGGTGCCAAAGATATGGGTGTCGTCGGTACCGATTTGGACAGCAGCTCGGGTGTATGGCTGCCGCGTGTAGTGAGTAACGGATTATCGGTTGAGACACGTCTCTCGTTTCTGGTGCTGTTATTTAGTGGCAATTCAAATTTGGGTCTTAGTCTTTTGACAGTAGACACAGCTGTTGGTTTGCTAAACATTAGTACGGTTGTTTTGTTCAATATGGGGCATAGAAAGATTTCATGTATTGTTGCGGCGATGCGATAATTTTGTCCTTGAAATGGATCTGATAGCGCAGCGCATAGCATATGGCTGAGATTTATGCCGGTAAACTGAGGTGGAAATTTATTATTAAAGTAATTTTGTATGAAAATAAAATTTTTTGCTTACCATTGATAAAGGGGTCAGTAAGGCGAAATGATATAGCAGCATTGTAGCAGTCCCGATAGTAGTCCAATTGTAGTCGTATAAGTCCTCAATTTGATACGCGCCTGGAAAGTTTTTAATTAGATTGAGCATAGGTAATCAAAAATGTTTTCATATTTTTTATTTAATCTTAAGCTTTAATAACATTAGTTTCTTAAAAAAAAATAGGAAGCAGGCCTCCAGATTTACTTGCAAGGCACCCCACATTGTAACTAGAGAAATCTGTCCATATTTCATAGTAATTATTAATGTAGTATCCGTAATACCACAGAAAAGTTGAATTTCGACAACACTTTAACCGAAACTTTTTTTTGGACGGATTGAGTTGTTATCGATAATATCAAATTTCAAAACTTCAACCAAAATGCAGTTGCGTTGAAAACCGTAATAGGGGCTTATAAGTAACGCTCTACCCCACTCTTCGTTTATGACGTCACAAGCTAATGTGTTTTACTGTAGCAGTTCGAAATCGTTGTAATCGCTATTTCTAACATTCTAGCCATGTACATATATAACAGTTAATAATTAAACAATATTTTGAAAATCAACAAGCCGAATAATATATCGAATAAAACTAATTGGATTTATTAGACATCAGAATGTGTTGCATTTGTATTGCAAAAAATATATTTCTAGTAATTACAATTACTATTCTGGTAATTTTCGAAAGCTAAAAAAAACAGCTGATAAGTAATTCTCTACAAGTATTATAAAAACCGTTATTTGAAAACGACATAATAGAAAACACAAATTTTTACGAATTATTTCCATTTTCGAATTCGTATTTTTCATAGGAACAGAACGGTTCTGCGGAAAGCATTACATTACTGATTCCCTTTAAGCAATTTTGTAAAGACTTACCACTTCTTAATATATACGCCGGTATTATATAGAGTAGAGCATGCTGAATCCAATATGTTGCCTGTTCAAAATGTAGTGTACGACATTCTACTTCCGGGAATAGAAACGCCAAAAAGGGACCGTTTAAATTATTCATTTGTATGCGAAATAAAGCGATGGTCGTCTTACTGGGCTTTGCTGCTAAAAGGTAGATCTGCAAGCAAACATATAAACAGATAAATATTTTTTATTTAAAAAAATTTCAAAATAATGCAAATTACCTGCACTAAAGTTTGGATGTGACAGGGATTCAAAACATATATCATATTTTTATTGGCAAATTTGAAGCCCATTTCCACGCCAAATATGAAAGTCATCAATATCATCAGCATGAGTCTTATGGCGGAGTGTGGCTTATTGATCTCCTTCAGCGGTGGCATTATTATCGGATCCATGCGTTTTGCGGCCCAGCATATTAGATAAATGAAGATTGCACTTAAAATGGTGGATTCAATCCAGCGGCGACGATTCGTCATGTAGTTGATGCATTCCGAACCGGCTGTACGTGGTATTTCATCGTTGACACCGGCAACAGCCCAGCTCCAATCCATAATAGAGTGTGTAGAGAAAAAGGACGATTTTTTGCTTTTTTTTTTGTTAATGTTTTAGATTAATTTTTGGTTGCTTGGTTGATTTGATAATTGTCTTCAGTCACAGTCTATAACCTAAAAAAATATATATAAAAGATAAAAATAATAATATAACGTTATCATGGAAACAATTGTTCATTAGATAGTTTAAAAATTGTAGAAAAAATAATATTTGGGTGTAAGCAAGTATACAAGTAACTACGTAGTTGTAATAGCGTAAAAAATCTTCATTGTTAAGTTTAAGCAAGTATTGCTTTGTTTATGGAACACGTTTTTGTAGATTCTGGCAGCAAATGTAGTTAATATATATATTTTTCCAGCACCATTTTGAGAGTTACTGTCTCTCCATATCTCACGAATTGCTTGCTCGTTACTCGTCTGAAATATTAATGACTAGTTTCTATCATATTAAATAGGCTTTTCATTACAGCGCCTAAAAAGGATAATCTCATCAAATTGCAGCCTTGAGTTGCTCTACTGATATCACCAAGATGTCTCATAACAGTATAACCGAACTTGTTATACAAAACATCGCTTGTAACATAGGTAAGCTGTGTGATATCATTATCTTCATAAGCTTCAGCTAAAAAGCTGTAGAAAAGCGCTTTCAAGTCCATTTCCTCGATTTGCGCTTATTTAAAATCGGTTATTATAACCCAAATGATATTTGTGCCCGCAGTTTCAAAGGCAATTACCGAAAATTTACACAAAATTGTCTTCTAAATAAAAATCATTACCGAAAACTTGGTTGCTTAACGTTAGATTTTTCAAATCACCGTAGTGTTGGTTTCGATTGTTAAGCATTTTGTTTGCTATTATTTATTTACTATATTTTCTGATGCTATTGATACTGAAGCTTTCGTTGTCAGCGGGGATATACTTGTACACTAATAATTGCTTTACTGTAACTCATAAAAACAAATTCATTGTGAATGGGTTTTTCTATTTTTGAACAATTTTTTCTTAAACATTACCCACTGTGCAGCGCTTTGGCGCCAAATGGTCTGTGAGTTTATTGAAGTGTGTGCTAATAATAAAAATAAAATCGCCGCCGTCATAAGAAATTAAGGCATAAATGTAAGTATTATGTACAAGTACATACACACGTATGTACATACGTTAACATGTGTATGACACCGACCGATACGAGTACATATAAGTACATATTGTTGTGTGTTCACTTTACGAGAAATATTTTTATAGATACTAGGATGCCACATCTATAAATAGTATTATACTTAAATGTGTTGTTGGCTGATGTTACGGTGTAATCATAGATTACTCATACGCCCTGATGGCCCGGAGTACTTTCTATAATTAAATAAATATTGAGCTAAATTATAATATATAGGGGAATAATAGGAAACTTTATTGAATGTTTATTTGAAATGACGACGATTATTTATAGAATAATAATTTTATTCTTTTATTACTTATGAAAATTGGTAGAAATGTATTCTGTTTAACTAAAAATATATACATATATTTTTGAACATTATTAAGCATTTTCGAAAAAATCTTAATTATAAAATTTTTTTTCTATATTCTGATTTTCCTTTCTCCTACGCACAAATTATTGAACGGCTGCTGTTGTTAAACGGTACTAGTTTTGTGGAATTAATACAAACAAGTGTTTGTCATTGGCAAATTGCCATGTCCCAAATATAGTTATTTGCCAAAACACCTAAACTTAATTGGCAACTTGATAAAGTGATACGTTAAGGCAATATTGAAATACATAAATCAAAGATAAGCTTAATAAAGTAATAAGAAATATTATTTTTGGCAGAGAGGTGTATTTTAATGTGCTTTACAAACAATAGAGTTGTAAACATACAGGGTGTACCATCTTTTATGTTGGTCCTTTGACAAGAAAGAACGTTAACACAGGTTGCACTGATGTTAGCCCTACCCTACATTTCAAAAATTAAAAGTTTCCATACAAGAACTTTTTTTAATCGTTCAGTTCGTATGGCATATATATGCTATAGTGATCCGATCTGAAACATTTTTTCGAAGATTTTAGAAATGCCTGTGATAATATACTATGCCAAATTGCGTGAATTTATATTGTCCATAAAAAAGTTTTCCATACAAGTACAATACTTGATTTTGATCGTTGTTTTTGTGACAGCTATATGCAATAGTGATCAAAAAAGGTAACTAATGCTTGCAGATTCCTATCAATGGTTCTTTCTTTTTGTAGGATTGCAATATACTGCAAAGAGTTGCACAGAATATTTCAAGCAACAAAATAACGTGAGAAAAAACTTAGTTACAATTTTGGCAAAATTGTAAAATCGGCTATACTCCCGATTAAGTCACCCCTTAGATTTTCTTAAAAACTTATACAAAAGTTTCTTATGTGACAATTTCCAATGTATGTTTTTTGATGGACATTTTTGTTAAAAAAAATTAATTTTGAAAAAAAAATTATTAAAAAAAATTAAAATATGAATTATTTTTTATTTTTCACACAAATAACCCTGAGCAATCCAATAGCGGTATGTTCTTAGTTCTTCCGCATAAAACTCCTTCACGCATTGCCGGTTTTTTCCAATTTTTTTAAATTTCAGCTAAAAACACACATGGGCTAATTTTTTTATGACCTAAAAAACCTCTAGATGAAATTTGAAGCAAATCGGAGGAGCCAATCTCTCTAAGCCCACTCAATAAACATATACTGCTATACTTCAGCTTATTCTCATTGGGGGAAATATACATACATACATGCCGCATGTATGTACATATGTATGGTATGTCTGATTGTGCCTATAAAATGGTCACTTTGCTTAATTATGAGAGATAGCTTTCAACATTTCAATGCACAGAATGACAACGTATTAATTACATTAGTTGAAGGACTTTATTAAAAATACCATATCAAATAAGCTATAAATTGCTTCCCCATTATAATAATGCACTTACTATACGAAATACAACTATGTGCATAATAATAGACGTGTTTATGCGTATATGTGTGTTATTTATGTATGTAGGATGATTAGGTGCGTCTGGGCCATGTACAACAAATGTTGCTTTTCTGTTTTCAGCATGGCGGATTCTGTGCTTTTGTTGATGACAAAAAGCATTTTACATTTTTCATTACATATATTACACACACGCATGCATGCCTACCGATAATATTAGTGTATAATATTCATAAACAATATTGATTTCAAAGCCGCATAAAAATGTATATTATATGCGTATAATAATTTGTATATAAACATGCATATTTGTATGTATGTATATATGGTACATATACACATGTAGTATATATAAATATCCAAGCATTATTAAAAATAAATTCACTTAAAACTTTTGCTAGCTTCGATTTTTAATTTTTTTATACATTTTTCTTCTTACACACTTTAAAATCAGTTGAGTAGAGTTGTTGTTTTTGCTGCGCTTGCTACCGGCCATGACTGAAGTATACAAATCGTTGCACAAATGTCATATTTTTTGGTTATAATCGATATTTGCTTTACTGCTTATTTATTTACGTTCTATGCCTACGATTTTACTACACAAATACACGACTTTTGCTCGCATTAATTTTTTATTAATACCGCGCTATCACAGCTCAAAACACAACAAGAAATCACAACTTTAGATTAAAAAGATCACTTCATACACAAATTTCTTAAAACACGGTAAGCTAACATAATTTCCCCAAATATTTTACATTCTATTCTATGGTATAATAGATTTTCTGCAGTCGGCGGTATTATATGTGGTACAGAATCTTTGGGTTCTTTAACAATAAAACTCACTAAAGATATCTAGTCTACTGCTTTAGTTGCAACGAGTGACTGCGGCCGTAGCAGACAAACAATTTGCCAACTTGTGTATCCTGTCATTTCACTTGGCACTTTGTACACTCAATTCGTTGTGGTATGTGTGTGACTTTTTGCTCTGGGCGCATCAGTTGTTGGCGCTCTCAATTATTTGCAAATTTTGAGTGGCAATACAAGTTTGCGTTTTTATTATCGATATCGCTAGAGGATAATAATTACACTTATGCTAATGAAATTAAATGCCAATGAACGAAATGTTTAAATGCTAGTGTGATTGTAGAAATCACAAATACACATATGCATTATTATTGCGAGAAGTATATATTTTATATCAACAATTTTTAAGCTGGATTGCAGATTGTAAAAAAGGTTGTTGAGCAGGCAAACAAGTGAGCTTACTATTTAAATATTTTTATCGACTCTTACACATTCAATGAAGTAACAACATAAAATTAGAGACTGAAACCATTGAGAACATAGGATATCGCCAGGTGGCATTCGAAAATCGGTATAATTTAGAAAGCTACGATTTGGCCTATAGAAAAGTTATAAAAAAAAACCAATATTGTCTAAGAGAGAAGCTTAACACAAACCTGAGCCAGAAGTCATATACACATCCATACAATGTCAGCTGTTTCAAGATATACATATGCATATTAACAGAATTATGGTTTAAAATACTGAAAAAATTAAGATTATATTTATATCCTTAATAAGCTCTCCCTGATGAAAAGGGAGTTAATTAGGAAAATACCCGAAAAAGTTAAACAAAATTTTTTTGTCTTTTTAATTTCCTAATCGATAGGTATATGTTCTAAGAAAATCAATCAGATAAGTCACCTAATCAGATAGTGTCACCCCGAGCCCGCCGACCTTTAACCGAAAACTTTAAATGGCGTTTTCTCGAAATCATGGTTTTCAAATGGGTGTAAAAGATTACGGAAAAAGTAGTAAATTTTTTTTTTATTTAGTTTTTATTTTAAAAGGCATAAGAAACTACTCTAGAAAGAGTACGGATATGAAAATATAAACTTATATAAACATAAGAAAACAGTATTTTTAGACCACTATTAACGAGAAAATAATCGAAAACTTTTGAAGCCTCATTTTAATGGGTAATGTTCGAGCTTTCTGAAGATCGCGGTCTATTTACGATAAATAAGTCCTCTCGCGTGAAATAATATTTGATCTAAAAATCCTTTACGCCAATTTCAATGTCAGCGGCGACACGAATTACGTGAACAAGCAATAATCAATTAATTTTTATTTGTCATAATATCGAAAACTACTTTTTATATTTCTTAAACATTGTGCTTAATATATATTACATCAATTTTATGTGTACCGCTTACTTCTCCCGAAAATAAATCGCGATAAAGCACTTTTGCGGCCTTTACGGGTACTTCCTCCCTTAAGTTTCAAGTTTCGTTTTAGAAAGCCCAAAAGGTTATTTAGATATGAAAGTTATTATCGTAATCTACCAAAAACGGGTGCAACATGGATTACACCGCCGTGCCGCTACAACAACAACAACAACACCGCCATACGACGTGAGGATTTTCTCCGATCAATGAAAGTAATTTCTTCCAACAAGTGGCACCACTAGGCATTGAAAGGTGAGTCAAACAGAATTTCGGGTATTAAGGTTTACAATTTGAACCTCAAAGTAATGGCACAGCGATGCCAAATCTTCCTAGCCTCAATTTGTTATCACTATAATATGAAGAACAATAATAAAGCTGATGAATGGTTAGAGTTGTGGTATCTCCTAAAGCATTTGACTTATATAACGGTCAAAAATTATAGAGCGGTACATAGAAACACAAAAAAAAATGTTTTAAAACATATTTCTGTGGTTGGTTTTGTTGCAAGATTAGCGTAACTCGATTTAAAAGTAAAATTTTATTATAAGTATTTGTATATTTGCGACTTTCTCGAATGAGAAGGCATCAAACCAAGTTTGTTATATATTCATATAATTTATTTTCAAAATTAGAGCTACGCCGTAACGTTTTGCAGGAATTCGATTAATTTTTTGAAGCACGAATCGGATTGTTGAGCAAATTTCTTCACAAATTGTATTCTATTTAGTAATAATTTGTTGCTATTACTATTGTTTAAGCAAAGTCTATTATAAAATCACTTTTTTTGCAGCCTCAAAGGCAAAATCACTTCACTACATCGACCTTGAAATCATATTATAGTTTAACGCACACAAACTGGCAAACTAATCCACGGTAAATATGTATGTATATATAATACATATGTCTAAGGTTAAAAAGGCACTTAAAAGTCTTCAATGACATTGTGCATAAAGATTATTTAATCCTCCAGCAGGTCTGATTTTTTGTTACATATAACATTTTATGTGTTGTTTTTTTTTGTTCAAATCGCAAAGGAATTAAAAACTCAATTTGCTTTGACTTTTATTGGATTTTTCTAGGTGAATACGTGGCAAAGTTATAAAAAATTAGCATTCAATTAATTTAATAAGTGTTTACATTGATGCATACCTAAATTCAAACAACGATGAAATAGAAAAAATAAAATTTTTTTATTTTTACATATGTACATACATACATATATGTATAAATATTTTTGTTTTTTACTTTCAAAGCCTTTTTTTACAACACTTACGTCTTTTAATACTTAGTATTGTGCCAATATTTAAGTATAAAAAATATATATGTCGTATATGCGCACTTTACCGTTAACTTTTCACTCTTCTGTAAACAAAGCTCGGAAAAAGCCACTCATCAACTGAATGCAATCGAAATCGCACGTTTCCAATTAGGTTGGTAGGCTTGAAAAAATATAACAGCACAAAAAAATACAACACAATGCCACAAATGTGTGAAGTAAACATACAAAGAGAAAGTGTAAAAAAGAAAAATGTGCAAATAATTAAATAATTGCGGAGGACACCCTTTCGTGTTTGCCGGTTGACCACTTGGTTGCGGTTCATTAACTAAAAACCTTCCATGCAAACGGATAGCTTACAGAATTGCAGTGCGTATACGAGTATATACCATATATGTATGCATATACATATATGCATATAAATATGTATAGTGATATTGAATTGTATGAACTATATGTATCAAGAACTATGCTTGGCTCTGAAAAGAAATGGACAGTCGATAACTTGTCGATGTTTTTTGTATAACTGACTTGTGTTTACTGAAACATCTGTTGATTTCACAAGACCGATGAAGCAGCAGGTACAAAAAAAATTAGCCAAACTATCATTTTTATTGTATTTTATTAAAAAACACAAAAAAAAATGCAATTGCTATGTTTTTTTACTCAAGGCAGTAGCAGCAGAACAGCTGCTTTTATTTTTTATTTTTGCTTGTAACGGTGTTTAAATGGCAAATTGTTGTGTTTTTTGTGTATTTTCGGTGTCCATTACTGTTATTGTACTTTTTGTTTTTATACTCGCGCTATCATCTTGTATGAATTTGTTTGGAGTTCAATGTGCCTTGGCTGCAGTAAAAGTCTATGACGCCATTGCTTTGGTTAACTTTTGATTTCAATTATTTATCATACATATTCCCAAATGAAAAACAATAAAAAGTTTTATTTATTGCTCCTTGCGGATTTAGATTTAAATTAAATTAAATAAAAATTTTATGCGACAATACCTAACATTATATTATATTTCCCAGTAACAACGGCCCCACGGCGTATGAGTTACATTTGAACACAAGGATCTTTGACGTGTGATCAAGCACTTTTCCAGTTATTGGCCAATAGATGGCACTGTAATATTTACTCTAATGTTACTTGCTTAATATATATAACTTTTACAGTAAATATTTTGTTTAATTCTTATATATTTTCAATATTTTCGATGCAAAATTAAAAATATCTTTATATTAAAAGTTGCTACCGAAACGGTATAATTAGTGCAAAATTAAGTATTAGAGAAATATCATAAATTGTTAACAATAAACACAAAGTTGTGTTGGTGTAAAAAACAAAACCCTAAAGCTTTACTTATTCTAATGCTTTCAAATATTTATATTTAAAAAAAATTATAATAATATTGGAATTTTCCTCAGAGAACGTATATTATATACGTTTACTTTACTATATTATATACGTTCTCTGTTTTCCACAAGCCGTGAAATAAAAAAAAATTAAGTAATATAATTACAATACGGCAACATTAAGGCTTTCGCTTAATGTTAGTTATGAGGTATGTAGCTGTCGCATTCACTCTACTGCCTTGGCTTCGGCATTTGTTTCTATATATATGTTTTGGCTTTCTTTAATTCAGTTGTTGTGAATATGTGTGCTATTGCACGTTTTCATTCTGATTGGAAATAGTAAAGCAGCGAACGGAATCAGCAGCAGCTGTTGGTTGGTTTTAGGAAAGGTAAAGGATAAAAATGCAAACAAAGGACAAAGGAATGAGGAAGTGATAGAAAATGAATATATAAAATTTCGAAAATTCTTAAAAATTGGCATTAAATATCATAGTTGTAAAAAAGGAAAAAAAAAGCTGTTGGAAAACATATACAAAAATTTTATCGAGAAAAAAATCGAACAATTGACGTACAGTGGGTCAATATTGTGTAAGAGTAATTTGTAAAACTTGCTTTGCTGGTGAACTAAGCATTGATTCCATAGAATACATTGTAGATCGCGTGATCTATACGAGTATTTCGCTGCTAGAATTGTTATACATGGTGAGTAAGATCAGCTAGATACAATTGCTACAACTGCATTCTGTCTAATTAAATATTCAATTGATACTATTTTCTTTATCTCTATTCGTCTGTTAGCAGTGCGACGTCTATATTTAACTTCTCTACACGAAACAAAGCACGGGAAAAAAGTAAAACTTACAAAATTGTTTTTAGCTCAGGGTTGTGTGTGAAAACATTAAAACGTGCGTAGCACACGCCCACTTATTTGCCGGCAGCATCATACTACATAACATTGCACTTTTACTTTCAATTTGAAAATAGCGACATATTTGTTATGTTAGTTGAAGAGGGCAGCTGCTGAAACATTGCATTTGAGAGTATACACCAAGTGTGGCGATATCCAAGAAATTAGTAAAGGAAAAATCGAAGCGTAGTAATACCCATAAAAAGTATACATGGGCTACTGATAAGCAACTCGTATAATTAAATTTTATCGTTGATATAAATTAATCACAGTATTCATGTGATAGCTGGAGCTGGAGTAAACATTTTGTAGCTGCCATTTACAAAAGTTAAATAAATTTTATCTTTCGGTTTTGATTTTAAATTTTAAATCATGGTTACTGCGTCGCAATGTACAACTGAAACAGTTTTTGATTACAGTTGGAAGCAAGTCGTACAAGCATACTGGAATCGTTATCCCAACCCGTCAAGGTTAGTATAATAAGCTTATATACATATGTATAAAAATATACTATTAGCATTTTAAAATTACAGTACACATGTTCTTACGGAAGACACAATAAAGCGTGAGGTACGTGATGGTAAATTATATTCTCGCCGCTTACTATCCAAAACAAATCCAGTGCCAAAATGGGGTCAACGTTTTTATAATAATGCACCAGTGAGAATTGTTGAAGATTCGGTTTTAGATCCGAAAAAGAAAACTTTAGTCACCTTCACGCGAAACATTGGATTCAAAAAGATAATGGTAAGTTCAAAAGTGCAATTATTTATAAATAGCTGACTTATCACTGTTAGCTACCACCAGCCATGCGGGAGCAAAGACCGAACAAAGTATTTTATTTTTTGCACGCTTTGCTTTTGTTATTTATTTACTTCTTTATGAACCGGCTTTAAGCATTTTCTAATAGTCCTTATAGGTTTGTTATTTTATTTATTTTTTTTTTATAATTTTTACTGCGTGGTATATAATGTTTTTTTCTTTGCATTTACATACATACATATGTATATATGCACCCCATAATATTTTCTTTTGTTTGACATTGAAAATTTAAATTTTGTGTGTGCTTAGTTCATTTTCTGTGGAATTGAATTGTTTGAATATACACATCTTAGCTAGTACTTCTATAAATAGTGAAGTATTTCTAGTTTAGTTTTGATTTTAATTTCATCTTTTACGACTATACGAAAACAATGCAAATCTTTTATATGAAACGTGCTTCTAAGACAGTAACAACTGTTCAATTTTAGTTTATTTTTTGACAGCAATATTAGGAATCCAAACTTATTTTGAACAATACTTTATTTGTTTATTATAATTGACTGAAAACTGATTGATGCGTACATTTCCCATTCGACTAATTCTAAAAATAATGCATTTAAAACATCTACGTTATTTTCGTCATCTCTTGTTCACACCAGTACTCTAATTGCATTATGATGTAATAATATATAACGCCTTTTCTATTTGCAGAAAGTCGATGAAATAGTTGAATATAGCGAGCAGAAAGATGGGCGAACTTTAGCTGTAAGGCGTGCCTACATTAGTTCACAAGTATTTGGGGTTTCGCGTGCCATACGCGCATTTGGCATTGAACGTTTCAAATCAAATTGCAATAAAGCGGCGAGCGGCTTCAATTATGTGCTGCGAAATATGTTTCCTAATAATGCTGCTACAGCGAGTGCTACAACTGTTGCAACGAATGGCAATGTCAGCGAATCAGTATCTACCGCTGGAACGAGCCATATACAGCAAGCGACATTGAATAAAACTGAAACCATTAAAATTGCCAGTAAAGCCGGCTACGCGTATTTGAAGAACCAAGTCATTAAATTGGCGCAAATATTTTCCATTAAGAATTGATAAACTTTCTAACGAGATATAGAGAACAATTGTGGTAATGATCATTTAATCAACTAAATCTCTAAAGGTTTTTCAATTTAAGCGTAATAGTTGTACACGATATATTTAGTCGAGAATATTATGTAGAAGGTACATCGCTGGAAAAGCTTTGAGTGGAATTGGCAACTGCCGAAGATTTCTACAGATGCATAGGAAAGTGTAATCATTTGCAGCCTCATTGTTGTCTGCGACAACCCAGTTCAAAGCAGCAGATTAAATGTGGCTGAGAGTGCCTCGAAGCGTAAAAACACTGTTGGATAATTGAAGAATATTTTCTCGACACTGCATATCATTTTATTTATTCCTTTAATCGATAATTGCTCTTCATTCCAATGCAATATTGTTAGCCACACTCACGGGTATCTAAGTACTATGTAGTATGTGAAAACATAAAAGCGTATTTGAGGTAGTAGTACACTCTATATTTAGTTATATTTAAGGCAATCCTCATTTAGGCACATTTTAGATTCACCGTTTTAAAAGCTCAGCACTATTAAAAGAATTTGTTGCAGGAAAATTAAACTAAGCAAACTTTTATTAAATATATACGGTCCGAAGCATGTATAAACGAAATATAAAAATTATTGTAAACAAAAGTGGTTATTATATTTTATAGGTAAATATTTCATAGTTTATCACAACTGATTGCGGTAGTGTTAATTGTTGCCAATAAATTATTGAATAAAAATTTTATTAAGTTTGGTATATATAGAATTAGTGCTTTTTTATTTAGTAATTGAAGGTAAGTGTGAATGTTGTGCGGGCTGCATTGCAAAAAAATTCAAAAGTTGTTTGAGGCTATACATTCTTTTGCCGTTGTCGTGCCTGTTGCATACTACAACTATTACCTTATTATGTAGGTATATAATATATAGTTAGAAATCGAACGTACTCTTAAAAAATCGATGAAATTATCTGTTATATCTCCATTATATAGGAACATGTACCTTCAATTAGGCCACTGTTGCGATAAAATCACTTATGCTTTTAAAATATGTTTTTATCCAACGTAAAAATAGTTGATAAGTACGAAGTGATGTCCAAAATACAATTTTTATAATAAATTAGCATACAAAATTAATTTAATAGCAATTGTCTTAATAAACTCAAATTGAAAATTAACGATAATATTTTAGAATGTCACTCACATACACATGTACAATATTTAATAAATTGAAATGAGTTCACAATAACGTAATTCACAAAAGCACTTGCACAGTGAACATTATAAAAATATGCAGGAAGATTTCCTTGGTATAGTAGTTATTATGTAATAATAATTGTCTTATTTCAATACATACCAATTTTTAATTGATCATTTGGATAAATCTGCTGAATCCAATAAATATCATATAATCAAGACTATTGTGACTGACGAAGAGTGAAAAGAACAAAAACGGAAATGTCTAAGAGGAAATTATTATTCTTATACAAGTGTCAGTTAAAGTCAACAAAATGGCTGTTGCGCCTAAAATGAATCATTGCTTATAAACTTTGCTTACAATTTGTAACATTACTCCTATTTGTGTATTAATAATAAAAAAATGTCAAATGTAAGCTACCGAAATGTAAATGAAAGTTACAAATATTGCGGTCGAAGTATTTAAAGATGCAATTTTGGGAAAGCTTATATAATCGAATTATAAGGTGTGTCTCATTCGCTCAGTTGGCTCCCTACGAAGCGGTCGTGTTCGGAATTGAATATACCATAAATAATATTAAAAGTTTGACGTTCACATCTCATCGTCTATATAGAGTCCTCTTTCCCCAGTCGGATTGGCAAATGGAGTGATCTGCAAGTATTTATTTATAAGTATGTTTGAAAATAAGCGAAAGCGGAGCAAACGCGCCTATTTCCCAATAAAAGTCATTCAAATACCAATAAAAGTCCATTCAAGTCTCAGGTTGATTTTGTATCGAATATATGGCTTAATATATAATTTATTATAGTACAATTGCGTGCAAATATGCTCTTAAGTATGTTTTTCTTCCTTACAGTTGACTCTGTACCGTTTATATCGGTTAATATTTGAGACATAATGAAATTAAGTGGGAAATTTTCTCTGATAGTAATGAGGCCTGATGATAAAAATGAATAAAATCGGTTCAGTACTTCGCTGTCGGTCAGTAATTGCATGGAAATAAGCAATAGCGATGCCAAAAATAAATAATATCAGTTCAGACCTACCACTAGCCCTGTAATATATAATACAGTAATTTTCCCTTTCAATTTGATTTTATATACAACGTATACATATGCACATACATGAGATATGTGATAGCTCGTCATGTTGATCATTTATTCATATATACATGCTCTAAAATTAATGACATCATGATTGATTTAATTTTAAACTTTACAACTTTATATACATATTTTCATAAATATTCTTAAATAAATCTCTTTAGTATTTTGAATTTTCGTTTGAAATGTATCGATTTTATTATTCCAACAGCATAAAAACAATAAACAGTTCGAAAAACTGCTGCTATTTGGCTATTTTTAGTAATTATAGATCTGCTGCTTTTACTGTTATATGGAATATATATATAAGTTTGAGCTTAGGCTTAAACACAGCTTAAGCTCTGTGCATTAGCGATATATTTTAATAATTTCATTTATACTCGCTACTGAGCCAGCAATGAGAGCGCATAACGCAAATGTACTTAAAAGAAAATTTTTAAACAGCTTCCATTTCCAGAAGCCCAAGCGGTTGGGCCACAAATAAACTGTCTCACAAACGCTTGGCACCAAAAAGCCTGAAATAATATAATATGTGAAAAAATATTACAAATTTCACAAAAAGTGAACATACCAAGTAATGAGAGAAAGATGGCGCCCACGAGGCTGATGAATGGTTCCAGATTGGGTATGACTGTGGCCACAACGCCACTAATCAGTATAATGACCGTGCGTATTAGTATTTGTGCGATGTTGTGATTCTTTTCGTTGATTTTATGACTAACATTTTTCCAAAGCGTGTCCATCGGTACATAGAATACCAAACCATAAGCAAAGAGAGAAGCTACAGCGATGAGCAGTTTCGCAATGTCAGCCAAACTAAGCAGAAATAATTAAAATTGCACAGATATAAAACAAATAACTTACAGTTAATAGCAAACTTACGGTGTGCCCTCCACTAAATTCAATGTGATACTGCCGCGCACTTCACTGCCAAAACGTGCATATCCTAAGAAACCGATGACCGAATAAAATATCGTCACAAGTATCATAGCGGTATTGAGTACGCCTGGACAGCCAAGGAACTGTTGCGGCTTCTGCATAGCGTTCTCAATTGGCATAACTGAACCAATACCTTCCATGGCAAAAATGGCTGTGGCAAAGTAGAGTGGTATCTGTTCGATCCTGGCAACCAGCGGTTTGTCTGAGAACACCAATGGCTCTCTGAACAAATAGTACAACACAATGCCGAATGTGACCACAATGAGTATATTCGCAAGAGCTGAGAAGGGCACTAGCCATTTCAAATTCCTTATTTGGCCAATTAATAGGCAAGGTATCACGGTGAATGCAATATAAATGCGCACATCCCAGTTCAGGCCGCTATCATAGTTGATCACATCGTGAAATGATGTGGCAATAAACACCATGTAAACGCAAGCGGCCGCAAAATAGGTCGCCATCAGTCCGCCATCTACGAAACGTCTGTGGGAGAGAAAGTGAAATTTACAAATGAAATAATTTGTTGTTTTTGCATAGAAGCACTCACTTTGCAAAGACTGACCAGGCGCGCAGGCATTTTGGACCACCTTCGAAGACCTTCTCGGTGGTTTCAGAAAAACTTAGCGCAGCGATCTTATTGTTTCGGCAAATATCTTGTGAGGTTTTGACCTATCATAAAATAATAATAATAATAAAATTAGAAAAAAGTTAACTTCAGCTCCACATCTAATATCCCTTCCAGGGGCGTTTTTTATAGCAAAGATCTTTATCTTAATTATGATCAATCAGTTTGTATGGCAGCTACATACATTTATTTTTAAATTAGGGATAAATCCCTGATCCTTTTGTTTACATTATGAGGTCAATAACCCTTTTGTTTACATTTTGCCGACGTCAATGGCCCTTTGGTTTACATTTTATGAGGTCAAATACCTATTTATTTACATTTAGCCAAGGCCACAACCTTTGTTTACATTTGGGGTCAGTGACCCCTTTGTTTACATTTATCTAAGTCAACAACCTTTGTTTACATTTGGGTTCCCTTTTGTTTATATTTTATGGGTTCAATAACCTTTTTATTTACATTTAGCAAGTTCACAACCTTTTTACATTTAGCCAAGTCAACAACCTTTGTTTACATTTGGGGTCAATGACCCTTTTATTGAGCTTAATGACCTCTTTGTTTTCATTATAAGGTCAACCCTTTTGTTTACATTTTAGGGAGATCAATGAACTCTTTGTTTACATTTTATAAGATCAAGGACCTTTTTGCTTACATTTAGCCAAGTCAACAACCTTTGTTTACATTTGGGGTCAGTGACCCTTTTGTTTACATTTTATGCAGTCAATGACCCCTTTGGTTACATTATGAGTTCAATGACCTGTTTGTTAACATTGCGGAGAGGTCAATGAACTTTTTGATTACATTTTATGAGGTAAATGACCTTTTGAACAATTTTTTTTTTGCATTTAGCCAAGTCAACAACCTCTGTTTACATTTGGGGCGAATTAAACTTAAGTTTACATATTATGGGGTGAAAACCCGAGTTGTTTAAGTATATTTATTCAATATTATTATAATATTTCTTATTTTTATTATTTATAACCCCAAAGAACTATAAAAAATAAAACTATAATAGCAGATCAGGCAGCTTAAAATTAATCAACTGCTGACACATCTAAATAAGATTAAAAAAAGCCGTTAAACAATAATTTCTAAAATATTTTCATCTCTAAATTGCAAATAGTTGGTCATTTTTATTTTTATGGTTGTTATTAATTATGTTCTGTTTAAAGTTATATGCGATATGTGACAACTCTACAAGGAGTGTTCTAAAAATATCGGGAAATTTCGTATATTGATAAAAACTATTTATTTATTCATCTACGATATTCGATATGTCAGCGGTTCATCCAATCGTCGAAATACTTCTCAAACTCAATTTTTATGATAGCCTTTGGCTCTTTCAGCGATTTTTATCTATCTTGTAAAATGACGACACTTAAAGGTTCTCTTAATTTTTGGAAATACTTGTAGAAAATGTCACATTGAGTCATATCGGGCGAATATGGAGGCTGGAGCATTGTCACAGTATTGTTTTTGTCTAAGACAATGAGAAAGAATTGGTAAAAACCCCCCTAATATACCCGTACATACTTGTATATAGTGTTGAATAGATTAGGAAATGAAACGGTCTTTTGTATTTTACTACTGCTAAGAGGGTATTTCCTTCAAAATAAAAGTTGAGTTACACTACAAGGCTGCTTTTCGTACAAACTGGTGTATAACATAAAAGTATATAAACTACCGTTACTTACCAAAATATGTACACAATGCGCACAAAGAAAGCCCACTATCAGCGTAGCAATCATACTGAATAGTAAGCCACCATTGTAGAAAGCCATCGGCATGGAGAGAATGCCAAAACCTAATGAGCCTTTAAGCAAATGCATAAAAGCGCCAACTGAGGATTGACCTTTAACTTGGTCGCGATAATCCTTTGGATTATAGTCATCACCAAGCTGTTTCTTCTCAGTAAGGTAAGTTCTGAAAAGCATAGGGAAATGTTTCAAAGATTTAAGACGAAATGAACCCGTTAAAATGAAGAGCTTACCTTGAACTGAAGTTATTCAGCGTTAATACAGAAGTTGTGTTTTCATTGGGCGAGTGTGTTGAAATTACGTTGTCCGTCATCTACATATTATGAAAGGTTATATTTGAATTATAAATAATATATCATATATATAATATAAGGAATTAAAGAAAAAAAAATTATGAAGTTTCTACTGAAAGATATATCTATTTAAACTTTAGTAGTATTTCTGAGGATCAGTCAATGGTAACCTTTCAGAGAGGCGCTTCAATCAAAAGCCTACAAAAAAAGTTTAGGTAAGCAAAATATAATATATTCAAATGCTCAATTAAGTTAAAAGTTGAGGTGATATGAGGAGATTCCCTTAACTATTTAATGTAGGATCTGAGATTCCGCTAGCCTCCGCTCATCTTACCAATGTTTTGTGGTTTGAATGGCTTTAAAAACGGGTTTTATTTTTACTAATTAAAATTCGAGTCTGGACCGGTCGACTTGAAAATTTCACACGACATACCATATGTATTTGTCAGAAAATGACAGTAGGAATAAGATTTTTGATAATATGGTAACTTCGACTTTTAAACCAAGTTGAAGTGTAAAATTTTCATAAAGAAATCGTTTTCAAAGTTTTTTTTATATATTATATTTAAAAATAAAATGCCCTTTTAAAAATAATTCACAGAAAACCGCATTTTTTCGGACTTGCAAGTGAGTTTCATTACTGTCCTCTTCACCCTCACTGTCAATATCGAACTTGACAAGAGTGATTGACGTTTGTATATCAATTTACACACATTGATAGACTGTACACTTTTGAAAAGTGTAACCATTACTTAGTGATTACTAACGGTATTCTCTCAAAATAAATTATTGCAAATTTAAAGCACTGCTTTTGCCATTCTTTGGCGGAGAAACAGCTGTGTAAGATACATACCTCGGTAACTTGCAATAATATATTTTTTAATTTGAACACAATTTTTAAGTTTAACTTTCGTTAGCTCTTCGCTTAGCCATATTCTGCCAATTCTGTACACCACTTTCATGACAACTCGTTTATTTTAAGTTGAAGGCATTGATTTTTTTTGTTTTTTTTTTAACAATTTTTAAAGCGCAGACGTTCGTAAGTTCTTAAATAAAGCAATAATAACAAACACAATGTTTTATCGCTTTTGAAAGCAGTCAATTTTACAAACATATTTGTATATTCGTAAGAAGGTTAAGCAAATGCACTTACAAGCTTCGATAAATAGAATATTTGTCAATAACCGGATTCTATAACTTCTTATACCCACAGCACTTCAATGATAACAAAAATTTCGTACTAGTGCTTTTAGGAGCGGTTTTAGAACTGGGTTAGACGAATGCATTAAATTGTACTTAATTTATGCAGGCTTACACTTTGAAACAAATAAAAATATTCTGGAGGTCTGAAGAAAGAAGAAGAAAAAACACGCGAAATTGAACTCGATTTAATGTAACAATCTTTTGTAAAGCCTAGACGTTCACATAGTTCTCAATTTTTACAGAGTTATTGCTACTCAGGTACCCTACCTTAACATGCTTTTAAAATTATTTGCATGCTCCATTACTTCCTTAAAAACTTCATTAATATAATATAAAAAAAAGTGCCTTTCTTTCAAGCATATTTTTTTGTTGTTGATACCGAGACCCAAGTACAATGTATGTACATTGTAAAATAATTAGTACTAAAGTACTACCCTTTACTAAAGTGATGTCTGCTCTCGCCAAAATTAACTATAATGTCTCGAGAGGCACGTACATGATAACAATTTGCCGACTACTGCTTATTGTGGGTATAGTCGTGCTTCACTGAGTCACTCCTTCATGGCAGAAATGTAATCGAAAGATTAGAATTATCTTGCCGGGAATATTGACTTGATTTTATAGTTATTGGATATCAAGTTTTTGGTTGTTGTTGTTGTTGTAACGGTTACCTAGTCCCCGTTTGGGTGATAAATTCCAGATTCGTTGTCGTCGAGGTCATCTAAAGGGAGGCCCAGGAAACGAGGGGTCGGACCATAGGGAGAAGGGTGTTAGATGAGTGTTTTTTTGTTAGTGAAGTTTTTGGTTGTGTTAGTTAAGGCTTACTCATTACAACAATATTAGCAGTTAGAAGTTACCTAAACCTTGTCTAGAAATGCGGATGTTTGGATAACAAGTGGTGTTATACATATGAGGGAGCTTAATGAGTATGTTGTTGTACTTGTATTCTAGGTAGTGTCAGAGGAGCTTATTAATTCCTAAAATTATTTTTGTTTTGCCATTATTTAAAACTCGTGTTTTTCAAAGAAAGCTATAATATTGTTAGAATTCTTATAATTTTTAAATAGCTGTTAGTCTGCAGCCCGGAAAGATTGGAAGTGTATTATTTTGGATATTTATAAAAATCATTACTTAACTTCACTTAAACGAGAAATATTACAAAGAAAACTACTATTTGATTCATTTTAAAACACTGTATGCAACAAAAGAGATACAAAAAATTATAATTTACTTTAGCATATGTGAATCTGATATATAAAATGTCGAATACAGATATGATAACATTTATAGTTGTCAACAGAGTTGTAAATTTGCATTCGGAAAAATTTGTTATAGTCTACTTCACTACAAGTATTTACTTGGTGAAGATAATTAGTACGTGATCGTGGAGTGTAATTTCTCGTCGGATGTTAGCACTTCTAACAACCATAGATATTTAGCTACACATACATACATACATACTTGTACACTCAAATTAACGAAGCAAATTCATGCTTCGAGACATTTTATAAGTACACCATTTGATTTTATCAATCTTAATTGCTTCACATTAATAATTCGCATTGCTCATCGAAGTGCCATTTGCGTTATAAATGAAACCCGCCAATCGGCTTATAATTTTAGGAAATTACCCATAAAAATCTGATGCAAGCCAGTTCGAAACGCAATGACGCTGTTAAACGACTGTTCGCACAACTCGGATATAAATAATGCGGCGGTATTTTTTATTGTTATTGCAGAAAATGCTTTTGCTGTTGATTGTGGTGACAATTTAAGCCGGTTTCTTTTTACTTTAGGCTTAACTGATGCACGGATCTATTTTTTATGAATTCTATTTTGTGTCTTCTCCCACTCACAAACTTTCATAATCTAAATAAACACAATAATATACCTATGTATGTACATATGTTTAGCAAATACTGTATTTAACTTGTTTTTTTTTTTGCATTTTCGCTCTGTTTAAGCTAATTTGTTTTAGGATTAGATTATTTTTATTCTAACAATGTTGTTTTACATATCTATGTATGTATGTACATGCAGCTCTTTTTGCACAAAAAATGCTTTTATAGACTGGAGATAATAACATATTTTTAAGTGCCTATATTATAATAAAAGTTTCTTTTTAATATAACAACAAGGGTTTATGTATATGTCCTTTAGATTAATTATTTTTATTTTAATATAGAAAACTATTATGAAAACAATAATCAAATTAATTAATTTTCTACTTTTTTGCATCCACTATATGTATATAATTTTCGGCTGAAATAACAAAAGCTTTTATAAATAAAAAATATTGTAAAAAACACATTAACGAGAATTTTTCTACATTCTTAGGCAAATTTTAAATTAGTTTATTAACAGAATTAAAAAAAAAAATAAATAACAAGTAAGGAAGGGCTAAGTTCGGATGTAACCGAACATTTTATTCTCTCGCAAAGTCAAATGGTATACTCGTTTGAGATTTCTTTGTGGATTGACTGATATTTTCGGTAGAAGGTCAACTATAGGCACTGGGGTCCACATATTTAGTACTTAGGGGCTTGAACAGTTTTGGTTCGATTTAGACAATTTTTGGTCACAAGGTGGCATACTTTAAACGTATTATTCACGCAAAGTTTTACCCCGATATAATCATTATTGCTTGATATGCATAGTGGAAAGTGAAAGAATCAGATGGAATCGAAAATGGTGTTATATGGGAAATAGGCGTGGTTGTAGTCCGATTTCGCCCATATTTTCTCACTATAACATAGAAATATGAATTGAACGTTATGCACCGAATTTGGTTGAAATCGGTTAAGCAGATCCCAAGATATGCGTTTTCCCCTAAAAGTGGGCGGTGCCACGCCCGCTTTCTAATTTTGAACGTGGTTCCTATAAAGTTATCTCATACCATCCCAGAGATAAAATTTAATGTCTCTGGCGTGTTTAGTGCTTGATTTATCGCGCTTTTAGTAGTTTTTAACATTACCGTTATATGGGGAGTGGGCGGAGTTGCCACCCGATTTCAACTATTTTCACACCGTCAATAGAAGTGCTAAAAACATTTACTTCCAGTGAATTTTGTTATTATAGCATTAGCGGTTTAGGAGATATGCACATTAAACCTATTAGAGACGGGACCACGCCCACTTTGTAAAAAAAAATTTTAACTGCAGATGCCCCTCCCTGTGATCCTGTGTACCAAATAACAGTCTTGTATCTTATTGCGGAGCTTAGTTATGGCAATTTATGGGCGTGGCCGTAGTAGTCGTAGTAGTGGTAGTAGTAGTCCGATTACGCCCATCTGCAATACCAACCGTCTCACGGTACCAAGAAACATGTCTACCAAGTTTCATAAAGATATCCCAGTTTTTACTCAAGTTACAGCTTGCACGGGCGGACAGACGGACGGACGGACAGACAGTCACCCGGATTTCAACTTGTCTCTTCATCCTGATCATTTATATATACATAACCCTATATCTAACTCGATTAGTTTTAGGTGATACGAACAACCGTTAGGTGAACAAAACTATTACACTCTGTAGCAACAGGTTGCGAGAGTATAATAAAACATAAATGAAGAAACTCCGCAATTTGAATGAATGTATTAAAAGTTTAGATATTTTTACTTATTTTAAATAATTTAATTTAAACATATATTATTTACTTTCATTAATTAAAATTTATTTGGTTTTATAAGATTATTTCAATTTACTTTATTATATTTAATAGCATTTACTATTTACATATCCACTATATTTATTAAGTTTTTTTTTAGTTTATTTCTATTTCATTCTGCTGGACAGTATAAAAAAAATAGTTGCAAAGTTTCGCACAGCACTTATAAAAATTAAATGAACATTTAGTTAACCTCAGTTAAAACACGAAATAAATACAACTAAGCTTTTGAAAAAATACTAACGTCTATTTTTTATCATCAGCGTACTTTAAAACTTTTAAATGTCGCCAAATACAAATCTATTGATGTATGTAGTATTAATTACTTAACATCTTTTGTCTTGAGAATATTTGCAAGTATGTACTTGTAGATTAAATTTTACTTTTCTAGATATTGTTTTGCGATGCGTTGTTGTTCATATCACGATCGCTTGCTGACTGAGCGGGGATGTTTAAAATTATGACAATTCTCAAAGCTGTTAAAACGGCAGGTAATAATATTCTAAGATGCTAGCGAAGGTGTCGCTTTGTAGTGTAATTCGCTATACAATATTCCATTAAGCTGGGTAGACGTGTTGGGGTGGCTATTGTTGCGGTTGGTGAATTGTTAAACGTTTATTTTTGTTTTATTGTTTTGTTATTTCATTGTTAGATATTGCATATAAAAATTATGCTTTTATATCTGCGCTGTTATTTTGAATTATTTTAGTACATATGTATGTATGTACATAATGTTAAACACGATATACGTAGGTGTGTCCGGTGGTGCATAATAATTAAATATCGCTTTGAGCAATTATCCCGTACACTACTTTTTTCTTAGTGCATATCATCACATTCAAGGTGTAATACCGATGCCTTTAGCATGCGAATATGCACTTTTTATCGTTATATGTAATATAGTTTAAATATGACGCAGTCTTACTTTTCAGAGTTCATTCTTCACCAGCTAGGTGTATTTTTAAAACGTGCTTAAGGTAGTGTGTCTATTGTTAAGGTAGTGCTGTCGTCATTACAGCAATTTTTTTTTTATCGAATTCCATATTCACACACAACGAAGGAATTATATAAAATGAATTAAAACAATATATAAAAGTCAGTTATTTACACAACCGAAACATTCAGAGAATATGTTAAAAATTCACAGTAATGCAACTCACAACAAATATATAACTAACACCTTAAAAAAAAATATATATAATGTATACTTGTATTATGTTAGCATTTCAGCACATAAATTGTTTGTAATTTAATACATAGGCATACAATTTTGACTTTCTGCATATAAATTAAAATTATATAGCATTAACTATTACTTAATATGGACTCTATTGTGAATTTGAAGATGCGCGAAAGTTACAGAGAGGAAACAAATGCATTCGTTCGTTAGAATGAAGTAAAATGGTGGCCTACCGTTTGAATTGACGATTTAACACGATCAGCATGACGCTTAGTGCGTAAACAATGAGTTGAAGTGAAAAGTTATTATCTGTGTTATTTTTAGGTTTTAATTAATTTGTAATAAATAAGTTTAAGTTGATTGTTTTGAAAATTTTATTGAAATTCTTTGCTATATGTTATACAAGTACGATACACTTATATGTGCAACATAAAAGCTGTATCAAACATTTTTGCGTGGATTAGACATTGCATATACACATGTATACGGCAAAAATGTTCTCTAAATTTGAATTGCAATACACCAGAGTACGTCCGGCTGATGAAGATGATGAAACATCTTTGGTTACTTCATGAGATGACATTATTGGAAATGTTGAGTTGATTGGAGTTAAAATACTAGAAAAAATATAAACTTTTTTCGTTTATTGAACTTAAAAATCAATGAAAATTAAGGAGAAAAGGAAGAGCGGCTACAAGCGGTTTGTGTAAAATATTTTTTGTGTATTTCTAAATTTAAAAAATATTACAATACGTTTTTTCATTAAACAAACAACAAATTAAAATTACAAAATTGACTACTTAGACAAATTTAAACTAGATAGGCTAAAACTTATTTTTCAACCTAACTGTCTTTATTTTGTATTAGCTTCGTAATAATTTCATCTATACTAGCAGAACTTCCAGCAACTAGTGCAAATATCGCAAATGCACATAATAATATATTCTTATATAGCTTCCATTTGTACCATCCCAAGCGATTTGGCCATAAATAAACTGTTTCACAAACGCTGGGCACAAAGATACCTTAAATTAATATAAAAAGTTAATGTTTGTTAATAATGAAATGATAAATTTGTGTGTGGCATACCGAGTAAGGAGAAGAATACAGCACCCACAAGACTAATGAAAATTTCAAGATTGGGTATTGCAAGACAAATGCCGCCACTGACCACTACAATAACTGCACGAATAATTATCTGTACTATATTATGGTTTCTTTCATTGAATTTGTGTGCGATTTTTTTCCATAGGATTTCATTAGGCACGTAGAACTGTAAGCCATAAGTGAAAAGTATCGCCACGGCCATTAGTAATTTTGCAGTATCAGCCAAACTAAAATAAATTTTAAGTGAATATGTACAATATTAATATATAATATAATTCACACATTGCTACTCACGCATCACCATCTTTTAAATTCAATGTAATGCTGCCTTGCACAGCGTCACCATAACGCACATAACCTAAAAATCCGATAACGGCATATAATATAACAACAATGAACATAGATGAATTGAGTACACCAGGACAGCCAAGGAATTGCTGCGGTTTCTTCATGGCATTTTCCACGGGCAAAACTGAACCGATACCCTCCATAGCGAAGATGACTGTGGAAAAGAAAAGCGGTATCTTTGTGACTTCGCCAATTAATGCCTTGTCGCTGAATATCAATGGTTCGCTAAATAAATAGTACAACACAATGCCAAAAGTGACCAGTATGAAAACATTTGCCATCGCAGAGAATGGCACCAGCCATTTCAGATTTCTTATCTGACCAATCAATAGGCAAGGTATGACTGTCAATGAAATATAAACACGCAAACGCCATTCAAGCCCGGTGTCATAGTTGATCACATCGTGAAATGATGTGGCAATAAACACGATGTACACACAAGCGGCGGCGTAATATGTTGCCATAAGACTTGCATCCACAAAAACTCTATGTGAGAGAAATTATATAAATTATATAGTATATGAATTTTATTATTATTTTTTAAATAAACTTACTTTGCAAATTTCGACCACGAATGCAATCTTTTGGGGCCATTTTCAAAGGCTTTCTCGACGGTTTCAGCAAAACCCAAAGCAGGCACTTTAATATCTTTGCAGATACTTTGTGAGGTTTTTACCTGAAATACAGCGGCAACATAGTGAACGTTAAAACGATTTGAAATGATTGTCTGGTATAGTAAACACTTATATCCGAAAAGGGTTGCCAATTGTTTCAAATAAATGAAATTGGACATAAAACTAAACGAGTTTAGGATTACCGTTGAAACCATTTTTCTTAAAGCTAAAATGGCAACCTTTGAGAAAGTCACCTAATATGCTTGCAGACAATTTATTAATTTACTATTTTAAGTATATGTTTCTCTAATAAGCTAAAGGCTTTGCTAAATTTTCAAAACCTACCAATATGTGCACACAATGCGCACAGAGGAAGCCCACCACCAACGTAGCAATCATACCGAACAGCAAACCACCCGATTTAAAAGCCATTGGCATGGCCAAAATGCCGCTACCTAATGAGCTTTTTATGAAATGAGCCATAGCGCCACCTGTCGACTGACCTTTAGCTTGATCTCTATGATCTGCTGGGTTGTATTCACCATCGTTTTCCGATATTTTAACCAAATCTGTGCTGAAATTGTTAGTGAATTATTATATAATCACTCCGTTAATACATTATCTATTATCTTACCGTGAATTGAAATCATTGAGGTTCGACTCTGAATTTGAGCCCTCTTCAGTTTTTGGCATAGTTGACGCTGTCATCTACAAAAAAAGATATTATTAAAATTGCCATGTTGCGAAGGAATATACTAGTTCTGTAACCTAACTGTTGGTTTTAAAAATTATTACTAAACGAAATAGTTATAGGATTATAAATATGCACTTATATATATAATATATGGTGAGATGCACTAGATAGCGCTTTTAGGACACCTACCACAATCACTTCAAATTCAACTATTTTTACCTTGCAGAACAGTTCATATTAAAGTAATATCATATTCAAAGAAAATTTATCACGCTTAAGGAATTTGACATGTGAAAGTTTTCATTTAAAAATGGTAAAAATCTGTAAACTTTTTTCTAGGCTTCATTTAAATACGTTCAATAGTTGAATATATTTCAAAAAAATTAACTGAATTATAGAATGAATTCATATAAATAGTTCTTAGCCCCTTTTTAACTTTATTTAAACTATGTAAGGAACCAAGAACCTTGAAGAGAACAATTTCTTCAAAATAATAAGTTATATACGCAATAAATCATTTATATTATTAATTTACAAGCGTATATAATAAATACTGCTCGTTAATGAGGAGCTCCTTTAGTCTTTAATACAATTTTATAGATATGGTTTTGTATACGTCATTGAGATTGCTTATCTCATCATAATTGACATTATCTCGCTTTGTATTCAAAAGGGTAAACGGTTGTATTAAGCTTTCTTTTTTAAATAGTGACATTATACGAGTACTTTTGATAAGTAGTGAGATTAAGGCAGTTTTTCGAGAACCGACTGTTTGTTCTCTTACTGCCTATTCGCTTTCTAAATATTTAATAATAAATATTACTTTATAATTTTTAATTTTCACGTTTTGTTGTGCAGAATTTGTATGTAATATTGAAATCCTTCTGATGGTTTAATATTTGTTACAATATTGTCGAACTGTTTTGTTTATATACAGATAAATGGTTGCCACCTGTTTGTAAAATAAAATGTATTTCGGAATTGAGAAACTTAGAAACCAGTGTTGCCACCTTACTAAAACATTATAATTAACTATTAACATATGTTTCTCACTTCAGCAACAGTAAGAGTACCAAACAGGCAGGCACTTTATTATACATATATGCCCGGCAGCCAAGAATAAAAATTTCATGTCACGTCAACAAATCAGATCATGTCATTCAACGTCATATGATCACACATCACTACCAATTAGTGGTCCTTTGCACCGTGGGTAGACACTTTCTTATATATGCCTGGCAGCCAAAAACGAAAATTTCATGTCACTTAAACAAATCGGATCATGTCATATAACGTCATATGATCACACATCACTACCAATTAGTGGTCCTTTGCTCCGTGGGTAGGCACTTTCTTATATATGCCTGGCAGCCAAAAACAAAAATTTCATGTCAGGTAAACAAATCAGATGATATCATAGTAACATCACATCATATTATTACACATCACTATCAATAAGTAGCTCTCAGCACTGTGGGCAGGCTTTCAGGTCGTAAAGAAATGCTTGGTGGGTTTATGAATATTTCGTCGAAACTGTCGAACAATTTAGCGAATACTGCTCCAAAAATGAGCCGAAAGGGAGCCTATTTAAAGGCGATAATAAAGATTTGTATTAAAATACTTGAAAATGTAGTTTTTTTTTGTTAGTCCGGGTCATTTTTGATGGTAGTATATAAGCGCTTGCGAAAAAACCACTTGTTGACGAGTAGGGTTAACATTTTTCGTGACTTTTTAGGAAATAACGAAAATTGCAGCTGGAAAAAAATTGTGTTTTCCACATGTTCACTTGTTGGCACTTCAAAAAAATATTTATATTTACGCACAGGAAATAAAAAAGGCCTAATTACATTGTTTATCATATAGCACTAAACTCTTCCGTTTCAAAACTGCATTAGTCTTCGCGTTTTAATAACAGTATATGTATGTATATTTGAGAATATGTACTGTAATCGTACCGTAATTATATATACTTCTAAAAAAATATGCAAAGAAATAACTCTATATTATTTATATATATTTTTTATTTTATGCGATTTCAAAAAACGTAAACCTCACGCGCAGATTTACCAACGCCGACTGATTACAAAGTGTTGCCAAATGCCACTTTAAAACCAATAAACTTATCATATGATATAATACGAATGACATAAGGTTTGATAATACAAATCATAAATGAACATGAGTTAACACAGTAAAAAATAATGTTAAATATTGGTGAATATGAATTCACATATACATATAACTGTATCGCATTGAAAGTTCTTAGGCAAAAGCACAAGGTATGTATACTACGGCTGTTAAACGATGGAGTGTAGCATATCGATTAAAGAACTGATATAAATCAAATAGATTAGCATAATCAAATAGAGATAACATAAAACGAATTTAAATTGGTGAATTGAAGATGACTTACGGATATTACAAAAGACACAGCTAATAAGATCAGTTTGCTGTTAATGGGCTGTAGCTAATGTAACGGAATGTTCGTTTAAAACCCTGGTACAAATTTATTATTAATTAAGTTAACATGCTCTACTCATGAGCACACGTTTTACGCGGGTTACAAAGAAAATAAGGTTGAATTGTGAACAACTTAAGATAATAATATGAAAAATGCATTTAATTAAGTGAAGACCGCTTTGAGTGCACATATTTTTATTAAATCATAGCTGTTTACTCTTCAGAGGAAATTTAGTCAGTAATGCCCCTATCGTATATACCTATATATTGTACTTAAGTGCGTGATTCTTAACTTATGGCACTTTTGCAGTAGCAGACTTATATACAACCGCACATTTGTAAAATTAAAAAAAAAATAAACTTCAGTATATACATCGTTTAATGATGATGATTCCTTCCGATATGTAAGTAGTGTAGCTTCTAAATAATAAAACATATTATTATATTGATTTAAGTCAATGAAGCGTCTAGCACAACTTACGCAATTTGATTCATTACATTCATAATGTGCAGTGCGAGTATGAGTGCATTTGTACGAAAACCATGCATACTTTCCCTAGAATTTGCATTTACAAAGATGTCGCAATGAAACCTATCCGAAATAGTGCTTCTGGCAAGCGGCAATGCCGATGAAAAATTGTCGAGACCGGTTTATGCCTTTTGTTAACGCCGGTATAATGAATATGAAGATCTCCCTTCTCCATAGATCCAATATAATGATTTCCGTACTACTAGTTTATTTTTGTACTCTCGCAACTTGTTGTACAGAGTATAGTACTTAGATTTGCTCACCTAACGGTTGTTTGTATAAATTGAAACTACTCGAGATATACATAAAGTATATACAAAACAAGTAAGGAAGGGCTAAGTTCGGATGTAACCGAACATTTTATACTCTCGCAAAGTCAAATGGTATACTCGTTTGAGATCTCTTTGTGGATTGACTGATATTTTCGGTAGAAGGTTAACTATAGGCACTGGGGTCCACATATTTAGTACTTAGGGGCTTGAACAGTTTTGGTTCGATTTAGACAATTTTTGGTCACAAGGTGGCATACTTTAAACGTATTATTCACGCAAAGTTTTACCCCGATATAATCATTGTTGCTTGATATGCATAGGGGAAATTGAAAGAATCAGATGGAATTGAAAATGGTGTTATATGGGAAATAGGCGTGGTTGTAGTCCAATAGGTTTGGCCCATTTTCGCACTATAACATAGTAATATGAAAATAACGTTATGTACCGAATTTGGTTGAAATCGGTTAAGCAGATCCCAAGATATGGGTTTTCACCTAAAAGTGGGCGGTGCCACGCCCGCTGTCTAATTTTGAACGTGGTTCCTATAAAGTTATCTCATACCATCCCAGAGATAAAATTTAATGTCTCTGGCGTGTTTCGTGCTTGATTTATCGCGCTTTTAGTAGTTTTTAACATTACCCGATTTCAACTATTTTCACACTGTAGGTAGAGATTCTAAAAACATTTGCTTCCCGTATGCACATTAAACCTTTTAGGGGCGCGACCACGCTCACTTAAAAAAAAATTTAACTGCAGATGCCCCTCCCTAATGTGATCCTATGTACCAAATAACAGTCTTGTATCTTATTGCGGAGCTTAGTTATGGCAATTTATTTGTTTTTGATTAATGGCGTTTTGTGCGCGTGGCAGTGGTCCGATTACGCCCAAGTTTCATAAAGATATCTCAATTTTTACTCAAGTTAGAGCTTGCACGGACGGACGGACGGACAGACAGTCACCCGGATTTCAACTCGTCTCTTCATCCTGATCATTTATATATATATAACCCTATATCTAACTAGTTATAGTGTTATTAGTTTTAGGTGATACAAACAACCGTTAGGTGAACAAAACTATTATACTCTGTAGCAAAAGGTTGCGAGAGTATAATTATCAGAATGACGAGACGAGTTGAAGGATGACTGTCTATCCCTCCTACTAAGTACTACTAAAATTGTGATTGAACTTTCAAACTCCCAAACACCTTAGTACCTTTGGCTGACTTTAAACCGAAAATATCAGTATCTTAGATATATTATTGAAATTCATTATGCCTTATACATCGGTCTATATGTGAGTTATGGTAATGAAATTCGTAGAGTGTCTTGTTTTAATAATAATCTGTGCTTATACCGAAAATTACTTAAATCGGATTACATTTTTAAAGGATGATCAAACTTTCGGTTATAAATGGCTGAATCTGTGAGGTTTCTTTATGAAACTCAGAGGGTATAATTTGTTTGGTATAATACTTACCTGAAGCGGTGAATCGCGACCTGTCCCGAGAATTTATTCATATGCTACATGCAAAGAATCCTCTCCGTATGGTGGACTTTTTCGCATAGACAATCAACATCTCTTTCCTTATGATCTGACCCCATGGAAATTGATAATTTCTTGGACCTCCCGTTAGACGACGATACGCGCACAATAACATAATAAGCCGGAACTGTTGCGCTACATTAAGTGTAAATATTTTGTGCACAACCTTTTTTTATTTATTTTTAAATATTTATATACCATAGTTATTATTTATTTAGTAAATAGTGTCATTTTTTATTTTTTACAAATAAGAATTTTTCACAATTAAAGCTATGACCTTGCCGTTATTTAAACATTTATATCTTAAATTGCTAATTTAATACGCATTTATTATAAAATTACATTAAAAGTAAAAATAATATGGCGTTTAAACCTTGACATATGTTTTGTCGAGCATCTATTTCTAACTTGTTGGGGCAGCTTGATCTTAAGCCGCTTATAATTTTTGTGTGGGACGGTATTAGTAACGATATTTAAATACAAATTATAATTATAATTTAAAAAAATTGTCGCATTTATTTTTATAGCTTTATAAGTACGAAAGCATATATTTTCTTACATAATTTTTTTGTCAACAATTCTTATTTTTTAATTAAAATTTATTTTATTGCATGTCATTTCTTTCCGCTTACATATTATATTTACATATGTGTATGCAAAAAAAAATTATAATTTTCAATATATTTTTTTAAATTTTATTATTTATTTTATATTAAATTTACAGCTTAATAATTAAATCGTTCATAAATGTTTACAAAACTTATATTTTAAGTGATTTTGAATTGATATATTGATAAAAGTTAATATCGCATTCGCTTATTTAAAACAGTTAACGAAATTGCTAAACTAATTTTAAGGTACGGCAAAGTTTCAAAAATAGCGCATAAAATAATTAAATTATTCATAATTACTTTTCACAAAAGAAGCACTTTTCTACTCTAATCTTTGCCTTATGAATTTCTCCTTTTTTATTCTTTTGATAGACATTTTTATAATTTTTAAGTTGTTAAGAACTCTGACAGACTTGTTATTATTGACCTTTTAGTGATTCTGTTAAAGTTATTCTTAACTGTCTTCGATACGCCAAGCGTTGGAGAGTAGCGAATCGAACAAATTATACTAGATGTTTAGGCATATGGGCAGCATTTGCGGTACAACCCTGCACTAACATGTCTTCTGACGCATGCGCAATTGTGTGCGGATTATTACTTGGTAGAGAAACTCTTCCTTCTACGTCAGAAAACGTTTTAGAAACCCTTTAGTTTTGCTTTCTTTATATAATTATAATTGATTTTAAGTGTTATGTTTTTGATATAAAAAAAAATATATTTTAATTTATCATTTAAGCCATTCACAATAATAAAACTGATCTAAAATATTGAAAACAAAACTTAGTAGCATTGAAGTTAGCATTTATACCACTTTAATAAGGTAACCACATACTCTCTTGTACGAATTCAACTCGATAATTTTGTTTGACAAGAGCGCAAAGCGCAAAGTTAGCGAGTAGAGAAATGGCGTATCGAAGACAGCTTTTGAAACACTACAGTCTTTGGCAAGGTTTTAGATTAATTTCAACTCTTTTTCGAAACTTGAACTTAATTGAATACTGTAGTTTAGCACTAAATTTGCTTAAAAAGCGAATCACGTTCACACATTTAAATCACAGGTACTAAACAATTGATTATTATATGTACAAACATTAAAATTCCTATAAATAAAATGTATGCCTAAATGACCTTAGTACTGGCGCTTATTTGGCACATAAAACTAAACACGTTCAAACTTATAGTAACATTAGCAATAGTCTCGAACTTATTCCGTGTACAATTTGATGATTTCTTGTATACTCACGACTGAGCCAGCAACCAGAGCGCATATCGCAAATGCAGCCAAAAAGATGTTCTTGTACAACTTCCATTTGCACCAGCCCAAACGATCGGGCCACAAGTAAACCGTCTCACACACGCTGGGCACAAAAATGCCTATAAAAATATACATAAAATTAATTTTGCAAATAAAAAAATAATGGAAACTATGCGCAACTTACCCAGCAGTGAGAAAAAGACGGCGCCCACAAGACTGATAAATGGTTCCAGATTGGGTATAGCTGCAGCAACACCACCACTTATCAATATAATACCGGTACGTAAAAGTATTTGTGTTCTATTGTGATATTGTTCGTTAAATTTGTGACTAATTTTTCTCCAGAGAATTTCATTAGGTATGTAGAACTGCAGCCCGTAGGTGAAAAGTATGGCAACAGCCATCAACAATTTTGCCGTATCAGCCAAACTAAATTAATAAACATGTAAATGCAAGCGTTATTACAAATTTTGAAATATTTGCATATATGTACATTTGTATGCGTATAATACTTACGGTACACCGTCCTTTAAATTCAAAGTAATGCTGCCAAGCACATCGCTGCCATAACGTACATAACCTAAGAAACCGATTACCGCATACAATGATACTACGACAATCATAGCAGTATTGAGCACACCGGGGCAGCCAAGGAAACTTTGCGGGCTCTTCATGGTATTCTCAACGGGCATAACTACGCCAATACCCTCCATGGCGAAGATGACAGTCGCAAAGTACAGCGGTATCTGTGAGGCTTTCGCAATGAGCGGTTTGTCCGAGAACTCCAAAGGCCCGTCGAATAGATAGTACAACACAATGCCGAATGTGACCACAATGAAAATGTTGGCCATAGCTGAAAATGGTACTAGCCATTTCAAATCTCTTATTTGTCCAATTATTAGGCAAGGTATTACAATAATCGCAATATAAATGCGCACATCCCATTTAAGACCGGTGTCATAGTTGATCACATCGTGAAATGATGTGGCAATAAACACCATGTAAACGCAAGCGGCAGCGTAGTATGTTCCCATCAGACCACCATCAACGAATTGCCTAGTAGAGAGTGTGAGAGGAAAATAGAGACAGAGTGTGTTTGATATTAAAGTACATCGTTATTAATTAATAAAAGTATATTGAAGCAAATACTTACTTCGCAAAATTCGACCATGACCGCAAACGTTTAGGTCCATTTTCGAAAACCTTCTCCGCAGTGTCAGCAAATGATAAGGCAGGTACTCTGATTTCTTTGCAAATATCTTGCGATGTTTTAACCTGGAAAGGAAAATGACAGTTATAGTTGCTGTAAAAGTAAATACTCGGCCCTCAAATGATAAACATATTTATGAAAGTAATTATAGTTTAATAATTTAAATATTTTGAGTTTTTTGGTTTTTATTATTAAATGTAATTAAAAGACTGCACCAGATAGCTAAGTTTCACATTTATTTTGCAATCTGAAGTGATTCAGCAAAGCGATTAAAAAAAAAGAAAAAAAAACGTTCACTTCGACTGCACCGAAGCTGTGTAATACCCTTCACAGGTGCATTTTTATAGCATAAAAAAATATAAAAAGATATTTATCTTGATTAGGACTGGGCAGTTTGAAAGGCAGCAACTTCTTGTGGAGAAAAGGATCGCAGAATCAAGATATCAGATCTATATCTCAAAAACTGAGAAACCAGTTCGCGTATATATAGACGGACAAAAGGATAGACAGACGGAAATGTCTAATCGACTCAGCTCATCACGCTGATCATTTATATATTATATAGAAGAGAGAAAACCATTATTGCAAAACACCGGCTCCTCCTGATAACTCAAGGCATGGAAGGAATTGTCCGCAATCTCCTCCCTTTTCCCTTTTACTTTGTATATATTTTGAATTCCATTAAGCCAGAGAGTGTTGTGTGTATTGCGTGTTTTGGCAATAATAATCATGGTTCAATAATAATCATAGCCGCTGGAGAACAATAAAATCTCTGTTTTGTTGCCTCAATAACAAAGTGTACGGAACTTCGAAAAAGTATTTATGTAGGTATATTATAAACTATTTTAGGTATTTATGATTGCATTTTGTTTTTAATTAATGCCTTATTTCAGGTTATCTTACCAAAAAATCATAAAGCGGTGTTAATTATTTAATGATAGTGTAAAATTCTTTGAGGGGGCTAAATTAACTCTGAAATAAAAAAAAATATTGCTTTACCATCACTAAAGTTTATTATTTACTATATCCAGTTTGCTCATAGTACAAGCACATGCCGGAGGCGTAACAACTAAGCAAGGGCCAATAAATGTATGTACATAATTAAAATGTGTGAACTGAACATTGTTGCTAATTTTAGGTAATTCGAAGGATCAATAAATGATAAAATTTTTAACAATCTTTGTTGATAAAATATCTGGAATATGAATTGTCTTGATCAGGTAAATAACAACAATAAATGTGATTGCTCACGGAAGGTAATGTCAAGAATGTGACTCGCCACGTCATTGCTGAAAAATTTCGAATAGTCAACATAAGAAAACTGTCAATTTTTCATTTTATAGTAGTTGTAAAGCTTTTCGTTTTTCATTCATGACTCCACAACCGCGTGCATACATCTGTCAAACGTATTCTAAAGTAAAAGTAATGAAATCAAATTGTCTTATTCTTTATCTCTAACAATCTTGAGTAGAATTGTTAAGTAATTACTTAATAAGAGTTTACTAGAACTAAAATACCTTACTTGGCAGTTGAAAGTTTGTGCAATTTAGTTAGTTAATGCAGATTTCTTAAAGCTTTAGTTATAAAAAAATTAAAACTAATAATAAGTTAAACAGAAATGAAAACTTTCTTACCAATATTTGCACACAATGCGTACACAGAAAGCCCACCACCAACGTGGCAATCATACCGAACACCAAACCGCCATTATAGAAAGCCATTGGCATGGCCAGAATACCGGTGCCTAATGAACTTTTCAGCAAATGCGCTAATGCGCCACTTGTCGTTTGACCCTTGACTTGATCACGATGATCCGCTGGGTTATATTCATCGCTGAGCTGTGCCTTTTCGGTTAGCTGGGTGCTGAAATTTTTAGTAAAAAATTTTATATGAATAGAAAATTATTTCGTTCGATTAGAAAATTAGCCAACAAATTAAATCAAGAGCGTTAGCTAAAGTTTTTCCCAAAGAGAAGAGTATACAAAAAGGTTAAATAGCTGTATTTTAGCAAAAATCGGTAAACGAACGTCAAAAAGCTGAGTTCGTTTACAAAATTCTATGTAAATTTTTTCATATATTTCATTAGTTAAATTATCCACTCATTTATTTATAGAATTTAGAAAAAAGTCTAAATGCGACTAAAAATAAATTTCAGAATTTAATTACATAATTCTGCTACGCTGACATTTCTTTAACACAAAATTTGTAACTCTCCTGCTCTTAACTGTCACTTTCATCTCTTATTTTAAGGTGATGGCTATATGTTGCCGCACTTATGCCTTTTTTTTTAATTTTTCATAAATAATCGAATTGATTTCATAAACTTACCGTGAGTTGAAATCATTCAGCGTAAATACTGAAGCTGACTTCTCTTTGGATGTTGGTATTGAAGTGGTGGAATCCGCCATCTGGAAAAAAAGGTGGCGAAATTTAAATTAGTCAGTCTATAATTGGTTAGAATTTGTTTTGCAAGTTCTATTTAAAATACATAGTACATATGTTTCTTCATATTTTAGGTCTAAGATTTTGTCAAAATTTTCGACATATTTTAAGCACTCAAATTTAGTTGGTAAATAAACTTATCAAAAAGAAGGCATCACAACGATACAAGAAAGCTCATGTTTCTGTGTGTTCAGTTACATTATTTAAATTGAAGTTTAAATGTGTTGTAGTTGATTTCCCGTTAGATTAATTAGGGTTTTTCGAAAAAAAAAACTGTCATAGACAACCAAACAATTGTTATAATTCTACTTTCTTTTAACTGCATTCAGTCTGCGTTATCAGTATTTAATTATAATTTTATCAAATTTCTTAAATAGTTATTTTTTATTAAATATGCACAATGAATACAAATTAATGCCAAACAAATCATTTATAAACATTACTTGTCTTTGTACTCGTTTTTTTTTTTCGAAAACGAAAGTCCAACTGTCAATATTTAATTCAAAGTAATGCTGGTGTTTAAATACTTACAATACAGTTAAGTACAAAGTTTTAAAATATTAAGCATTTAGATACTGAATGAAATTTATAAAGAAGTGCCAATATGGCGCTGTTGTTGGGAGGAAAATTAGTTTAAGGTGAATTTAAAACTAAGAATTTACATACTAGTTAGTATTTGTAATGAAATTCACACGCAGTAATTCATTATGATCGATATATAAGGTGTAATCTTGAATATTTATAATTGACTATACAAGCCTAAATTAAATAAATTTTTGATCCTTTAATGTTTATTATTTGATAGCAAGCCAGCATTTATTGTATAAAAACTTATACTGAATTTTTTCATTTATCTGTTTATAATGTGTGAACAAAAAGTGTGGTGAATTTGTTAAATGTAAACTCTTTTTTTATTCGTCCAAATCGATTTCATCCCCTTTAAAGTAATCCGTGTTCGATAAAACGCACTTTTTTGTCAACGCTTTTTCAGTCTACGAAACAGTTGGAATAGTCTTTTTTGCTTATAGGGTTCAGGACCTTCTACGACTCTGTTTTCCCACTTTGAACCCGTTGTACCATCTATGAACGTTTCTTGACAAACCAACGCTTGGCAATTATTGTAGGCAGTCCTACCAACTTATAAATAAAATGTAACTGCCTTCCTAATGCTGTGTATGTGTTTTTATTGACCATTTCACTTTAATTTTTGATGTAGTATATTCAAAATAGTAGAGCCTATTAACCTGCATTCTTCAATCACTCCATTTCAATTATTTAAACAAAAATATGGTCTATTTTCTGGCGACATGTTGATTGCAAACATAGTGGATTTATAAGCAAAAACTGTTTTTTCTTATTCTCTTTCCTTACATTAGTGATATATCTTACATTGTAGTGGATTCAACAACTGAACTTTTGACTTTTAAGTATCTGTTATATATTCTCATTTTAATACAATCGTCGATATTCGATCTTTCTGGGAACTAAATTGAACAAAATATCAGTTGTTATCGGCTGTTATTTCGAAGATATTCCGAAATAAGCCTAAAACAATAAAAAACGTTAACTTCGGCTGCACCGAAGCTATTATGCACTTCACAAATACAAAAAGTTCCTTAGAAGAACTTGATTTCGAGCGTTGAGTTTCGACAAATGAGCAGCTTCTCGGTAAGAAACGGTCATATGCCAAATTTAAAATCGATATCTCAAAAACTGAAAGACTAGTTTGCGTAGACGGACAGACGGAGGGACGGACAGACGGACATGGCTAAATCAACTCATCTCCTCATGCTGATCATTTATGTATATATTTTATAGGGTCTTCGACGTTTCCTTCTGGGTATTACAAACTTCGTGGCAAACTTAATATAGCCTGTTTAGAGTATAAAAACTCTCTTTATATCTATAATTGGCTTGGATCTAAAATTCAAATTTGTACAAGATCAAAGACATTGGCATTATTTTTAAAATATAGGTGAGTCCAGAATCAATATTTTATAGTATGCTACAAGAGCCTAAATTGGTATAAACTGATTTATACATACCGATAAAGTCTCAATAGTTTTAGGTAAGAAATTTCATTGCAGATTTATGATCTATAAAGTTCTCATAATAGATTTGATGTATTTTTTATGCTTAAACCAATTCTATTTTTCAAAATTTCGATTTAAAGACTGCTTTCTCTAACATTTGATTCAGTTTTACGAAACAGTGGTGCTAAATGTCAAGGATCAAAATAGTCAAAATATAGAGTTCAGTGTTGTTGTTTGTGAATCTGAATATAAATTGATTTATTAACAGATTTGTATACATATGTAGGCGTAACAGAAAAGTAAGTGGTTTCGAAAGTTACATTGAATACTTGCTTACATATTTTCAATGGGATTACCGTTAAAAAAGCAAATTTTTCTTGATTTGAGTAAAAATTTCCGAGCATATTTTATTTTTAACAGAAAAAGTCCATTGAAACCCAGGTCTTTTAGCTTTCAGTTTTTATTCAGCTTAAGCGAATGATATCTGAATACAGCGCTAAAGTCAAAGCGCATGAAAAGCCTGATATTGAGCGCTACTCTAATCAAATCATAACCGGTTCACTTAAAATATTAGACGCGATTTTTATAGGCGCCATAAACGGTATGCCGGTGATAAAAATCAAGCGAATACTAATAAAATGGCATTAAATAAATTTCCATTTTCCGCCTTTCTTAAGAATTGTTTGATAATAAAATTGAAATTTATGACATATATTTTCCACATTACTGTAAAATCCTGTTACACATTTAAACATTCTGTTACCGAGCTGTTAACAAGGTCTTATCTTATCTTGCCTTAACAATGCTATGGACACTTCTGATTGTTGCTTTTGGACAGCAGTCAGTTATTAGCGAGCAAAATGAATTGGAGTAGCTGAAGGGACGCCAATCTTTACGGCACATGCTTTCCGTATACCAATATGAATATAAATTGCAATAAAAATTTCTACGACTGACTAGTTAACGGTACTTGCTAAATGTTTGCTCTGCAAATAAGCGGTTCAATTGTCCTAAGCGAGGGGTGTGGACTGGAAAAAGTATGTACACAATATTTATGGTGATTTCATAAAAAAATGAATGGCCTAATTTAATTATATATTTATCGCATCGATAATTTCAAGTTCCGTTCGGTTTTTGTTTTTGGCAAGATTGTTTTTTTATTGCATTCTGTAGTAGATATAAACCATATCTTCGGGCGCTTTATGATCCGTTCAGTGACGGAAGAGCTTTTGATTACAATCTTTCTTACGTCAGGTTTATAATGATAAGAGTCACAAATATGCCGAAAGACTGAAGAGTTGTTGCAAAAAATTCGTTAAATTTGAAGTTAATGCGGAAAAACAGAACGCCAGTTTTAGCAAACATTTCTAGGATTTGTGTTTAAGGAACTGCGACTAGAAATGTTTTGGAGGATTGATATTTATTGCGAAGAGTTAAAAGCTTGTGCTTTTGTCATCACATTTTGGTGTATAGTGAATCGAACTGGTATAAAAGAAATATACTGGCATAATAAAATAGAGTTATAAAACAAACCATTATACCACTTTAATGCGCCGTTAATTGTTGGTTAAATCCTTCCCACTATAGCCATAGTAGCTAAAGAATACTTAACTTCTGTCGCAAAGGTTTCATATAATATGTTAATTAAAAAATTTAGACTCTTCAAACTGCTTGTTCACTTCGTAGGAGAGAACTTAAAATTCGTTTTGCTGAGTAGGGAATATTTTTTATTAGCTATGATCAAGCAGTTACTTTGCTCTAGCTCAGTGAAGATTAATACATATAATGTGACAAGTCACTATTCTTTGTCACTATTTTGGCAAAAGAAACGAAAATCATGAAACCACTAAACAAAATTGCAGCCTTCGAAAGTATTGAGGGTAATTTCAAGTTGATAATATTTGGCACATGTATTATAACTCCATAGAAGCACTAGATGTATGCAGCACGTTAGCTGCCACACTTCACACTTATAAAATAAGGTTTATAACCTTAAATCCTTCGCGAGTTAAAAACTAACTTTCAGCAAAAGGATTTCATTAAATTTTATGAATAGGTCTCTATTCTCAAGTAAATTTTCAGACCTTTTTTCGTTATACAGATCTGCACTTTTGTTTTCATATGAACTAAGTTGAATCTTAATGCGCTTAATAACTATATAACTGTTTTTCAATGATAAATGTATATATATTTTAGTAAAGAATTACTTTCAATAGCTAAACGTTTAGTAAGAGCTGACGGTTGCTAAAATAATACCCGTTAGCTAGATACAAGTGCGTATGTTCGCTTTGGATTGTTTGGATTTTTCCATTGTTTTGTTAAAAAGGATTGCAAATTGATTGATGGCGCACAACAAAGTTACTGTTTTGTGTTTAATGTAAATTTATTAAAATTTTATCACATACACCGTTTTTTACGTCACTTTATATAAACATATATATATATATGTATAGTCTAGACACAACGGAGATCTCGTAATTCAATATATATGCAGTACGAAAAAATATGCAAAAATATAAATACATACATATATTTTGTATGAAATCTTATTCACAAAGACGTGCTTAGCTTAGTGCATTTTTAACTGTATTTATTTTGTGAAATTGCATAAATTTGCACGTGCCGTTGTGCGCTGAAGTACGCAAATAATCGTAGTTATCAAATTGCGACGCCAATGAAAAGCTGCTTTGGCGTGCAATATTAAATATCTTGTAAGCAAAATAAATATTACGGCTTTTTTAAAATTTATATATATATATGTTATATATTTATAAATGTTTTTTTTTTATTAGTATTTATCCAACAATATATATTTTAAGTGATTTTTAACCAAACAAAAAAATAATAAGAAGCTGAACTTCAGTCACTGTTATTATGAATTAAAAATTTGATCTAACAAAAAATATTTTCAGTTTCTTGCTCCAAAAAAAATT